CCAATTTCTCCCTTAAATCCAATCTGTCGAGGTTTTTGTTCCCGAGAGCGTCTGAGCGCAGGGTTCTTCCAATAGTGGGGGTCTGTAAACATCTTCTCATCTTCACATCTCATCTTCACATCCTCTCATCTTCACATCTGCTCATCTTCACATCCTCTCATCTTCACATCCTCTCATCTTCACATCTGCTCATCTTCACACCTTCCCATCTTCACATCTGCTCATCTTCACACCTTCATCACATCTGCTCATCTTCACATCTGCTCATCTTCACATCTGCTCATCTTCACATCTTCTTATCTTCACATCTTCTCATCTTCACATCTGCTCATCTTCACATCTGCTCATCTTCACATCTGCTCATCTTCACATCTGCTCATCTTCACATCCTCTCATCTTCACATCATCTTCTCATCTTCACATCTGCTCATCTTCACACTCACATCTGCTCATCTTCACATCTGCTCATCTTCACACCTTTCACATCTCTCATCTTCACATCTGCTCATCTTCACATCTGCTCATCTTCACATCTGCTCATCTTCACATCTGCTCATCTTCACATCTTCTTATCTTCACACCTGCTCACCTTCTCTCTCATGCCTTCTTTTTATCTTTCTCTCTTAAGGCCGAGGGTGGTGCCGGCGGCGAGTCACGAAACGTCAACCCTTTCGCAGGAAATGAGGGTCGATCGGCAAAAACTGAGGTAAAACTGCGATTTGACTTGTCCACGGAGCAACCCTTTCGCACGAAATGAGGGTCGATCGGCAAAAACTGAGGTAAAACTGCGATTTTACTTGTCCTGGAGCAACCCTTTCGCACGAAATGAGGGTCGATCGGCAAAAACTGAGGTAAAAGTGCGATTTTACTTGTGCCGGAGCAACTCTTTCGCACGAAATGAGGGTCGATCGGCAAAAACTGAGGTAAAACTGCGATTTTACGTGTGCTAAAGCAACCCTTTCGCACGAAATGAGGGTCGATCGGCAAAAACTGAGGTAAAACTGCGATTTTACTTGTCCTGGAGCAACCCTTTCGCGCGAAATGAGGGTCGATCGGCAAAAACTAGCGATTTTACTTGTCCTGGAGCAACCCTTTCGCGCGAAATGAGGGTCGAAAAACTGAGGTAAAAGTGCGATTTTACTTGTGCCGTTCTTGTCTGTGTGTAAAAGCGCCTGTGTGTAAAAAGCGTCTGTGTGTAAAAGTCTCTGTGTGTAAAAGCGTCTGTGTGTAAAAGCGTCTGTGTGTCAAAGTGTCTGTGTGTAAAAGCGTCTGTGTGTAAAAGTGTTTGTGTGTAAAAGTGTTTGTGTTCAAGTGTTTCTGTGTAAAAGCCTCTGTGTGTAAATGTGTTTGTGTGTGAAAGCGTTTGCGTGTAAAAAGCGTCTGTGTGTAGAGGTTGTCTGTGTGTAAAAGCGTCTGTGTGTCAAAGCGTTTGTGTGTAAAAGCGTCTGTGTGTAAAAGTGTTTGTATGTAAAAGCTTCTGTGTGTAAAAGTGTTTGTGTAAAAGTGTTTGTGTAAAAGTGTTTGTATGTAAAAGCTTCTGTGTGTAAAAGTGTTTGTGTTACAGTGTTTGTGTAAAAGCCTCTGTGTGTAAAAGCTTTGTGTTTAAAAGCGTCTGTGTGTAAAAAGCGTCTGTTTGTAAAAGTGTTTGCGATGCAAACTACTGTCTTGCACTTCTCACTGTCCTGTCTTGATACTCCTCTTCTCGACTGCCTATAACAGAGCTTTCATATATCGTTTCTAATATTGCGTCTCCATACTAACAAGAGAAGACCCTGCTCCCCCCTGAACTGGCCGAGCAAACATGACTGTAAGCATTTCCAGAGCTTCTTTTGGTGGCCGTGGTGCTCGTCTTTGGAGATTTTGGAGGCCTGCTGCATGTTGCCGTGTGGCAGTCATTCGATGTTTTGCAGCTAGCTTTTGGTAAAACCGCATGATTTTGCGAGTTTCAACTGCAAGCTTGTGTTCCGTTTGTTCGTGAAAGCATGAAGCTGGTCGGCGCAGCTATTGGTTCGAGATTTGTATCGCGCTTGGCGTCTATAAGTTGTCACTCTGGGTTCGCTGCAACCGGATATGTCCGAGAAGGTCCGAGAGTTGCAACAAGGCTTGTGTGTAAAAGCTTCTGTGTGTAAAAACTTTTGTGTGTAAAAGCGTCTGTGTGTAAAAGTGTTTGCGATGCCAACTATTGTCTTGCACTTCTCACTATTTTGTCTTGCTACTTCTCTTCTCGACTGCCTATAACACATCTTTCATATATTGTTTGTAAAATTGTGTCTCCATACTAACAAGAGAAGACCCTGCTCCTCTACGCTCTCGGGCCATCCGTCGTCTAGTTTTGCTCAATTTTCAGGACACCAATAGCCTATAGAGTTATTGCCGTCATTGGCAAAAGATAGAAACCTTGTTTGCCTCTTGCTTAGACTAAGCATCACTCTCACGCCCTTGAGCTGAAACTATTCTAAGTTACTTGGATCCTCCATAAAAAGGGAAGAGAGCAACCAAGCAACGGTTAAACAACACCAAGTAGTAGGATTTTACTTTTTTGAGCTTAGATCGCCGCTAAACGGATGTGTTTATTCGCCGGCGAGCCAGCAGCCTGGAATGGCATATGGTGCAGAAGCAAAAAGACGAGGACGCCTCATGGAACGTGGCACTGGAAAATGCCAATTCAACACGATTGATCCAGCGTAATTAATCACTATAGATTATTAATATATATATATATGCATATATATAATAATATGATGATGATGATAATCATGATGATAATAACATTAATATATCATAAAAATACAATAATCATAATAAGACGTAATAGTACGACTTGCGAAACCTTGAATGGGTTGAGGCCCCCAAGATAGCTAAGTTGATTTATAACTCCAATAACTATGGTTTATGGTAGTTATAACTATAGTTACTGGGGCTTATAAACCAACTTATAACTGGGGGGCCTCACATTGTAAGCAATTACAAGCCAGCTGAACATGTATTGGAGTTTCCATACGCACGGCATCCAAGATTGTCAATGTAGATGGATAAATGGTAACTGAGGAATCATGAGTGATTTCACCCTTTCGTCTACCCAATTTTCACTCTTGGTGTTGGGAGCAATTGGTTTTAGCAGAACATCAGTTTATCTCATGTGCTAACACTGGATTTTCCGCTGCTAATATGTTGGACCGCCGAAGCATACCGAAGCAATAGGAAGTGGTGAGGCGACATCAAATCCTGGGTGTTATCTTCACAAGTTTCATTGATACCCTCTGGTAATTTAACATGGCTATTGAAAATCACCATTTTTTATGGGAAAATCCACTATTAATGGTCATTTTCAATAGCTACGTTAAATTACCAGAGGGTACCCACCCTTAAAACAGAATGGAATTCTCAAACTTTCAAGAGTCAAATCCCACCAACTGCAGGTGGGTGACTGTGAGCCACTTTGCGAGCAGCAGCCGTCAGCCGGCATCCTGCCTGCATTGCAGACCTTGTGTGCCATGGCTATGGGAGTAATGCCCCCATTGTGTCTGGTAGGTCTACCATAGGGTAGTATCCAGCCAGACTACCTGCGGCAGGAGGGCGGCCAAAAAATGGACAGATGCATCATGGGTACCTCAGGTCAGCGGTGAAATTCGCCAGAATTCCAGTGCTGTTAGCACAGCCATCCAGATTGTTGGCCCACGTTCCCATCCCAGCCCTTGTGTTGGAACCCTCCGACATCCCCCAGGTGGCATGCATCTTGACGCGGGCGGCCAATCCCTTAAGGTCGGGAGCTCTGGGAGGTGCTAAGCATTCCGACGCTAGACGAATCGCAAGTTCTCCTTGTGTGTGAAAGGTGCGAATGGAGATGGGGAAAGATCCTCCCAGCATGGTCAGATCCACAAATCATTTCCCACCAATTAGGATACAATCAAGAAAGATCTTATTCTTGTTCAGGATTGGGTCTAATGAACTTTTTTGGACTTCATGAACTTGAGTTTTTTAAACCGACATGTGACTAGCAGTCAGAGATTCCGTAAGATTCCCACTCTTTCCCCTGGCATATTCCCATCCTTTCCCATCTATGCTATATCCCCCTTGATTGGTCGCTTCAATCCCAGCGCCAGGCGCAGTGGTCGTTGAGCGGCTCTGTACAGGCAATCCGTAGAAAAATGGCGGCCGAATGGAGGTGCTCCTTTTGTGTTCCTTAGAAACATGGAAACCTACCCGCTGGTTATTTAACGTAGCAAACTGGAAAATGGCCCATTTAAAAAGATGATTTTCCCAGCTAGAAACCTCCATTCCCAAGGGATTTTCCATGGCTATGTTAAATAACCAGATGGTAACAAAATTGAGGACATATCAAGAAATCTGAAGACATGGCACTCTAGAAAGCCAAGAAATCTGAGCGTCCATTCCTGGGCTTTGGAAGATGATTTTCGTGGGGTATACAGCCATTCTTTGGAGGTTACAATGTTGAACCTTGGGGATCCTTGGGGGCATGGACAATGAACATAATAACATACTATAATAAATATGTATGCAACGACACATGTGGGTTTAGCTGACCAAACTTGATTTCTCAACCACCCAGGATATGAGACTTGTGACATCCAATCCACCTGAATCAACATGCAACAATCGTGGAAGTGCGACACGAATCCTGCGAGAGTAAGGTTGCGAGTGAACACGTATGTATCCCGATGCCGCCTATTGCATTCTTGTATGGCAATCATTATCCAACAGACGGATGTTTGCAGTCGGATCAAGTCTGGTGATCAATCTTCGCCCCCTTTATCCTTGGATTGGAACCATTTGGAGTTACATAGTTTCCATACGTTTCCTTCAACTAGTTGCAATGCTGTCCTTTGTGTTCTGTGTGTTCAAGTTTGCTGGTTGGTGGTTTGGAACATGAATTTTATTTTTCCATATGTTGGGAATGTCATCATCCCAACTGACGAACTCCATGATTTTTCAGAGGGGTAGGTCAACCACCAACCAGATTACTATGCTGAGCCAATGCCATGGCTTGCCCCAGCGCGAAACGGCAGCGCATGGGAGTGCAGCTGGACGCGTACGACAGCAGCCACTGGATGTTGATGATGGGTTTTGGGCACGGTTGCCCTATGCAAAGATGGATATGTTATGATATGTTTACGAGAGTGGGGATTTCGACTTGTTCAATCAGAAAATTTAAGCTTCACATTTCAATCAACAAGGATTTAACTTTGAACATCGGCCTGTCAAGCAACAAACGATGGGATTTCACCTGCAAAACCAACAGATCTTTTTCCCTCAACGCCACTGGGCCCCTCCTGTCACGTCTCCAGCATCTCAGGTGAGGAGACGGACAACTCTGAGGTTATCGCTTGGGTGATGGTTTTGAAAGGGTTGGGCCTGCTGTCAAATACTGAGGATGGTGATCAGGGGGCTGTCAAATGCTGAGGATGATGATGACTGGTGGTTTGGAACATGAATTTTATGACTTCCCATTCAGTTGGGAATGGAATCATCATCCCAACTGACGAACTCCATGATTTTTCAGAGGGGTAGGTCAACTCAACCACCAACCAGATTATGATTAACCATCATTAACCATATAATCACCATATATTAACCATATCATCAACCATATATTAACCATATAATAACCATATATTAACCATATATCAACCATATATTAACCATATATCAACCATATATTAACCATATATGAACCATATCATCAACCATATATCAATGGGGTAGGTAGCCCCCACCAACCCAGATGATCTCCGAATTCCCTCGCCGGGGCATCCATTCCGCCAGGCGCCTCCCATCTCCGAGCGCGCAGCGGCCTACGCACCACACGTGGGGCCTGCGCTGGATGCCTTTTGGACCTTGGATCCTGGACAGAGCCGTTGGTGACCTTTTTGGCCGCCATGAGAATCAGCCATTCCTATGGGATTGATATGGCTAAAAACCATCATGAAGCAGCAAAAATCATGATTTTATATGATGATGATTTATGGTATAACAAGAATACATAATGCACCAAGAATCCCATCCAAAAATAAACACCCCCATTCTATGGTCCCAAATATGTTGTCTCAGCCCTGCCAAATACTATGGTTTGTTGTCCGGCTTACTCGGTGGTGGTGGACCACATTACACATTTTTCATGTGGATCAAAACAACGCTACCGAAAAAGTGCTTCCATGTTTCATTTGAACATCATTCCTCAAGGAGTGTGAGCAGGAAACCTATATATTGTTAACGTGGACTCCCTAGGTCCTTGCAGAAATCAGCAAACCGAAATCAGCAACACAAGTGGCCAGAAGTGGAAGCCTGGTGCTCCTTGCAGTCCAATGTATTCCCCTCAACTCCAATTTTTGGCGTTTCAGGCCGAGGTTTTAAGGTGAACCATTGCCTGAGGACCCTGAAGCGGAGGTACATGGAAGTCATCAAGTGGGTCTGTGGGATGAACACTCAGATCCTTGGGTCGAAGTTAGTCAGTTAGTTAGTTTGTGGTTTCGACGGAATCATCCCAGGGAATCAGCTGAAATCCTCCCACAGAAGTAGTAGCAACCTGCTTATATATATATATATTTATACGTTATCATTATCTTATACGTAGTAAGTACTCATTGGTTATTGGTTGGTTGATCCACCAACATGGCAAGTGTTCGTGGGGAATATCAGTTTTGTGGTTCACTTGATAATGCATGCATAAAGTTTCCCATGGTTGCAAGGCGGTCCCATCTTCGGTGAAATAAACATCCTATAGTTTTGAGTGAGTCGCGATCTTTGTTGCTAAGATGCCCATTATATATGATATTATATGATATATATATACACATGTATGTATTCTTTATTTATCGTCATGACAAGAGGAAGGGATCATGCAGCATCCTGTGCACTCAAAAGGCACCCATCACATTGTATGACATGATGACTAGAATGATGATAAGAATGATGCCCACTTCTCACAATGCATTTTTATGCATCTTTGACATCAACATTGATGTACCAAAAGCAGTCTATCCATTGGAAGTGGTGTCATGGACAAAATTACTCAAGAACACCATTGAAATGGCTAGTAAATCATGTAAATCCATATGTTTCTGGAAACAAAAATGAAAACCCACATCAAATATCATTCTTGTTGGTCATACACCCGTTGATTCCCATTGTGTACCCATGCAATATCCCTCGGAAAATGGTTCAATCATGTTCAATCCATATGTTTGATGGTTCAATCCCTATTTTTCGAATTTCCAACTAGACAAAGGATATGCCTATTATATGATATGTCCATTATTGAATTTCATTGATCGTAGTTCATCATAAAGTAATCTGATTTTTTCCATACTTTTTTCCCCAAAACCAGGCCAGTGCTCTGTGTCTCACCAAGGACTTGGACCTTTTGACCACGCAGCCGCTGCACCAGCTGCTGCGACGCTTGCGCGGCGGGACGGCGCCGAGCTCGCTGACGCTGCTGGAGCACGTCTCGCAGGCGCGGGTGCCGCGGCTGCTGCTGAAGCACCGCAGCGGGGTGGTGCTGGATGTGGTGGAAGCGAAACGTGGCTTGGAGGATTTGGGCTGGGTTGATGGGGGAAGTTAGTTGGAAACCCTAAACCATCATAAACCCCTAAACCAAGTGGATTGGGGAGGTTTTCTGTGAAAGGGGGTTGATGACCCTTTGGTGATTCTTCCAACAATTTGATGGATTTCAGTGATTTAAGTATCAAACACATGGATTTCACCAATGAAGAATGGGGAATGGGTATGCCTGGAATGGTATATACCCCCAAAGTACCAATTGTAATAGGGAACATGATGCTAAACCATAGGATTGGGGGTACATACCATACTTTCAGAAGAACCGCGGTTCAGGGGGGTTTTAGCATGCCCAATCTTTTTTGGGATAAAACGATTGCCAAAATTGAAGAACATAATCCAAACTTGGAGTTGATAGCTGATTTTTAGAGTGTTTTTCGCGCCGGCTGGGCCACAAGATCAGTTCACCACGCAACAAACTCGGAATATGCAGCTCGACATGCTCCTGCGGGGCAAGTGGGGATGCTGTGGATATCATAATCTCAAACATGTTGTTCCAAATGATAAATCTGACCACTGATGTTTGATTGGGATCATGGGCCGCACTGGTTTCAAATTAATCAATCAGCCACCAGAATATTCTGCAATGATCCCTGAAGTCCTCATGCGATGGATGTTCCCAGGTGCGCTGAGGTATGTGGCCAGCAATGGAGGTCTAGTCGCAGAAATTGCTGTAAGACGGTAGGACTTTGTAATATACCTTATATATATCCAAAAAGGCTAAAATACATCTGCTTGTATCTCCCCATATCTCCCCCAAAACTTTGGAGCTATCAAATCTTGAACATGCCCATAGAAATAAATTGATTTCCCTATGAAAAATGGTGATGTTCCATTGTTTTTCCATCGTTTTTTCTATGTTTCCCAGGTCGAGGTCTCCATCATCCCATCCGCCCAGGCGACCCCTACGCCGTCCCCAAGGACCGCTTCGTCGCGCAGCGCCTGGCCGCCAGCCCGGCCGTTGCTGCGCCGCTGGCGCGGCGAATTAAGGCGACGGCGCGGCGCTGGGCGATGCCGCGGGAGGAGGGATATCCGAGCCTTAGCCAAGGGGGGGATGATGATTCCTTGGGATTTTGATATGGAATTTTTGTGGGAAACATGAATATGGGAAAATATATAGTTGATTAATGTTAATTAAATTTAATTAAATATGTATCTTTAGATGATTTATATAAATATGTATCTTTAGATGATTTAGGGGAATTTTGCATATTTAGATGGGATTTAATTGGGAACATAAAGGAAAATATCGACAATCACAAATCATTCAAACGAACTAAGCCCCACAAGTTGCCTCTACGAAGTCAGAGGAATAAAATCAACAGGTAAACCCAAGAAAAATAAAATGTCCATAAATGCCTATAAATGGGTGGTAAACATCATCCCCAAATGGTAGGTTTATCGTTCCCTTTCCCACATTATCAAACAAAATCACGACTCTTTTCTTAATTGGTAGCCTATAAACCTCCATTGATAGTGGATTTTCCCATGATTTTTCCATTAAATGATAGTGATGACATGTACATGGGATATCATCATGGCATCTATGGCGCAAAGAGCGGTGATGACGTTGGAATTTAGGACGTATTTCTAGGGAATCATAGGTGATTTATGTTGTGAAGACACGGCTGCTTTACGACCATCACATTTTGGTTGAACCAACCGTATAATGAACATCTCCCTGGCCATACTTCTGCGCCAAAGGAACTGCTTTCTCTTCCTGCTGATCGGCTTTTGGTACCTGGCCCGCCAGCGACCTCCGGATACTGATGGTGAGGGCGGAAAGTCCCAAGAGCAACGAGAAGAGAGGCTTTTTCAAGGTGAAGCGCTGGGGGGGATGGAGAAATCACCTACCACAAAACCAACCATAAAACAGGGGAAATTTAACCTATACGATGATACCAACACAAATGGAAAGTGGGAATATTGATCAATAATTATCAGTTGTTCCCCACCTGCCAGGTGAGGGTTGTTAGATTTTATGTCAGTTGCCTGCTCCTCTCCTCCTCTCCTCTCCTCCTCCTCCTGCTCAACCGCGACCCTCGACGCACAGTGTTCTCTGTCGGACCTCAACCACGACCATCCACGCCCAGTGTTCCCTGCCGGACCTCAACCACGACCATCCCCGCCCAGTGTTCCCTGCCGGACCTCAACCACGACCATCCACGCCCAGTGTTCCCTGCCGGACCTCAACCGCGAGTATCCACGCCAAGTGTTCCCTGCCGGACCTCATGTAGGAAGATATGGGACAAAGAATGTGCAGAAGAAAGTTAGAAAGAATGTCAGACAAGTATGTTATATATTACTTGCAAACTCGCGCGTGTGTGGTAGAGTGACCGGGGCAATGCCACTTCTTACTTTGCAGGTGGCAAAGTTTGAAGCAATCAGTTTGAACAGATGACAGAGTCACTGGGGTGGACAGAGACATTTCCACTTCTGTACCTTTGGAGCTGTTTGCAAAGACGCTTGAGACAGGCAACATCTTACAGCAAGTTACTACAAATTACTTGAAGTGATCTCATGCTGGATTGATGCTAGAGACAGTCAACATCACACAGGGTTTCTGTTGTGTATCACAGCTATGGTGGCATGGTGGATATGTGACATCGGAACATTTGTTGGAGCATTTGAGCCCTCATCTACTCGTTCACGGGCCAGAGGCAGGATGGACATCATCATAGAAGAATTCAGCAGGAGGAGGTTGTGTGATCAGTAGTGCCTTCTTGCGTGTTTTTGTTTGCTTGGCAGGTGATGGCAGAGGGTGACCAATCTGCGAGTGCTGCGCAGGCGAGGAGTTTGAGTGGAAGTAAGCACATTGGCCAGTGGCTGCTTTCAAAAGTGTTGGATAAGTGATTTGGAAAGCAGCTTGTGCTTTGACACCCTGTGATTGACGACCTGCCAGGTGAAACAAATGATTGGGATAGTTAGTTGGGCAAAAGTCCCGTGACAAAAGCTTCAGACAAAAGTGGTGTCAACAAGCTGTTTTGAAATGTCATGGTGGGGATCACTCGAAGCAAAGTAATTTTTTTCAGCAACCTACTTCGGATGATGATCCCAATGTTTCAAGAGGTTTAAACCACCAACCATACAGGGGAACCAAAGAGATTGGGGAAGCAAGGGGGGCAATTGAAGTAAGCAGCAGCAGCACTGGGTATCAAGCCACATGTTTGAACCAAAACCCCGTTTTTCCTTTAGTCGCTAATTAATCCTCAAGTCTGAATTGCCGGGTGAGTTTTTACATCAACTCATTCTATATTTTCCAGTTCTGGTAGAAATTCACCCACCGGACTTTGATATTTTTTCGGGGGGGCATGGGTGGCTCTCAGAACTTGCTCCTGAAAGGCTTGTTGAAGTTCCTGGTTCAGTGTGCGTCCGAGCCCATGATCTTCGATCTGCGCGAAGAGCCAGGGGATGTTGGAGGAGAACCCCATGGATGTGAGAGGGGCGCCATGGTGCAAACATGGTTGAGTTTCCCATACCCTCTGGTTATGACTAACATAGCCATGGTATAGATGGCCCTAATCGAAATAGATGGTTTACCTATTAATAGCATGGTGATTTTCCATGGCAAACTGTTAAATAACCAGAGGGTAAAAGGGGATGGTCATCCATCAATTCATAGGGATTCATAACGGGGCTCAGCAAGAGCGACAGATTTGGTCATGCAATCCGCTCCCCGTAATATTAGAATATATTAGATACCTTCCATGTGGCCTCCAATTTGTGAATAATTAGACCCCAAACTAAAGCAGGGTTTCTAGGAACATATTCCCAGAAACAATTGGCGTGGAGGCAATTTGGTGACCTGGCCAGATGCTAAAAAAACATCAGGGTGCGGCAGCCAGGAGCAGAAGCTCATTGGAAGATCGTGGAACCCGTTTCCGGCAGGAGCTCCGGGTGGTTTCGCCTCTAGATTAGCTGAAGTCCTTGAGGTAATGGCTAAACTATTTCGGTCCCTTACACCTTAAGCGAAAAGACATACGAGCGCATACCAGTTAAGTTGTTTTGAGGACCATCCCACTCAGTAGGTGCTTGATAACCCTGGTGAGCGTAAGTGCCCAATTCGTGCGGTATCCTTTTTATAAATAGCTTAATTATAACATCTGGTTGGTGGTTTGGAACATTTTTTATTCTTCCATATATTGGGAATAATCATCCCAACTGACTAATATTTTTCAGAGGCGTAGGTCAACCACCAACCAGACATCTTATAACCCCAGGTGTTAACCAGTTACTAAGTGGGATCCCCCGTGCTAACCGCAGAGGACGGCGTGCTCACTGAGCCGTGCGCAGGTCCAGCACATCGCGGAGCTGGCGAAGCTGGAACTTGGCAGCTGACGTGTCGTGGCGGATGCGACGGGATGGCGTCTGCTGGTGACGGGTCAAACATGTAGGGGGTTACCTGATCAATGACAGTTGTCGTTGGATGTTGGGAGGATTTTTAAAGGAACGAATCTAGAAAAATATACGATGAAAGCATGGGATTAAAGCAACCATAGCGGGAAAGTCATCGAGGTTCTAATATAGCATATACACACACATATGTATATATATACATATGTATGTATAATGTAGCCAACAAAATGGTATTCATGGTGCGCCCAAATCTGTTCATACTGCCAAAAAGTCCTACCTCAGAATGGGGTATACCCGGAAATGATAAACCATGTCATTTGCTCATGTTTGGGGGTACCATATTTTCCGACTAACCCAGCATGGGGATTTTACCAATGAATATGAAGGTGGCCAACAACAGCTTTGGCGGTCTAAGGTCTAAGTGAAACAAATCCTTACACAGACATATTTGAGCAAATAGTTGTGCCCATAGAGCAAACTCAAATTTGAACCGACCACTATTTGAGCTGGCATATACTGTAACTTCTTTTGAAGAAAACATTGGATATTGTATTTGGTTCGAACTTGGAGTGGTAGATTCTTGGTGATTTCAGTTGTGCCTCCTGGTAGGAACCTCCTCCGCCTGAAAACCACAAACCAAATTGAAATTGAATTCCTGAATTCCCTGCATCGGGTTCCATATGGTTCCATGATTGATGGCAATGAAGCAGGGCCGTTGTGGGGCTAGGCCTGTCCGAAACTGTGTTTGGTGATCACCCCATAATCCACTGCCGGACCTTTCTCTGAGGCAGCTTTCAAAGTGGACCGCCTTGGAGCCCCCGGAGCTGCTGATCCCATTGAGATTTCGCCCAGCGGACGGATGACTTGGAGGGTGCCAAAGCTTCAGTCGCTGCTGAAGAGCTGCGACTTGGCAAGAGCAGAGGCGGCTCAGCAGGCCACGACATGGAGAACGGGCAGCGACATGAAATAGAAGACCTTGCTGTAGGCATTACTGTAGGCATGTTCGTTATGCAAAGTGGAGTGGCCATGACTTGCATTAATTTCTTCTGTTGTTCCAGTGATCTGTGAATATTTCTTGTGCCTACCTTGGTGCCTGCAGCACCGTGGGTGGCATATCCAAACACTTGGGGCAGAGAGAAGTTACAGCCTGCGATGGAAAAGGAGCTGGTGAAGTTTGGAGGGATGGAGCCGTTTCCTTTGACAGAGTTGGATGCCAAAAACTGGGGCCCTTCTGACAAGAGAATTGTAGAGAGAATTGTAGACATACCTCCCATGTTCGGCACAAATTTCCGCGGCTCAAACTGCCTTCTGGAGATTTATAGCCTGTGGGAGCTGTCTGCCCTAGGAGGTGCTCAGACAAGGGCGGAAGGGCGAGGGGAAGCCCAAAACCATGGGTTTAAAGTACTAACCCGACTAAACCGATCTGGTTTTGGATGATTTGGGGGTACCCCCAGATAAGGTTTCTGAGGGCTCTGAGAGCGTTTTTTTTTTTCGTTTTGGGACGGCCTGTGTGGGAAACAGGTGAACAGATCCCAGCCTTTGTACAGTAGATCAACGTCTGCAGATAGAACATATCCCATCCCAAACGTATATCTTTCTAATGTGGCGACGGCGAACCCAATATATATATAATTAACCCACCATGTGGGGATGGTATTAGTATTACGTATTATTACTACTACTACTACTACTATTAAACTATTATATACTGTTAATTATTGTTATTATTTATTGGGTTGGCCACATTTTGCCACATGATTTTCGGGATCCCCGCAGGCGGTGCCAGCCTCTGGGAGATCCCATGCTGGGAAGCTAAGATGGGTTGGAAAGGGTGGGTCGTATGGGTTTTAGGGTGGAAGTCGTCCCATGATGGGTGGAATGAGGCTGTAAATGTGGTATGGTTTTGTAGGTAAACATTGAAAAACTATGTAAAATCTCCATTTTGGGAGGTTAACCATATTCAACCCATCTTAAACCTCCATATTTTGATGGTACCCTCTGGTAATTTGTTACATAGCGAACTGGAAAATCACCATGCTATTAATGGGAAAATCCACTATTTCTATGGCCATTTTCAATAGCTATTTTGACATAACCAGAGGGTAGTAAGGCCATGATTCATATCCATGGGAACCCCCATGACACCAGCCACGAAGGGTCCAAGCCACGGTGCGGTGCTCCAAGGTCGCACGGCAATGAGCTGTCCATGCGGGAACTGGAGCGCCAGCTGCAGGAGCTGAGGAGAGACAAGGCGAGCGACTAACTTTTGGGCGTTCGGATGGGATGAGTCATGGTGATGAATGATCAACAGCTTAATATGCGTAGTACTAATCAAACTGGGTATAGTTGGAGCCGATCTTAGAGACTCTCAGTCAATTGAATTCATCCCGGAGTCATCCCAACTATAACATAATCTTTTGTGAAAAACGTTACTTCATGTTATTGTTTATAACATATTCCAACATGATAACTGGTTGGTGGTGACTGGAACATGGTTTTTATAACTTTCCATCTATTGGGAATAATCATCCCAACTGACGAACTCATATTTTTTAGAGGGGCAGGTATACCACCAACCAGTTAATCATGATAATCATTATGTAATCATGGTGATTAATAGTTAACTTATAGTTGTGAATAATTATACCAATAATGATGATTTTTAATTGGTACTGACCAATAACGGTCAGTAATGATCATGAACATTATTGCTTAATATTAATAGTGTATGCTCAATCAAAACCAATAGTGGTTAAATAATGTGATGACTGATGAACCAACTAGTCAATGTTAATGATAGTTATATCATCATTAATACGTTGTGAGCCATGATTAATGATTAATAGTTGATGATGATGATGATTACTGTATGATGATGATGATGGTGGTGGTGGTGATGATGATGATGATGAAATAGTGATCTAGCTAATTTTCAATGATGATGGTTGAGAATTGATGACCAATAACTAAGAACCAGTAGCAATGACGATTCACATATCTAGTTGATACTGATACTTGATAAGGATGGCTCGTGGTTCATCAAGGGCAATACTGGTGTTGAATGGCGATTAATTATATAATTGAATTTCCACCTGGAAATCAAACATGGCAATTGAAGATCCCCTGCAAATGGAGGTTTATAGCTGAGAACATCAACTCTTGTCCATTGCAATGTTTGATTGCCGGGTAAAGCAATCAACTTCAACTTGATGCCTAGGGCTGGTGGAGCCACACAAATGCCCAAGTTATGCGGAGGTATTTTGTTTCCTTATACTTTGTGGTAGAAACCATCGGGAATTTGGGGAGGGAGGCTACTGTTTCGCTATAGAAATGGAAAAAACATGAAAAACCGAGTTATCTAGCTAGCAGCTATATAAAATGTACTGCAATGAACTGAAGGGCGGGAAATTGAAAGTTGTGGAATGTTGTGGACATCTTGCAGATGGCGTGTTCGCCAGCCCTTCCCTTTCGTCGGGATGCCCGGCCTCAGGTGAAGATCGATGATCACATCAGAAGAATGGAGTCTGCACAGAAACGTTTCGGTACCTCGAAGTGCAGTCGCTGGTGTGTAAATTCATGTAAATTCCAAGTGCAGGATGGAGTTGGGTCAACTTGACCTCATGTTTCTTCAACCCTGGAGGAACCCCTGTAAAATTCAGCTTCCTTTTTGGTTCCATTTCAATGGGAAAAAGTAGCACCTGCCAGGGGTCTGCCCTGAATCGACGGGCCTCCCTGCGATCCAGGTTGCAGATCTCTGGCACCCTCTGGTTAATGTCAAAATAGCTATTGAAAATGGCCATTTATAGTGGATTTTCCATGATTTTCCCATGGAAAATCACCTGTTAGTTTAACATATATAGCTATTGAACATGGCCATTTATTTCGTGGATTTTCCCATTGAAAATGGTGATTTTCCATCGTTTTTTGTATGTTTACCAGAGGGTAATTGAGGAGACAACCACATCACTGGAATTGTCTCAGGAAAAGTTGCGAGGAAAGCGGACCCCCCTTCATTGAAATCCTGAAAGTACCCTCTGGTTATGACTAACATAGCCATGGAAAATGGCCCATTTATAGATGATTTTCCCATTAATACCTCCATTTATAAGGGATTTTCCATGGCTCTGTTAGTCATAACCAGATGGTAACCGCAAAAAAACACCATGGTTTCGGGGCAGCCCAAAGCCCTCCCCAAGGATTCCGTTGGAAAACGCCCTTGGATCCCCAAAGCTGACGCGTCTGTGCCGAGGTGATGAGGACAGGTCCAAGTTGACGGCCATGCATAGCCAGGAGGAGACCAAAGATGACAAGGCCTGGTTCCGGCCTGGGAGGCTTTGGGGGTGACCAGCAAAGAGCTATGAAAAAGCGGTTGGTAGCTTCAGAATTAAAGAAGTGTCATGTACTGTTGCACACCTTGCAAGATCAAAGAACTGTCATAGATCTGATCTATATGATATATGTATGTGGTAGGTAGTATTGATGTGTTTCACACCTTGCAAGTGCGAAGGAGAAGAAGGAGGATGGTGAAGACGGCGAGGAAAAGGATGAAGATGGTGAAAAAAAGGAGCAGGAAGAGAGCAGAAAGAGAAAGAGGGAAGATGATGTGGTCCTTAAGCTGCAGTAGCGAGCAGTCCGCCTGGTAGTTGCGGACAAGTGTTCAAACGCTGCTACCGTGGGCAATTGGCCATTGATCGGAAAATGATGTGGGAGGGAAACATGGGGTGAAACTTGTGAATATGCAGTAAGCCAGTAAGCTACTCATTTTCTCAGATGATCCTCATGCTGAGCCCTCGAATCTATTCCCAACCGTGAGCATCACCCTACTTTTCATTGTGCAACCACTAATATGTAGCCAATAATCGTCATGAATATCCATGAATGACCCCTTCTATTACTAAAACTCCCCCCAAAAAAAAACAATAGGATTGGTGTGGCACTTCCGTTTTTTTTGGTTGGGCACTATTGGATTCTTAATTGTGGTAATTGAGAATCAACAGGAGAACAGGATGGTGAAACAATGGGTTCAACCCCCTTTTAACAAAAATAGATTGCCACCTGGAGGTTTTTTGGTTCGGGCCCCATCTCACAAGTTTTATTTTTTTGTTTTTTTTAATTAAGGTTTTCATTGGAACATTAAGGGAAAACTTCAAAATTCAGTTTTTGGCAATGATTATAGATTTTTAAAAGGGATTTAATCAAATTTGAAATCAAGTTGTTTAAAACTTTTTATCATTAGGGTTTTCATTGGAAAATTAGGGGCGCCCGAATACAAAATACCCCCTAATAATAAGAATAGATCACCGTGTTTAGTTTACCATTTGGGGGGTGTTTAGTAATAGGGAGAAAGGATTATATCCCTGCATGACTGTGACAAACCCAGTAATCAACCCTCCCAATATTACCAATATATAGTTTGTTGATGTTTTTTGGTATATGTCATCCCCAATGGGCTTATGACTGAGTTTACCACACCCATTGACGTCACCACCTGGGCCCCGCTGAGGAGCAGAGGAAGAAGGAAGGTCGACCTACTAAAGCGGACCCCAGGCGGGTGAAGTGGGTTGGGAACGTTTGGGGATATTTTTTCTGGGGATTGAGTGGGAATTCATGGTGAGTTTTTCTGGATTTTTACTGGTATGGTGGGATTTTGGTGGATTTTGATGCAATGGAATTCCCTGTGATTCTATGGTGTTTTTGTCGGTGATTCATAGTGATTGATCAACAAAAACAATGAAATTGATTGGAAATGCACTCCGGTAATTACACAGTGGGCTATGGTATAGATGGCCGATTTTCCATAGCTATGTTAAGATACAAGAGGGTAGATGTTGATATATGGATTCAATCAGTTTTTAGCCATCTCTGCTTCGGGTTGGGGCCCTCAAGGAACCTCTGTCGGATTTCGAGGTTGCAGGTTGGCTAACTTGGCTACTTGGAGGATCATCCCGTGGACCGTAAGTGCAAAAAATACTGCTGTGTAAGTTCCAAAAAATCCTGAGTTGTCCCATTTCAAAATGGCACAACCACCATCTTAGAACTAACCCCAGCTATCCCAATTTGATGCATGGGACGATGGAGAAACTGAAGATTTCAAAGGCCTGCCGCAGAGCCAGGAGCCGTAATCTCTTTGGGAAGCTGCTGGGCCACCTTCAGTCTGCCAAAGACAGGACGCTTTCCGCTGTTGCGATGCGGGTTCAAGCAGGGAGAACTTGATGGGGATGGAAAAAAACCATAGGCAAGTGAAACCCTACTAAAATAGTGATCATTTAATTTTACTATGCTTTTGGGGGTTACTATTTCGGGTATTTGTACTTATGTGATACTGCATTTGGCTCAAACGATTGTTCTCTCGATTCAGGCTGTGCATTTTGTTCTCTCGTCATTGACTAAAAGAATGATCCTGGTATGGGATAGTTTGGCAGTTTCATTGTTAGTGCCAGAACAAAGGTATTGAGTAGTTCCCAGTGTTTGGACAACATGACACCTACCTTGCTGTGCTCACTGAAAAAGATTGTGGAGCATGGTGCGTTTCTTGGTGTCAGGCTGCAGAAGGAAAAGACCAGCAAAGTGGGTGAACTGCAGCAGAAAGCCTTGATGAAAGTGGAGGCTCCCGTAGCCCCCCCGTAGATTGCAAAACCTCCCCCGGGGCCTCCGGGTGTTGATGGTGAATCACTGGATGATGCCAGGAAAAGGTGAATCTCAGCAAGATGAACCTGAAGGAGTTTAGAAGAGGTGAGTGGCTGGTCTGCACTTCAAGGTGGCCAGGGCGGCCTGGGCCACCTTGCGAAGGGCTACGGCCTTGACATCCCAGAAAGGATACTTAACTGTTGTGTTCACGCAGATTTTTACAATCGTTTACATATGCTCATGGGTACTGAGATTTCAGAGCTTGCCCCATTGATGGTAGGTAAGTTGCGGCCCGACGCATGGGCTTTGTAATTCATTGTGCATGGTAGGCCTCCAACACGGAATCCAACGTGGCAGCGGGAACAGCTCCCATGTTGAAACTCCCAGGTTCATTGCCTAAGAATTGCCACATTTTCTGCCCATTTGCGGGAAACATCTCCTACACAGTGTATTTTCCACGATGTTCCTCTCCCTTTCCCCAAACTCAACCCCCAAGCTAGACAACCCGTTGATCCTACTAATTTCATCCGAACTTCAGAGGTATCCTGTTGACCCCAGCAACGGCTTCACCCCGGTGGACTGAGGTTCACCAAGACGCTGGAGGAGGAACAAGCCAGAGCCACTTGGGCCTTGGCAGTGCTGCAATTGTAGCAAAATGTAGCAAAAAAGGGCATGGTTCAAAACATTTTTCAGACCAAGACTGACATGAACCCATTAAACATCATCAAACATGGTAACATGGCTTCGGACTTTCGAACATGATTCAGATATGATTGGTGGTTTCACACCTTTCCCATCAGAGGTCGTTTTCTTTCACTTGGGCAGCCCTGCCTTCGTCGCTGTTTAACGAGGTCCTGGAGATCGAAAAGCAGATCGAACAAAAGGAGGTGCTCCTGCTCCAGCGGCGCTTGGAGAGCCTTGGTCTTTGGCGATTCTCAAGGTCTATGTTGACTTGGGAAGTGGTCACCCGGTAAACATATTTTTTTGAACAGCTGCTTTTTGTTTCACAACCTTGAGAGACATAAGAACGCATGAATATGACGAACATATGACATAATATGACTAACTTGTAGCACTGTGTCTTACTGTAAGGATTCCTGCATCAGGAATGGTTTTCAATCATTTACTATAGATAAGGCAGGATCTGCATTTCAGTTCCGGGCCGATGATTGTTCCATCCAATGTGCTTAATTATATCCGTTTATCATGGTCCATCTTGGTTTCTACCTGAGTTGCATGTCAATGATGTTCAAATCATATTGTCCTGGAATATCTTGCAATACCTTAGATTTTCCGTGAGGTTATCCCCAGGTTTGTTGCCATATCTCCCCATCCATGTCCAAATCCTCTCAGGAACCACTACTCCCTGATGATGAACTTCATCCGTACTGAGGTCACTTGTCCCTATTTTGGCAGCCTGTGAGCCCTGGGACCTTTACGGGTTCACAAGTAGGTTGCAGCACGATGGTTGGGTGTCCTCGCCATTTTGACTGGCATGTAGGCACGCTAATCTTCTAGTAGAAGTGTGTTGAAATATCTATGCTAATCCCATCGCATTTCCCCGACACTGCGTGGCAGGTGTCGCCTCCCATCTTCTTTTTGCCTGCGAAGCACACCCGGGACACCGAGAAACAGCTGCTTGCTTCACAACGTTTCGAGCGTTTCGGAAGCTGCCTCCAGTGATCCTTAGAGCATCGCTGGTGTGGTGAAAAGGGAATGATGCCCCACTGCTGGCTGTTGATGGCTTTGGCTGCCGTGGGTCTGAGCCTCGGCTGAGGTTGGAAGCGACTCGTGCGGGAATCAAGGGCAAAATCGCGGCGCTGAAGCATCAGCTCCCTCAGGCTGGGTTTCAGGGCACTTAAGGAGTTGAGCACAATTTTAGGGGGGGTGGGATTCGGACTTGTTCTATTACGTTCTTTTGGGGATTTGTGCGTAATTACTGTGATCTATTTCATGTTCACCTGGCCCAAGACGTTGGGGGTTTCCGACTTCAACTCCGATCCTGGGCAGGTGCCGGAGGCTGAAATGAAAGGCTCCGCTGACGATTGGACGGGGATGGGATTGGCTCGCAGCGGACCGGGAATCAGCATGTTGCCCCAAGACCATGGCGAAACATGGCGAAACATGATGAACACCAAAAAAAATGTCTCCAGTGGATTGGGATGTATTGGGATTGGTTCCTTCATCGATTCTGGTAAGACTTTAAAGCAGGCTCCCCTGTTCACAGCTGTGGTGTCAGAGCGTCTTGAGATTCACTGTGCCTGCACCCCTGTAACACCTGGGGTCCCAAACAATCCAAAAAGTGCGTTTGTTGAAAAGTAAGGTACGCAAAAATCTCCGGTCAGCCAGTTTAGATGACACACTTCTCACCATCAAACTTGGAAGTGATCATCATTCTCACTCACTACAAGCATTCGAATGCCCATCATTTTTTTCAATCAGCCAAAAAGACTCATAGAACTTTGAAAGGTCACCCAAAGGTCACCCCGCAAATTCATTCAGAAGTGGGTTTTTAACAATGCCATGGGCCACATGCCAGAAAGCACCATCCCCCAGTCATCGCCATTTTTATAGGTATAAAACTTACCATTCCCAGTCATTGGTGGTGCAAATGGCATTGTTTTACCATGTTTTACCCACACTAAGGCCTTATGTTTTTTGGGGGATACCAACCACCATCAAGCCCCGCTGGTACCCGGTTTCCCTGAGGTGCTGAGGGTGAGCAGAAGGAGGCAGAACCAGAGGTGCACAGCTGGTGGCTGGAAGTTCAACATGGGAGTTTTGTAAAGAAACGTTGTGTTCGATGTGGACAGTGGAGATATAATATTATTATTATTATTACTATTATTATTATATAAGGTATACAGTATACGGTATAACACTGTATATATCTTATGGTATGATAATGATTCATTATGATAACACATGAATAAAGATGATACAGATGTCCAGTTGTATATGTGATCCTCCAGTTATATGTGCCATTTTTGGTTTGAGGTGAGCGGGGGGGATCCGCTCAGCAGCTCCCAGCCTCTTCAGGCCCCTCGAGAAGAGGCAGCTGAAGCCGATGGTTGGGAGCCTTGGGACCCCTGGTGCCCTCGCATACCCCATGTATATGTCTGGTTGGTGGTTTGGAACATGGCTTTTATGACTTTCTATATATTATTCATATATTGGGAATGTCATCATCCCAACTGACGAACTCATATTTTTTTCAGAGGGGTAGGTATACCACCAGCCAGATGTCTATATAGTTCTATGTAGTTCTATATATCTATGACAATCTATGTGTATAATGTATTACGAACCAGTTCCTACAATTTACCCTTCGCTAATCAAACATGGTTTGCTGGAAAATCCACCCAGGATAGACTTATGATTTTCCCATTTAAAAACCTTCCATTTATACGGGATTTGCCATTGCATACACTGCCAGGTTGCCGAGGGAGATGGGACATGAAAACCACCATCATTTTATGGTGATTTTATGGGGTTCTAATGGAGGTTGTAAAGGGGCTTAATCCTTCTGCTTGATCAATGCCTCCAAGAAACTCTTTGTTTTGGCACTGGCCCTACCAGCGAAAATTGCGCAAAAAGAGATGAAGACAGTGGTGCGATTCCCTTGTTTGTGTTAAAGTTTATGTGCAATTTGAGGCCTTGGAAATTGGAAATGGAACATCCTCACGTGTTAGTTTTGTGATGGGGATCGATGGGACTCAACGAACTCTTCCTATAATAGTATACACTAGTATTAACCTAGTGACCATTATTGGATGATATTAACATATATTAACCACTATAAAAAGGCCCTTTTGGAAACTCTTACCATGGTTGTTCCATGTTGTTCCTTAAAACCCAAGTGTTTAGTGGTGACGATCTCCCTGGTAAATGGCGGAAAGGCGGACAACATCCAACAACCCGGCTGGATTTGGATGTAAAAGCCATGTAAAACAGGTCATTTCTATCCCACATACCCGGCCTGGTAAACATACAAAAAACTATGGAAAATCACCGTTTTTAATGGGAAAACTCACTATAAATGGCCATTTTCAATAGCTATGTTAAATTACCAGAGGGTAACCATGGTTTGCCTATCTTTAAATTCGCGGCTTCCCCAGTGAACCTGAGTTTCCTTGGGCCTGCAAGGTGCAGAAGCGAAGGACGATGCGAGTGACAGCTCATGAGCGCGGTGTCGTGTGGCGACACATGGCAAGCCCCGAAACAGACATGGCTTTGGAAAGGCTCAAACACATTGACATCAGGAAACTGGAAGGTGGCACAAAGGCAAATATGTGCACATATCGAACTCGCAATCGTTTTCTCCTAAATGATGACAACTAGCCAACCAATGATGACAACTGGCCAACTCAGAATACCCTCCCCACACCATAGTCACAAAAAAATGTCATGAAAAAAGCTGATAGCTCAAGACACACAGCATCGAAGCAGGGCAAGCAGGGCTGGCGGACTCAATCAGAACAATTGGATGTGGCAATTCCAAACAACCGACGGTGCTGCGGGCTGTGGGATGTTGAATGAAGTAGTTGCACATATTTCCAGGCAAAATCATCTATACACATGCTCAATCTTTAGCAGTCACAAGGTTCTTTCAAGATGTTTTTTACATGCAAAAGACATCTTTCAGGAGGGCGGATGAAGCTGAAAGAATCAGAAGATCTATGTCGAATGACCCAGGGTTGGGTCGTCAAGACGTTACAACCAACATCAACCAACATTGTCGTTTGGCGTTTGGTTTCCCTGATATGTTTGTCCCTAAATTCATCTGAATTCCATATAATTCTCCATGCGTTGGCGGTTTGATTCTTAATTGTTTAATGTTTCAATTTCTAATTAATCATAATCATAAGCCATTGCACCCCACAACCTTTTTGAAGTCAAACATGTGGAAATGGGTTGCTGTGATCAGTGGAAAGTCTGGTATGGTGATAGCCACCATGGCTCATGCAACCTTGGCTCAAGCCGCTGGCGCGAGCCATAACCCAGGGACCGAGCACTGAGGCCAGGATGTTTTTGCAGATTGGGGTGTTCCCCCAAAAAATATCATTGGTTTCTCTATGTATAAAAAAAAACGCGCAGATCCAGTGTAAGACAGTGTAAGATGTTTTTTGGGGTCCCCATGTTAAGACACACCCTGTTTTTGATTTTGGGGTGAGATGATTTTTGACTGCGTGTGTGCCGCTGCCCAGTCCATGAGGGCAAATTTGACCAGTCTGAAAGGGTAAGGGTGAACTCTCATCTGTGCTATCCCGCAGCACCACAGTCCGAGCACCGCAGTTCGCTCCCGGGGTAGAGCCATGGGAAAAGCAGCAAAAGGAGGGAAGAAGCTGCCCTCTGCCCCTTTGGCAGACAAGAAAAAGGCCAAGAAGAACCCTTTGTTCGAGAAGGCTCCTCGCAACTACCGCCTGGGTGGTGACATTCAGCCAAAACGTGATCTCACCCGATTTGTGAAATGGCCCAAATACATCAGGTTGCAGCGTCAGAAGCGCATCATGTTGATGCGATTGAAGGTGCCCCCTGCCATCAACCAGTTCAACATGGCCATGGACAAGAACCAGGCGGCAAATGTGCTGAAGCTTTGCAAGAAGTACATGCCTGAGACCAAGGAGGCAAAGAAAGCACGACTCATGGAGATGGCCAAACAGAAGAAGGAGGGACAGGAAGTGAAGACCAAGAAGCCCCAGGTGTTGAAGTATGGCTTGAACCATGTGACCACCTTGGTGGAAAACAAGATGGCAAAGTTGGTGGTGATTGCCCATGATGTGGATCCTATCGAGTTGGTGTGCTGGCTTCCGGCACTGTGCCGCAAGAAGGATGTGCCTTACTGCATCATCAAGGGCAAGAGCCGCTTGGGCCAGCTGATCCACCAGAAAGCGGCCTCTTGCATTGCCATCACTTCCGTGAAGCCTGAGGATGAGAAGGACCTGAACACCCTGATCAACAACTTCAAGGCCCAGTTCAACGACAACCTTGAGAACAGAAGGCGATGGGGTGGCGGCATCATGGGCATCAAATCCCAGCACGTCACTCAGCGCAGGGAGAGAGCCATTCAGGCTGAGAAGGCCAAGAAGCTGGGATTGCAGCTCGCCTGAGGTGCAAGGGCACAAGAACGACGGCTGCGGAGTGAGGTGGAAAAAGCACGTACTGGCTGCATTATGCTGCATTACTTGTAGGTTGTAAATTTCTTTGATTTGTACGAATGGCTGTGTCGAAATGGAAACATGACAATCGTTTTCGAATGATTGTTCGAGATATTTCCACCGCCTGCAAGTGGTGGTTGATGCCTGAACGGGACTTTCTTCAACCATGATCATACCTGTCGTCTCTGTCTTGCTTTGTGTTTCTCCATTTGTATTTGGAAAGCTTAAAAATAACCCAGCTTTTTGGATGTGTTGACCACTGATCAGATCTTCAGAACGGTATTGACTGATTCATTTGCAACTTGTTGGTGCTTTGCCGACGTGTTCCATGATCACATGTGGAAGAAAAGGCCCGCCGTCCCTTGTGGCTATTCATTTCCTAGCACCACAGTCCGAGCACAGCAGTTCGCTCCCGGGGTAGAGCCATGGGAAAAGCAGCAAAAGGAGGGAAGAAGCTGCCCTCTGCCCCTTTGGCAGACAAGAAAAAGGCCAAGAAGAACCCTTTGTTCGAGAAGGCTCCTCGCAACTACCGCCTCGGTGGTGACATTCAGCCAAAACGTGATCTCACCCGATTTGTGAAATGGCCCAAGTACATCAGGTTGCAGCGTCAGAAGCGCATCATGTTGATGCGATTGAAGGTGCCCCCTGCCATCAACCAGTTCAACATGGCCATGGACAAGAACCAGGCGGCAAATGTGCTGAAGCTTTGCAAGAAGTACATGCCTGAGACCAAGGAGGCAAAGAAAGCACGACTCATGGAGATGGCCAAACAGAAGAAGGAGGGACAGGAAGTGAAGACCAAGAAGCCCCAGGTGTTGAAGTATGGCTTGAACCATGTGACCACCTTGGTGGAAAACAAGATGGCAAAGTTGGTGGTGATTGCCCATGATGTGGATCCTATCGAGTTGGTGTGCTGGCTTCCGGCACTGTGCCGCAAGAAGGATGTGCCTTACTGCATCATCAAGGGCAAGAGCCGCTTGGGCCAGCTGATCCACCAGAAAGCGGCCTCTTGCATTGCCATCACTTCCGTGAAGCCTGAGGATGAGAAGGACCTGAACACCCTGATCAACAACTTCAAGGCCCAGTTCAACGACAACCTTGAGAACAGAAGGCGATGGGGTGGCGGCATCATGGGCATCAAATCCCAGCACGTCACTCAGCGCAGGGAGAGGGCCATTCAGGCTGAGAAGGCCAAGAAGCTGGGATTGCAGCTCGCCTGAGGTGCAAGGGCACAAGAACGACGGCTGCGGAGTGAGTAGAAAAAACACGTACTGGCGTTGTTCTCAGTGGCGTTGGTGGCCGAAGATTTTTCCATCGATAGGGTTTAAACCGCCACACTGGTCCTCAAGGCATCGTGTTTTCGCTAAAAGATTGGGTTGCAACTGGCTTTTTGTTGCAGCATCTTGCAGCAGTTTGGCATCCAAACTTGCTGCTACCGAAAATCATATCCCCGCCGTTTGAAAGCTTGAACTCTGAAACATCGCATAACATGCCATAAACCAAGCTGCTGCCCCCATGAGTTTCAGCTTTTCCCAATTTTTTTCGCCGCCATTTGGACCAGCTGGACCAGGCAGACTTCCCGGTAGGCGCCATGTTTGGAGCCTCAGAGGGCAGTGGCGCACAGGTGACAACCAACAGGGGATTTACCCTCTGGATCCCTCTGGTAAATTAACGTAGACCCTGGCAGTCATCGCGGTTGGAAGACTAGTTTCCATCAAAAATTGGTGATTTTCAGGGTCTATGTTAATTTACCAGTGGGTAGTTTGATTGGAGTTCGTATGGACAATATCTAACTACCATATATCACTAATTAAGTTGAATCAACAAAACACCGGGATTTATGCCATCAAAAAGGGAGGATTGATTGAAGAGACGAAAAGTTGGATATGAAGCAGCAATTTTGGATGTGTATCACAACTTTGCACGCCAAGTCCTTAGATTTGCTGATCGTTTTTGGTAGGAACAAGGCCAGTACTACTTTGTTGGGTACTCAATATCCCCCATTATCCCCCCATAGTCAGCCAGAATCCGTTCCCTTCTGGGAAGTCTATGTATGGACCCACGGGGTGCAAGAGGTTTCCAACCGTCTTTAACAGGCTTCCTCATCCTCCATGAGTGTCAACTTTTTGGTGCGGTAAACTGGTAAACCGCTATGTGTGCCATTGAGCTATACCCCAAAACGGTTTTTCAGAAGGGACATCATGTGGAAACCATTGGACCCTGTCTCAATCCCAAGCCTTAAAAACTCGTTGAATCCAGAAGTTTACGGGTGACATGAGGTGACATCAACTTTATGAAACATACGTCGTCCATAGGGTTGTCTGGGGTTGCTGCCAGTTCAGCATTGGTATCACCAAAGGTTGTGACTTTCCACTGGACGCCACCATCCAGTCCCACGGTTTTTTCAGTAGGCTTTCATCATCTTGCATCGACAAATCTTGGTTGGGCTGAATTCCTTTCTACTTCGAGATTCACTAATGATGGATATTCAGCCACTACTTTATACTTACCCTCTGGTAAACTAACGTAACTATGGAAAATCACCATTTTTAACGGGAAAACTCACTATAAATGGCAATTTTCAATTGCTATGTTAGTCATTACCAGAGGGTAAAGTGGATGATGAATACCCGTGAATCATTGCGATGTATCTAAACAACTCGCCGTGTTCCACGAGGTCGGATGGCAATGAGCTGTCAAGAAGGGAGCTGGAGAGACAAATCCAAGAGCTTCGGCGAGACAAGGCCGTTCTGCCAAGACATCAGGGGTGTGTCTCCAAGTTACGGATAGGTTTAAGTATGTTTAAGTACAAAAAAATGTCAGATGATAAACCATCAATCGTTTTTTCCATTTTTTTTGGAACGAATGGCGGATGCGCCCAAAAATAGGTTACGATTCGATTTGTAACCGGTGGATCCAGAGGGTACCTTAAATTTTCGGAGAAATTCATTTGGGGCATCAAGGTGGACACACCAATTGGCAAATGAACATGGGTGTGGCTGCCAGCTTCAGTACTTCACTATTCAACATGGGGGTCAGTTGTTTGGAGCCAGTTCTTGGCAATCTTGACGTCCTCCCAACATGATAGGCCCTACTCTCAATTGCAACTTGGTTGCTTGACACTTTTACTGGTAGTCGGCAGGGTTTAGGTCCCACTTGTCTACTATAGTCTTAGCATTTTTTTTTCCTCATAAAATCGCCATTCTCAAATAATTCCCTGTACTTCAAACTTTCCCTGGTAATTTAATCATATTATACTGGTTGGTGGTTTGGAACATTTTTTATTTTTACATATATTGGGAATAATCATCCCAACTGACTATTTTTCAGAGGGGTAGGTCAACCACCAACCAGTATACAATCCATAGCCATATGAATCATTATTAATCCAATTTTTGATGGGAATATCCATAAATATTTTCCCACCATCGCCCCATCGGCATGCCATCTGCAGGTCCGCCTGGATGACAGCATCCGACGGATGGAAGCCACGCAGAAACGCATCTTCGGTCGCTTGGCGGGGCGAAGGTCGTGTGGTGCGGGGTAAAATGATGGGAACATGATGGTATAAAATGTATAAACCAAGAAGAAGTGGGGAAGAAGCATATTTTGAAACTGGGGTAAAGAAGTATGGTGATGTAAGTTCATGTCATTTCATGTCAATTGCCATATTGTGATCAGACTCATAGAAGGAACCATGACAGCATGAAAGTTGTGGGGCAACTAGTGACTAGTGATCAATATTTCGAAGTATTGGACCTATTGGTTTTGGGGGCCCACATGGGAGGATTCAACCTCAGTGGGATGAGATCCGTGGACCCGCTATCCGCTGTTTGAGGCGAGGAAGAAAGACAAAAGCTGATGGCGATGCATGAGAAGAAGGAAAATGGCGATAAGGAGGCGGACCACCATGGACACGGCATGGATCTAGGATGACCTAGGTGTGTGTTTGATAAATCATCGCATGTTGATAGAGTATACAGTAGAACAGACCAAACATGGTATATGGATTTGGTGTTTGAGAATGGGGGTATGCTCTACCCCCAAAAATGGCCTATTGGAGAGGGGGAACCTGGATCTGGCTGAAAGATCCTTAAAGATGCTCCGTGGGAAGTCTGGATCCATGTTTGCAAGCATCTCATCTATTTGGGGAGTATAATGAATCTATAAGATGAATAGGAGCTAAAGATTCAAATCCTAGGTTTGGGTTGAACATGGACCCAGCCATGCTGTTGGTTGCTGGTTGGCTCGAATTGTGGAGATTCAGATGGGGGAGGATTCGGAAGGATGCGCTTTTGTGGGAAGGTGAGTCCAAGCCAGAGTTTTCGAACAGAGATATCTCCCCAATACTATTTTTGTTTAAGGCGACTTTGCAGTTTCCATCGGAAACTCCTAGGTCCTATAGTGTATACTATGCTTAAGTCAGTCGATCCAAATACAGATCCAAATGGTAGCATTGGAATGCCAATATCGATCTGTTGCCGTGCTGGTCGCCAATGAATCTTTGCGCTCCACAGGATGAGGATGGAGAGAAGGAGGACAAGGAGGAGGAGAAGAAGGAGGAGCAGAGTGAAGAGACCAGAAAAAGAAAAAGTGCCCTGCCTGCATTTGATATTGTTTCATGGCCTGCCGCAGGTGACGCCAGAATACCCATAGCATTGTTGGGCACACGTTATATGTGTTTCACCTTGTGTCACCCCTTGGTCACTACCTGCTCTTGATAGTGGTGACCTGTAAGTCCCACGTGCCCAAGTGGAGGGGTTGATCATGGAACTGTAGCGCCCTGAGGAGAAGACGAAGCAGCGCCCTGGCCAGACCATTCTTGGCGCGTGGAGGGAGCCTCCTGATGATCGCTGCATCCCCGGAACTTGTTTTTTTTTGGGGCGATTTCATGAGTTTCATCCGTCAAAACTAGGAGGTTTCCACGTCTTGGGATGGCAAAATCCCATGCCAAGAGTCCCGGAAAGCTATTTTGCATCTATTTTGCAATCCTGGCCTCGAAGCCGCTCCATGTGCAGTATTCACCTAGGAGAAGAGAAAGAAGGAAGGGCGGCCTACTAAGACGGATCCAAGGACTCCTGGTTTTCTGGTGCTGTGCAGATCCGCCAGTTTCACCAGCCAAGTTCGAGTGAAAAACTGCTAGGGAAGGTGGTGGTCAGGACGGCGCACTAAGACTTGGTGACGAAACATTGAAGTGGTCAGTGGTTCAAACGAGGTGAACAGGACATATAGAATCATCATGATTATCATTACACTATTGATTTATATTGCAGTCATCTTTTTTGGAACAGTATTATCATATGACGGAACCCTTTGCAAGGAGCCGGAATCTCTTTGGAAAGCTGTTGGGCCACCTCCAGTCTGCCAAAGACAGGCCTGCGTCATCGCCTTTTCAAACACCTCGACCCTTCAGTGAAGGTTTGCTACATATACACAGATGAAACAGGGCTAAGGGTCAAAGAAGTGCGTAAATTCAGGCCCGTCACCTTTTTGTAGGGTGTTCTGTTTTGATCATTTTGGCAAGTCGTGACTTGTGAGTTTCTGCTGTTTCAAATTCCACCGCAGGCTGCAGAAAGAAAAGACCAGTAAGCTGGGCGAAATGCAGCAGAAAGCAATGAGCAGAGTAGAGGAGAAAGTCAATGCCACCTGCTTGTTTTAGCATGGCACGTGAAAGTTGTTTTGGAAGATTTGTTGAAAGATGTTGAACACGGTTTGAGGACCTGTTTCCTAGTGATTCTTTTGGCAGAGTGTTATTACTAGGACATCAGGTTGGGACAATCTCTTGGGAGCTGTTCAATACGCTTGAAGACATATTTGGTTTGAGTGGTCGCTTTTGCATGTAGATCCTGGTTCCCCATTTCTGCAAAACAACCCGCCGGATATTTGCAAACCCGGACATGTCACACCCGCCAAAATCCATCCCAGAGTTCTGGACGCATGGTTGCAACGATGGCCTGAGGTCAGTAGGATGAACATCAAAAGCTTAAGAAAAGATGAGTCACCATGCGGCAGTTGAGAAGTACGGTTGCAGCTTGTGGGTGTTGGGTGAGTTTTTGGTGGGGATGGGACGCATATTTACCTGGAATGATGAAGCGGGGCTAAATCTTTTTAGGAATAGCTTGATCGTCCTTCAACAAAAGCGTGGGTTACTGTAGCCACTAGGTCAGTGGGTCACTAGGTGTTTGACCATCGCACATTCAGCCTTTCATGTTTGTTTTCCCTCGACTTCAAGGTCAAAGACAGGGATCTCAGTATTTTGTGGGATGGTCCAAGCAAAGACCAGCAGAACCAGCTACTGTCCTCTGGTTTGCAGCTAACTTCCAGCTGCAATGTATAGACCATTAATATGTGTGTGTGTATGTGTGTATGTGTATTTGTAACTATATATATAATTACATAAGTATACTTACATAATATGTTATAATATAATATAGTATAACACATAATAAAACATAATATATATATATATATATGTGTGTGCGTGTAACTCTACGTATATGCTTGATGTCGCTAATTTTGATGTTATGGGCCCATCTCTCACCCCTCCAAACCATAAGCAGGGCTGCATCAAGGTTTGAAAAGCAGCTCGTAGACGAACAAGCCAAGGCGGAGAGTTGCAGGAAAGCAGTCCAGATGGCTGGAATCATGCATGTCGTTTCTTTAACATTGGTTGTGACACTCAACATCTTGGACGGATCTATCCAATCAACATCTTTTGTCAATTGGAATCTTTGAATGGTTCATTGCTCTTTTTAGGGGTCAGGGATGGCCAGAGTACCTGTTGAAAAGGATCAAAATGTCCCGTGGACCAAACACCGGGGGGTTGCAAGTGGGATGCGTCGCTTGTGACTTTCAGATTCAGGCCCATCAAGTAACACAATGGGGCTGAGCTGCATCATCCCGTGGTTCTTAACCTCTGTCAGCTAGGACCTGTTCTGATTTTTGAAAGATTGCACTTAGATGGTACTGTGACAAAGCATAGCATAAGAAAACACAACATGTTATTTATACATGTTTGATTTGATCATGTTTGATTTTCACTGTTTTACTCTACTTAAATACCCAACCCATGGGTCCAAACCACCAAGTTGTGTCTTTTTGCTGGTTTCCAGGGACTCCATCAACTATCAACCCCTTTGCGTCCAGCCATGGCGCCACATCCGGATGCCCTGCATGCTGCAGGTGGCAGAGATCGAGAAGCAGCTCGAGGCCAAGGAGGTCCTGCTACTGCAGAGGCAACTCGAGAAGCTCGGCCAAAACAGCTCCACAGGGGGAGGATGGGAAGGGCCTGGCAAGGGGATTGAAGGATGGGGGGTTGAAGAGTGTTGTCTGCGGTTGTGAAAAGAAACAAAAAGTTAGGAAGTGGATGAAAGAGAAAACTGAAGGGCCAGGGTTAAAGTTCTTGAGATTTAAAGTTGTGATGGGCCTTTTCAATTTCTGTCTCTACCTTGGGGTTGCAGATATATGGGCCAGGGTAGATGTGTTGGAAATCATCACCCAGAATTGCTGGCTGAAGGTGTTTCTTCAGAAAGAAGGACTGGAAACCTACAAAGCCCTTCCAGAAACTGAAATGAAAGGTCAATGCCTACGGATTTGCACTTTGGTAATTTCCTGTGTTTTTCGGATCAAGCGTTAGGGGCCAAAGCATTTCCGCCCACATCGGCCAGTGTTTCCTGATTTTTCAGCAGAGACGCTGCCATGCAGCTTCACTTTTTCCGACATCAGCCAGCCAGTGCCATTCTGAGACATGCCTTGCAAAGGCGTTTTTGTAACGCCGTCGCCACACCCCTTGGATCGATCAAGCCGTTCAGCCTGCAGGGGCCTTGGGTGGACAGGGACAAGTTGGAGGCCTGTGCGCCTAAGATGCAAAGTGCCGAAGAGCTGAGGAAGCTAATTGAGGCTGCCAAGGTGCCCCCATGCAGAAAGCGTGAGAAAAGTCCAAACAGGAAGCCGGATGAGATGGGAAGATGGATGTGCACAAGTTGCCTGAAAATGCTCCCAGAGACTGACTTTAGAGCGAGAGTGGGATCATTGACCCCAGTGTGCTATTGTAAGGAATGCGAGAGGAAAACTAAGTTGCGGTACCACCGGACATTGCGAGGAGGGACCATAAACATGTGCAGCAGCGCTTTGGGCCGAGCAAGGCGGCATGGGTTAGAGGGCATCTTGACGTACATGGACCTTCTTGATATGTTGGACAAGCAGGGCGGCAAATGTGCATATTCTGGAGTGAGCATGGAGGTTGAACACCCACACCGTCATTGGAGAATGTCGCTGGAACGACTTGATAATTTCAAAGGCTATGTGAACTCAAATTGTGTTCTTGTGGCCGCGGAGTTCAATTCCTGCGATTACAGCCGTGCCCCAAATGTGGATCCGGAGAGTGTTGCTGGAACTGCCCAATGGTCTGTCCGTAAAGTTCAGGAACTTCCCATATTGCAAAGGCAGCCAGTTGACCTGAGCCAACTTCAGCTCGACATCCAGGCCGCCAGAAAGAGCCCTCGCCAATACCAATCACCGCGAACACCTCACGTACGTATGGCTTCAGTCAGACAATGCGCGGCTTGCTTGCAGGTTCTTCCCCGAGAAGCTTTCTATCGTGGTGGAACAACTTCTGGGATGTCAACTTACTGCAAGGATTGTTCCAGAGACCGTGGACGGCTATACTATGCCTCTCTACGAGGGCACATTAGCAGATGCATAGGCCATGCACGTGAGAGGGCCAGATCCAGGAACCAAGAGTTGTCTATCACATCTGAACATTTGCTAGATTTGCTAGCGCAGCAGGGTGGGCGATGCTACTATTCCCAGGTTCCATTGAATTACGGGCAGGCACACACTGACTGGAGACTATCAGTTGAACGTTTGGACAATTCCATTGGGTACACCCCTTCCAACACTGTGCTGATTGCCGTGGAATTCAACACATCTGATCACAGCCGCAACAAGGCAGTCACGGAAGTGTTTGGAACAGCACAGTGGTCACGTGAGAAGGTTTGGCATGTTTGGGGTCCCTTCCCTGGACAGTAATCCTGGGTTTAAAGGCTGCATTGGCCTGTGCACTGCTGCAAACCTCCCTCGTCCACAAAGAATGGGCATTTGCCATTTACCACTGGACCTGAGGTGGCCCTGGAAAAGAACATAAAAGATGTGTACCGTAATCCTCGCTTGATGGAACTGCAGTGTTCTGTCAAAGAGGTGTGCTAGGTGGATCGGGCTGCAACGCTCCGCCAACCCTGCTGGGCATTTGAATAGGATGGGGTACCAAGAACTGCTGTCCTTCCAGTTCCTTTCGAATTAGCACCATGCTTCAAGATGACAAAAGCCTTGGGCGGTGAAAGAATTGCCCGTGCAGCTTTGCACTAGAGAAGAGAGGTTAGTGGTGTTCGAACGTTAAGTCCGTTAAGTCATAATAAGTTATAGAATTGTGGCCATTTTGTCACATCAAGGCGAGATTGAGATTGTTGTCTCCGGAAGTGCTCCCACGTTCTTCCCTTTGCTTTGAAAGGGGCATGAACCAAGGCACCACTACTCGTTGATGATGAACTTCATTTGCACTGAGGCGCTTGTGCTGCGACACCAGGGGAAGATGTCGTGGGTCCTATTCTTGAGAATCCAGCAGAATGCAGAACTTCACTCGCACATAAGTAATTTCATAATTGGATTGCGTTAAGCCATGCTGATTCGCTATACATCCACCGGAAGGATTAAACACTGGCCGAGATAATAATGGTAATATCATGATACCACCAACCCACCATTGAGATATAGTGTTGCCGCTTAAGTGGTTGATCTACGTTGGGGATGACGACCACTTCTGTCAGAGGTCTTTTTGAACAAAAATAGGCCTTGGGGAAACCCATGAAAAAACTAGAAACATCTATATATAACATAATCTAGCAAAATCGTGGTCCATTTGTTTCGGAATCAATCCTGAACCATCCACATATGACATTAAGCACCATTGATATAGACACCCCAATGAATAGATCTAGTACTAAATCACGCCTGGAGGTCCAATGAGGTAAGAAACCGCAGAGTTTGAAACATTAATTTGGAAGAGCTGGTGATAATGGAAACTGCTGTAGAATGCTTGCTGGAGGCTTCCCCTCTTTTCTTGCATAGTTTTTTTTGATTTTAATACTGTAGGTTTTTGTGGGAGTTATCGAGGATTGGCTGGGATTCCACTGGGGCTGTTCCATTTTTGGGGCCGTGTTTATTTTTATGATTGAATTTTGTTAGGTTCATCTGGGATTAAATTAGCTTTGTGTTCGATTCTACTGGGCTGTACTTAGGACAACTGTGTTGGTCTTTTATTAGATTGTTGTTAGAACATGTGTTGTGCTGGACGTTGGATTTTGCTAGATTGCTATGGGAAATTGGATTTGGTTGCTTGGGGTTGCCTTGATATTTTGCAATTATTTGTTTGTGACTGGCATTTGAGCTGTGCTCCTGGCCACTGAGGGGCTTTGGATTCAATTTTTGTTCATCCATTTTTCTGAGAGGAAAACATGCCAGGATTCACATTGTTTCTGCAGGGGTTTTCCTTGGGAGTCCAGTGGGTTGCTTTTAACAAGAATGCCGTCCTATGAGTTGAGGTGCCCTTTCACAATCTGATGCTTCAGAGCCATGGGGTTTACTCTCCTGATGCTGGGAGGTGCACCCGCCAATCTTCTTCCTCCCTGCGAAGCATACCCGGGATACCGAGAAACAGCAGCTTGGCAATTGTTGTGACTATTTATTTGTCGGCAAAACTTTTTCCACGAGGGCGGAACACACCCTAAAGCCGGGTCACAATTTGATCTCAAATCAAAACGAAACCCGGCGCAGCGGGAAGCACCCATCCATCCCCCTTCTCCATAATTCGTAGCGACCTTGCCTAGATCTCTAAATGTCACGTAGTATGCTACATCTTCGCCAAAAGTAAATTGCAATCTGGTTTGGGATTGTTACATGTCTCCCTACTTATCATTGATAGATCTCACCTTGCCAACAGCTTTTCTGGCCACTGCTGATCGCACCGAATCTGGGGCCATCCATAGGTTGGATAAGACCCGGGCGGGGATCAAGAAGAAGATCGCCACCCTGCGGCTCAACTTCCGACAGGAGGCCGCTTGGAGCTGGCGATGGCATGCCACGGGGCAGCGGTGCCATGGGAAAGGTGATATGTTCTGAAAGTGTCTCAAAGACGTTCAGTTGGGAAGTTGCAGTTGATTCCTGGAATGTGCTGGGATGCATCCGAAAGGTGGAAACTGTGTGGGATTGAAGATGTTGAAGGAAGATGAAGGAAGTCTTACCCATCAGTTCGTCTTTGGATGGAGTACTGTAATTGATTGTATAGTGGAAGCTCCTTTGCAATCAAACATCTGTGGGCGCCAGGTGGAGGCGGCGAACGCTGCTGTTGTCTCCAGCCTTGATATTTATGGTTGGGGAATGTTGGGGATGGGCATTCAAGAATCAAGTGACCACATGGACAAAAAAGAGAACTTGTAAATTGTGGAGATGCATTGGTGGTTGACTGGAACCAACAGCGCGCTGAAGCAAGTAATCAACTAGTCGAAAAGCGCACATGACCATGGATCTTGCGCTATGTCATGTAGGAAGTTCATGCTGCTTTACGATACGCTTGTAGAATCTTGTAATATCTTGTTGGTCTGTAAGCACCGTAAGTTCCGTCAGCATCATGAGGTCGGTCTTGTAATTTATATGGGTTTCATCTCATTCTCAGACTGGGGACGAGGGGATCTGGCTCCATCACTGCCGGCAGCTGAGGCGGCAGCTGAGCCGGCCCAAGAGGCCAAAGAAGGTGTGGCATTGGGGCACTGGCATTGTAACAATTTTCCAGATAGAGATGGAATCAAACAGAATATAAGGAGATAGCCAACTAATTGGAAGGATGTGGCTTGAATGAATTGAATGAATTTGAATTGACCCTATATAATGAACACTTGCTGTTCTATTGCAGCATTGTTTTGAGTCGACAGGTGCCCATGCCATTTGATCGGGACAAAGAAGTATAGTGCCAATAAAGGAGGCTGGAACCAGTACAATTATAATACGTATATATCGAATAGGAAGCCACATCACTGGAGGGTAGCTCTGTAGAGATTTGAAGGTGACGAAAAGCGATGGTGCCGCTATTCACATCAACACTCCTGGTCAGATTTTGTATTTGGATGGTGATCTTTTTCGGGTTTGGCACTGATACTTAGTAGCGACTCCCCAGATCTCCCCAGGAATAAAGTATAGATATAGAATGGACACATCTTTTTTTGGTGACACCATCCGAACGTCTTGTTTCACCAGCACTGAGAAGAATTTGTACACCGTTTCTCTGCTGGCAGCAGGTGGCGCGGCGGACATGGACGTCGAGGTGTGGAGACTTTGCTTGGACTTGTACAGTAGTTGGGGATGATGACTGATAAATGGATGAACTCAACAAGGGTTGAAACACTGATCTACATATCATAAATCATAAATGTATATTAATGTTGTATGAAGCTTATCTTGGTTGGTGTAGCGTTGGAATTTGCACAAAAGCAGCCAGTCAGGTCATAGTTCGATGGTGGGGTTCGCCATGCTTTTTGAATGATTCCAGGTCCTCATACCCTTTTGTTCTGAACTCGCAGGAGGAGAAACCCAAGGAGAAGGAAGAGAAGGAGAAGCAAGCTGCAGGCTCTAGAGCGGCGAACATGTGGCTTTGAGATTCTGGTTTCGAATGGCTTCAAGTTTCAAGATAGACAATGGGCATGATAGATATGGCTTCGTTGGAGGTCCCTTCTGAATCATCTTGGATTCAAAAGTTACCGCGGCTCTAGCTTGGCCAATGCTGAACTTGAACAGGCTTGTTTTGCCAGATCTTGAGAAGTCATACGATACTTTTTGAGTTTTGAGACGTGCTGAGTTAAGTAATTGCTCTACGTTACTTATGTTACTATGTGAATTTCATTGCCAAATGTCACCTTGAGCCTCCAACCTTTTGACCATGCCCAAGCGCCCAAGCCACAGGCAATGCGGCGGAGGACGAGGGAGGTGAGAGCGACAGCTCTGGAGACTAGATTAGACCCCTGGACATCAAACCTATAGAAAACTGGTGGCTGCAAGCTGGGTGTGCTGGCTGGTCTGGGATCAGCATCTTGCCAACTGTTGGATTGTTGGTGGGGCCATGTGCCACGTGTTTCGATTTATTCCACCGATCACCTCCAGACAGACGCCTGACGAAGGACTCCAAAGACTATGTATATATATATATTATACACACACATATATATATATACATATATATATATAGATATAGACATATATAGACATCGTCTAACGAGTTCCACGCTTGAAGCCCGGTGATGTTGCACAATCAATGTTGAAACCCACAGGCCTGGCTCAAACCCGGCAGATCCCAAAAAGGGAGAACCAGTTGCACCCAGCTTCTGAGAAAAGAACCATGCCAGGTCCCAAACAGCTCAGCTCAAGCGGATAGCCAGGAGACAGCCAGGACACAGCAAGGTGAACCCAACAGATCGATCTATTTTCGACAGCCATGGCGTGGGAGATGGAGGAATGTGCCAAGGAAATCGCCTATTTGGCGCAGAATCTTGGCGGAGATCTCCACCTTAAAATCCAACAAGTACAATCCACCGTTGCCTCAGAGGGTTCAATTGAAAATCGGGTTCCCCATTCCATCCACTGGTTAGTCATCATTATCCTACACTATCCCATTAAAAATATAGCCAAACCGGGGTGGTTTTACCCCACTTTTAGGTCATTTCTAAATAATGGTTAATAATGGTCAATAGTGGTCAATAATGGTCAATATTAACCATGATTAACCATCATTGACCAATATTAACCATTATCCAATTAACCATCATTGACCAATTGGTGCTGAGGAAGCACGCCCGTGAACTGGATCAAGTCTTCCAGCGGTTACAGAGCCGCTTGTCCCTTGGACGGCAGTGATGAAAAACCGCATCCTGTGGTGAAGTCAGGTGCAAAAATGCTGAAGGAAGCTCACTTTAGATAGAAGATGGTGATGGGAACATAATCGACATTTTATGAATTTCTCTAGAAAGTTGATGGTTATTAACAGGAAAACATATTTCTTTCTTGGTTTTTCCACAGTTTCTTCAGAACATCAGGCTTTATACCTAGACCCATCTAGACCCTCACCTGGCCCCATAACCCCCTGAGGTCTGAGAAGGGCAGCCCTCAGCCGCCAGGGGAGATGGGATGTTTGCTGACCCGCATCTCCACCGGTGATCGTGGTAGCTCACTGGAGGCCCTCCTGAAGCTGGGCGGAGGGGGGATGGAAGAAGTGAGGTGCCACCATTTTTTTTCGTGGTACAGGTGACAACTCATGTACCCTTTGGTAAACTAACAGTTTGCTATTGAAAATTGCCATAGAAATAGTGGATTTATCCATTAAACATGGTGATTTTCCATAGTTACGTTAGTTTACCAGAGGGTATCATGTGTGGGCTGGATGACTTGAATATGAGCCAGTTGAAAGTTGTGTGGACAATGATTGATGATTTCGCACTATGGGCATGCTGATAGTCTAACAAATACTTGCAGAATCTTGGTATTACCACATTGTTGATGACTACCATAACATACAACAACTCTTATAAACCTTGTTCAGCATGATTCACCACGTTTTTCCCATGCACTAGTAACAGTAGCCATTATTTTTGCAGTATCCCATTATTATCCATAGTTATCCTATGAAATGGCAATGAAATACCACTAAAATAACACTTCTTAACACCTTGGCCATAATTTTCCCAGATGTTCCAAGAATGAACCATGATTCACCATGATTTTCCCACTATGAACCTCCGTTTGTCCATGATTTTCCCATATGTTTTCCATGACGTTTCGTGCCATGCCAGGCACCTCATAGCCCCGATGACAAGCCGCCGAAGGTGGCCTTCATGGGGTCCGAGTTGCCAGGTGCGGCGGCGTTGGGCGAGCGCTTGGCAGAGGGTGGTTGTTTTGAAGGGATGTGGTGGGGGGTCAAATATTTACAAGTTATGCAATATAGTGTGTATATATAATATTTAATATATAGTATATAAATATATTATACATATAATGAAATATAGTAATCTATATCATAATGTACAATAATATGATATATCTCATGCAGCTTATGGTTCATTTAGTTTCACAGTCCTTTAACTCTCGCGGCTTTTGCATCAAGCCCAAACATGCTGAAGTTATGCACAACATCAAAGTTATGTTTTTTTGACTATTATTTCAAATGATTCATGATGTGCTAAATGGAGTGACATGGCAACTACAAAAAGTAGAGCTTGGAACCAGTTGGAGCCCTGAATTTTTGACCGAGGGGATGGGATTTGATTTCGGGACTTGGGAATGGTGGCCATTATTGACCTATTGACCATGATTGATCCAATAACTATGGACGTATTGGTCAATAATGACCTATTGATCATTAATTTTACCATATTGATCAATCATGGTCAATAGGTCAATAATGGGCACCATCATATTTTATGACCTATTGATCATATTTTATCACCTATTGACCATAACTATAGACGTATTGGCAGCGTGACAACTCTTTCGGGATCATTCGTGAATCATCTCCCCTGCAGGAGCAGTTGCCGAGGTCCGCTGGGGGGGCAAAGTCAAGTTGAACGGTACTTTTGGGGATCCTGTGGGTATGGACTGTCTTTCCAGGCAACATACTGAGATATGCATATAGTTCAAAAAAAATTCATCACCTGTACGCCAATCATCTAATCTATGCTACATCCACTCAGGTGTATTGAAATACTCAGATTTTGAAGGTATGTGAAGCAACCATTCTTTGATATGTTTCACATGCCATGCGGTGGGATAGCACCCTCTAATTCCCAAGTGGCTAGCGGCCCCCAAATGACCCTGCTCTGGAAGGATAGCCTGGGTCTTTTGTCAACCCCCCTGGGGCGGAATAGCAGGATTTTTTGATCAGTCAAGGTATATTGGAACGTTGCACTGGGTTCTGTGGCTTTTTGTTCTATGTGCACTTTATATTCTAAATGTTTGCGTTTATTTGTTTTGAATAAAAACTCGCACAATCTTGCACAGACCAGCACGTATGAAATTTAAGCATCACCAAAGACACGACACCCTCATTCGATGTCCTCTTGTTTATTGAATGGTTGATGAAAGCAGAAGGGTAAACCCATCTTTTACAACCAACGAACAAGTTTTCTGTATAACTAATCAGTACCAAAGCGAACCTTCGATTTGTCATTGCCAGTCATACAACTTTTATGAAACTACTGTACTTTTCCATTCGATACATTTATTTAGATACATTCGTACTATATCACTTTTATACATTTCCAGTCATACGATTCAAGTTATATACATATAATATATATATATATATATAACTTACGTAACTGTAACTATAACTTGCAAAAAGTAGTGATATCAGATGATCTCAGTAAGCCTTCCATAGCTTCCCTTTCTTCCCTTTTTCCGCAGGGCGGTGCCAAGGAGGGCCTCACCGCGGTGCTGCCCATGGACGGCCTGGGGACAGCTGACGCGCGCGCGGAGGGAGCGGAGTCCGAGGCGGGGAGCACGTCGGAGGAGTCCTCAGGCGGGGACGGGGTTGGATGGTTGGATGGTTTGGTTGGTTGGTTGGTTGGTTGGTTGGTTGGTTAGTCAACTGGTAAACATACAAAAAACTATGGAAAATCACCATTTTTAATGGGTAAATCCACTACAAATGGTTAGTCAACTGGTTTAGTAGTAGGGAAAACCATAGGAAAACCCATAGGAAAATGGAGGTTGACCCTCTGGTAAACATAGAAAAAACGATGGAAAGATCCACCATGCTATTGTATTACAATGGGTAAATCCACGAACTACATCACCATTTTCAAAAGCAAACTGTAAACGTTTACCAGAGGCTAGTTGGTTTATTGTTGGCTTTAAAAATGGATGGTAGATGGATGGATGGATGGCGTTTTGAGTAGTAAAAAACTATGTTTTTTTTTTTTTGATAAATCTGGTGGAACTGTTTGTGGTTTAAGTTGTTTGTTTCAATAAGTATCTATGCGGTTTTCTTGGACATAGATTTGATGATGAGTTGGTATATGAACCCTTTTTCTCCAGATTGGAAACGTGGTTAATGGTTGTGGGGATGATAGCACTGGTTTTTAAGAACCTTTAACCTGACAAAACAGAAGAATGGAATGTTGTTATTCAAACTTCAAAACCGTCATCCGTTGGGGGGGTTGAGATCAAAAGAAATGGGGATGGGTTTCAGCCCTGGAACAAAAACTGGAGATTGTCATTGTTGGAGTTTGCCACGCTGGTATTGCACCACTGGGGGAGCTGGACGATCTCCCTGAAATTTGGCTTTTGGGTTGAAGCCTGCAGTGCAGATGGACCAAGATTGGTTGTAGATCAAGGTTCGGTTGGATTGATAAGTTACATGGATGCGTTTCGAGGCAAATCCTGGGGTCAATTTATAGGAAAATTGGGGTCAAAAAAATTGCGAGCAGTGAGCTGCGCAGGTGGTGACGCGTCCAGGGTACCTTGGCAGCAATACAAGAACTGGAGTGTGGAGAGCAGCTTTGAATGGCTTTATTTTCACACCAGAAACCATCGGGATTCAGTCACGCCCGACAGAGTGAGAGAGCCGGGATTCAGGAACAGTTTTGATACAGTGCTTATGGCTGTTCCATTGGGAGAATCATATACTGGTTGGTGGTTTGGAACATTTTTTATTTTTCCATAATAAAAAAGGGATGTCATCCTTCACATTGACTTTCATATGTTTCAAGATGGTTAAAACCACCAACCAGTATAGCTTTTTGAATGCTTTTGGTGATGTTTATTTATGGACGTTGCCAAGGATGCATCACCTCGGCCCTGGCCTCAGGTCCTCAGGAAAAGCGGATCGGTAAATCATCAGGGGAAATCCATGGAAATTCGATTTTTTTACCCCCAAACGGCTGCTTACTTGGGAAGGTACCATAAAAAAAATCATTTAAGTATCAACTCATGACTATTGGGGGAATACCCCCTAATTAATAAACCACGGTTTATTCATCCGGGGTTGACATGATATTTCTGGGGAAGCAATGGACGAACCAATCCATTTCTGAAGGACACAAGGGGAGCCCTTGCTATCCAAGGGGCTCCGCATCCTCTTACGCTAGGACAGCAGCGTGGGAACTCTACAGCCTTGGGTCATCGAAAACACCACTTAGTCATTTTCTGGTTGGTGGTTTCAAACATGTTTTATTTTCCATAATATATGGGATAATCCTTCCCATTGACTAATATTTTCAGAGGGGTTGAAACCACCAACCAGTTTTGGTTGAGGAGGTTGATGGGTCAGCTTCAGGAAATGGTTTTTGGAGAATGGAAGGCCCAACTATTTATCGGCAGGGTATCTCATTATGATATCATGGCCCTGCTTTGTTGAAACCTGCACGCGACTTACCAACGGCCAGGACTAAGAAACAGGTCACCAGAAAGAAGATCATCAAGACGCTTGGTTTTGAGAAGCCAGATGGTAAAAGATATGTCACCAGATAGACCCATCATGATTCACATCAACCTAGCACTGTTTCTGAGTTGATTTCATTGTGGTTCTGGCATGTAGCTGGATGTCTATGTCCGCATGTGCAGCTGGGTGGGTTTTAAGAAATCGCCCTTGGTGGTGTGGAAACTCATTCAGGCTCCGTGTGGTCCAAAATGATGGTTTATGGCATAGGGTTTACCATGACCGTTACGAACCATTCAGGGGCACAATTAACATCAATGAATTAACCACAATTATATAACTGGTTGGTGGTTTGGAACATGGCTTTTATTTTCCATTTCATATATGGGATGTCATCCTTCCCATTGACGAACTCATATTTTTCAAGATGGTTGAAACCACCAACCAGTATTTATTGGATCTTTTTTTAACGAACAATATCAATATCACCTTCATTTTCCTTATATACTTCAACAGCTATGTTAGTTTATCAGAGGGTATATTATACTTCATAAGTATCCCATTCTTATTTGCTTCAAAGCTACATCGCCAAGCTCGCTAAGTTCAGCCACCTGATGCGCCAAGGAGTCAGGATGAACAGGGGACAAATACTTGGCAGCAACGCTTGGTCTACAGCCCTTGCTATGAGCTGTACAGTGCCCTTGCTATGGCTGCTATGGGTAGAAGTTGGATGGCTGGTTGGTATGCTGGTTGGTTACATTAGTTATATATAGTTATATGATATTTATAATTCATAATTATATACCCAGTATCTTCAATGTGTCCACTATGAGCATTGTCAAGCTGAAAATCTTGGAAGATGGATAAAAGGAGTACGAGGAGGATATTGTGACGACTAAGCCGCTTTGGAAGCTGGCGTTGTCAGTAGCCATCATCTCCCAGCCTTTTTTCCCCGGTTGTGGCTGACCATTGATTGCACGTGGATGCTAAAAGCAATCAGCTAGGGGTTTGGACATGAATCCAATCAGCCGAATATGTCGAAGAGATGTCATTCATTTTCATGACTCAAGGTGCTTTGCTGATCCTCTTGAATGCCATCTTCGTGGGATGGCAAACTGAACCTCCACTGAAACATGGGACATGGGACCGATGAGTGGAGTGATAGGCCACCCAACTGACTATCTAAGTGAACGAGCGATGAGGGAATTGGGGAGTGGTGAGACTAACTGGCTGTGACTGGCTGGTGATTTCCAAGTTTGTTTTTTTTCTAAACCACCCTGGAAGCAGGAGGATGATGCAAATTGACTTTGAAACAAACTAACATGTTTGCGCTTCAAAGGGGCAACAGATTCACTCATTATACATGTCAAAATGTCAAAGTGAAGGCCTTCAAGCGGCAGGTTTGGTCACTCGAAACATCCTTGCTGGAAACCGCATAAGAACAACGGCACCTCCTCAGGAATATGCCGCCTCAACGGTGAACCAACCGGCCTCCCAAGATGGATTCGAACCCACCTTTTTCTTTGTGACTTGGCACATCTTGGCATCTGGAACTATAGGTTTTTGCCTGAGGTGTTGAAGTCAATTGTTTTTATTTTTTTGTGTGCATATCTTATATATAATTAACTAATCTGCACCAGGCATGGTTATGTTTTATTCTTGAGAGATTTACAATTTTGTTCGAGGGTGTGAAATATATGTTTGAACATGTTTTATTGGAGCTTGCGGGATGGTGGAAGGTACAAAGAATTGCAAGATGTTCTGTTTTTTTTGGGGGAGTGCTTTCTTTAAAGGTTTTTTGTCCCTGCACTGTCACTCATGAGGGTTCCCTTGATGTGGTTTTCATCAGGCTGTGGTCTCAACCAGCGTGTGGTTTTTCATCGTACTTCCCGTCTCCAAGAATCCTTGCGTTGAAAGATATCCCAAGAGGGTTAATCATTCTAGCATTACAACTGGATATAACATGATATAAATGGTACGCATGACCGAAGTTATACTTTGTATAATCGCGTATCTCCCAGTGTTTTATCTTTTTTCCCTCTGGTCCAACACAGTTCTATCTCCCATCCTCTTCCAAGAGTAGGGACATCTTTGACCATTTGCGCATGATGTTAAGAAAATCCGGGCCAGAAAAATGGTTGACAAACAGGCGCTCATCGGGCTTGTTTAAGATTGAGCATTTGTGAAGATATACTGATACCATTCCATACCTCTTGGTAGGTTTAAGAGCCTTGGTTCATAGACAATTATGATCAATAAACATCTAAGTCACAGTCTTACCACACGCACGGTTAGGCAACTCATTGCTGTATGTCATGTTCTTGCCATATATTATACACTACACATAAAACATAATGATTAAACCATACTAACATATGCAAACCATATACCAGGCCTTAGTCGGTTCCCAACTCAGATCAATGGGAATTTCAGGATCCTAAAATGGAGGTACCTACCAGTACCATATATAAGGCCTATGTAAGGCCTATGTAAGGGAATATCCCCACAAAATATGGCCAAAAATATGGTACTAACGTACCTCCATTTTAGGATCCTGGAATTCCCATTGATCAGATCCCATCCATCCCATCCATGCCAGGTGGCACAGATCGTCTTCTTCCTGGCCTTCTTCTTCGACTTGGTGCTCCGTTGGATTGCTGATGGCCTGATTTACTTCGTCTGCAACGAGGCGGGTCTCTGCGGTTTTTACGGTGGGTATCATATACCATCTGGTTATCTAACATAGCCATGGAAAATGACCATTTATAATAGGTACACCATCTATAAATGGGCCATTTTCCATGGCTATGACTTTGAAACCATGGATTTTTTGCAGGATTTTGACCAATGGGAAGATGGTGGAAACTCATTCATAGCTAGGGGATAGGATGGAGAGGCAAGCTTTAGGGGGGAATAGCTCGATGAGCTGCTGGGTGCTGGCCCGCCTGGCAGAATCCATTGCCCCTAGCGGGAAAGCGAGCCTTGCAAATCGAGGCATTTTTGTGAAAACTGAAGCCGCCATCATCATCATCATCATCATCATCATCATCATCATCGGTAATTATATGTAATCATCACATTTTTATATGCTTTTACTATGCATAATAATAATAACAATAATAATAATAGTAATAATAATAATAATAACATATATATATATACATACACATTGTCACAGTTTCAGGGTTCTAGCTCATCTGTTTAAACATAGATACATCCGACCCAGTCCAAGTCTGGCAGGAGATGTACTGGAACGTTCTGGACATCTTCGTTGTCTCCTTTAACCTGGTGGAAGTGATCACTGAAGCTTGTTGGAGAACCCCACGGCCCGTCCCCCGTGGGATGGGAAAATTCAAATATGGAGCTTACTGCGACGGAACCCTGGAATGATGGGTAGTAAGGGCAACTATTCCAAGAAAAGCTTGTTTAGGGTTAGTGAAACATTATGATTTACCCAGATGGTTGAATGATAATAGTCTGACAACCTCCAACAGGTGCCAAACAGTTGGACACCTGGAAAATAGAAAGGAAACATCATCGAACTACCATCCCGGAAACACGTGTCAAAAAAACAATATCATTGAGACAGCCAGAAAAGAAGCAAAATGCATCGGCAAAAATAGAAGAGTCTGGTTGAGATGGGAGACAATGGAGACGGCAATGGACAGAAATATCAGAAATGGGATGCACTGGCGGATGGCGATTGGGGGTTGGGGTTTCCAATACCTCCAAGCTGTAACTTGCGCGGCTCCTGTCTTCCCTGAAGGCCTCTTTGCTGGTTTCGCATGGTTGTTGGTGAAAAGGTGCTACACGTCACGATACGTCACGGGTATGGCTGCTGAAGTCCAGGTTGGTATAGGTTGGCAAAAGTAACATTTCGGATTGCTTTGGAACCCGTCCCTGGTTCACTTTTTCTTTTGCTTCTGTGGTTGTGATTGTCAGCAGCCGGAACGTGCGGATATCCAGGTTATTTATGGTTATTTGAATATATTTGATATGTGTGCATATTTCTGGTACACGTTTGGTGCTAAGATTTTCCTCTGGGATCCCTTTGAAATCTCCCAACTGCCGAGGAAACCATGATGTTTGCAGGGTCCGAGCATGCTGTGCTGATGACCAACTTTACGGTGGGGATGGGTGGCTGGTGCTTGGCCCTTCATATCCACTATTGTTGATGCTAAAACCACAATGATTATATAATTCACGTTTTTTTGGCGATAAAAAAACTTGGATTCTAAATCAACCATGTTTGCTGACAAGTTTTTTTAGATGGTAGAACAACGATGTTTGACGGTAAACCCGCATTTTTTTGATAAGAACACAGCAGTTTTGAGAGGGGAAAAAACACTTGTTGATGGTAAAACAACAATTCCTGATAGGAAAACAACATTTTTTGGTGGTAAAACAGCAATTTTCAGATGGTAAAACGGCCATTTTGGATATTTTGGATATTGAAAACACATTTTCTGATGGTAAAAAACAACAATTTTAGATGATGGTAAACCATTCATTCTTGATAAGAAAACAATCAGTTTGGGATAGGGAACACATCAATTTTTTGATGGGAAAAAACAACAACCATTTTAGCTGGTAAACTGGTTTGTGGTTTGGAACATTTCTTATTTTTCCATAAAATATATGGGATAATCATTCCCATTGACTTTCATATTTTTCAAGATGGTTAAAACCACCAACCAGTATTTCTTGGATTTTTTTTAATGAACAATATCAATATCACCTTCATTTTCCTTATATACTTCAACAGCTATGTTAGTTTACCAGAGGGTATATTATACATGTATCCATGATTTATCCCATGGTTGTTGGCCATGTTCCATTATTGACCATTATTAACCACTATTAACCATTGGTATGACTAATGGGATATAACATTATTACTGGATTTAACATGGTTATATCTCAAGAATATGGGATGTCATCCTTCCCATTGACTTTCATATTTTTCAAGATTGTTAAAACCATCAACCAGTATTTCTTGGATATTTGTTTTTTTAATGAACAATATCAATATCACCTTCATTTTCCTTATATACTTCAACAGCTATGTTAGTTTACCAGAGGTTATATTATACATTTATCCATGATTTATCCTATGGTTGTTGGCTATGTTCCATTATTGACCATTATTAACTATTATTAACCATTGGTATATCCCATGAATATATTAACCATTATTCATGGGATATACCAATGGTTAATAATGGTTAATAATGGTCAATAATGGTCAATATTAACCATTATTAACCATTATTAACCATTATTAACCATCATTAACCATCATTAACCATTATTAACCATTATCCAATTAATCATTATGAACAATTATTGGAAAAACATCATGTTGGATTAACCATGATTAACCATTATTGATCAACATGATGTTCTTCCCAAGTTTCATGTCTGAAGCGCCAGCCTATCCAGGTGGTTCGCATGATCCGCGTGCTGCGCGTGGTGCGCATCGCCCGAGTGGGGGTGCCTGTATTTCGAGCTCCTGGTGCAGCGCAACCATAGGAAATCCATGGAAAAACCCTGGGAAATCCATGGAAAAACTATGGGAAAACATAGGAAAATCATAGGAAAACCATAGGAAAACCATAGGAAAATGGTGACTTAACGGAGAAAAACATAGATGTGATGGGATTTATAGCTGATTTGTGATAGCTACGTTGGTTTATACCATTTTATATTATGGTTTCTGGGGGTTTAACTCTCGTTCGTGGGGTTAAACCAACTTAGAACTGGGGGCAACACCTTGTACACCATCAGATCTGCGAAAAAAATAGATGAATTGAGAGAACCACAACAGAAAATAACACACACAAGTTAATAAATCTGGGTAAATTATAACGACCTCACTGCGACCTCACTGGAATCATGGTTAATAAGGGAAATCATCCCTAAATGGCCTTAATTCAGGTTGGTGAAATATTATAATTTACCCGGATAAATGAAGTGAGATAACCATCAAAAAAACTTATTGGATCTTGTTTGTAGGTCATGATCCAAAAATAATTGAATCCTTTTGGCTGGTATTGCACAGCTACATAACAGTCTATACCATGGGCATCCAGGAAATTGGGTCAAAGTACCTCAGGTATGAACTTGTCACTATTGATGATGCAAGATGTGTTTAGATACTGCAGTCCCCAAACAAAGAGATTTGCAGTCAGAGGAAATCCCTCTACATTTCTAGCGGCCACGTGGCCACCATGATTATGGATAGTGGCGACCCCAGATTGATGAACCCAATTCTTTTTGGGCCCGGGTGGAATCCACAAAAGTGATTTCGATTGCCCTTACCCACAAGTCAATGGATGGATTGCCAGGCGTTTTCATCAAGGATTACGCTCATCATTGCCAGGAGGGTTGGAATACTGAGCATGGGTATCTCCATGGTTGAGCCTGTGCACAGGTCATTCGTGTCTTGAAGGCCTTGGGGCTTGCACCTGCCGTGGTTGTTTCTTACAGAAGTTTCTGGTTTTAGACGCCTATACCACTGGATTGGCCTGGATTGGAAACTCTTGTTTGGAACAATTCTCATGGTGGACTTTGCTGGTTGGATGCCAATTCATTGGCATACGCCGCGCCTGTGTGGGCTGGCCCGGAATTTCACGTGTTAAATCTCCTCATGTTGGCTAAAGCCACCACTTTACGAATTGCCAGCCTCCCATTTCAGGGGGTTATATGAATCCTTTAGTTTGGTATCAGTGTTTGTGGTCCAATACGCTTATTGCCTTTGTTAGCTGCCAGGACCTTTTTTTCCTGGAGTAGTCCCAGTTTTCAGCGGCCAATCCCACAGCGATTCCTTTTTTTGCTGGCCTGCTTATTCACCATGTTCATTGGTTAAGGCCCCTTTCCTCACCAAAACAAGTCTCTTTGCAGGAAAAACACGTTATTGGGCCGGGGGGGTCAGCTGACTGGGATGATTGGTAGGTCTTCCCGATCCCATCCGGGCAGCCTCCAGGCCTTTCGGGAGTTGCGCTTGATGGTGGCCTCCATTGTGAGTTCGGCAGCTGGGCCCAGCTGGAAAGCCTCCAGGGCTATCACTCAGTTTGTTGCTGCTGGTTCATCCCCCCTTCCCCTCTTTGTAGTGGAGTTTCGGGTTGGTCAAGTTGGAGTAATGTTGGAGTGCTGGGGATTTGTTTAAGTTTCTTCTTTCTTGTTTTCTTCTTTTGTTTGATTAGCCTCTCCTGGTTTGCAACTGCTGGCGGTGGGGAAGGGGAAGAGTGGACAAACGCATTTGTAAAGCAGAGAGCCGACTTGATTCTGGCTGGTGTCAGGACTTGGCTTCAGTCCAAGGGGCATGGGGACATGCAGGAGTTCGATTCTCCCTGGTCGGCGTTTCTTCTTTTCTTCTTTTCAGTTTTTTTTTTTTAATCTGTTGTTTCTTTTCTTTTCTGTCTTTGTGCTTTTCTTGTTTTTCTTGTCATTCTTTTCCTTCTTGGCTGTCTTTCCCTTCCCAAGTATTCTACTGTTCTTCTGTTCAGTTAGTGGTCTCTCCATGTTTTTCTCTTTGCGTTTTTCTCTCCTGTCTTTCTCATGGTTCTATTTTCTTTTCTTTCGTTTCTTTGTATTACTTCCCCTCTTGCACTTCTTTTTTCTTGTCTCTTCTGCATCTTCTGAATTCTTTCTCTTGTTCATCCTGTCTTCCTCCATCTTCCTCCTTTGTCTCGCCTTTCTCTATTGAATCAATTGAGTCTTTTGTCTTCCCTATAATCTTTTCTTTCTCCATGTCCTTCTTATTGGGCATGGCATGCCACATCGCCAAAAAGGCAAACAAATCGAGGTGAGGCGAAGGGGATCGCCATGGATGTAGGGCAAACCCCGCATTTCGTGGAGAAAAAACCTGCGGTGTCCGGCAGATTTCCCATAAACCCAGTGCCTGTAGCTGCTAAGCCATCTTCATGGCCAAGTGAACCATGGCCCCCCGAGGCTCGAAACCTGCTTTGGGTTATCATGATCCTTTGCGTGCTGCTCTATGTTACTTCGTCGATGACGTTCTGACGTGGCAACATGGAGGAATAAAATTCGCAGGAGTCATGGCTGGCCACAGGCAAGACATACCGTGGATATTGTCCTGCATAGAGCCAGCAAAAGCAGATCATACCAACTTTGATGTGAACTTATGATGCCAATTGCATCCCATTCTCAGCTGCTGCACGATCCATTTACATCCATTTACCGTCAAAGACTACTAATTATTGCCAAAAAAAACAAAAGATTTAGACCCCCTCACCCTTTGCCAGATTCCCTGCGAATGTTCCCAGGTTTTTGGGATCAGTTTCACCAGCGCAGTAGCTTTGGAACTGGAGATGTCGCTGGGCGCAGGGGTGGGGATTTCTCATGCAGTGATCCCAGTTTGGGGTCTAAAAGAATTGGGGAAATGCAGGGAACGGTTGGATTCACAGAATTGATTTTAAATTTCATTTTTTGAGTAACCTATAAGGCCACCCCTCTATTCGGACTTCATTGAAAATCATCCCGTGATGGTCAGAAACTTTTAGGTCGCCGGCAGATGCACCTGGCACGGATGAGTTGAAGAGGCGACAACCGGGGCGAGTTCTGCAGTGTGCGGAGTCTCCCTTGATTCCTGTTTTCATGGAGATGAATGACGTTGAATAAACACACCCCGGAAACCAATAGAAACCCTGCTGTTAAGCTGAGTAATTAATGAATTTATTTGATGTCTTTTCCCCGATGGGATTTGAAAGCTTGGGCCATATCTACATTGAATCCTTGAGACACATGCTCCACCGAGCGACTGCACAATTGATTATATAACATTAAATGGTATTCAACAACTCAAAACATGCATAGATGGTCATAGATGATCATGCATAAATGCCTCTATTTGCACCGGGATAGAGCACATCCAACCAACGTTTTTCTTCAAATTGCAGGTACTTTGGTTCCCTTTCCAGCTCCATTTTGACGCTGTACAGCTCCATGAGTGGGGGCGAAGATTGGACCGTGCAACTTGGCGCGATTCGCGGTGTTTTCAACCCGCGGTCCAAGTGGTTTACTGCAGGGTTTAACCTGCAAAAACCAGGAGTTGAAACGGCAAGAAAAACCCTATGGATGTACTGAGGTAAATGATGGCAAATTAGCATCAATATATTTGTAGGAATTTGCGTCAGAAACATCAAAAAAAAGCGATCAACCAAGAATCATGGAGATCATGGAGACTGCCAGCAGCTTCAGTTTTGTACAAACCGAAGTAACAACCGGTGGGATACTAATTACCCTCTAGTAAACTAACATAGCTACGGAAATTTGCCCATTTATAGTTGATCTACCTATTATAAATGGTAATTTTCCATAGCTATGTAAACGTTTACCAGAGGGTACCCAGTGGTAAGGGTGAGAGACTTGTCACCAGTGGTTTCCAACAAGTCGAGTGGAGTTCTTCTGAACTTCCCGACGACTCGTTGAATGATGCCATTAATTGGTTCCAAGATTCAATGGGATGAGTGGGGTTTGAAAAGCAAATTTCTTAAGGGACACACACACAGAGAAGTGTAGTGGAGGCAAAAATCAAATTTTCTACTGGACAACTAGTTACCAGACATGGCGGAGTCTCGCTTTGAGGTTGGACGCCAATGGTATTTAAGATGAGTGGGACTCGGAGATATGCAGTGGTAGAGGTTGTATAACTAAAGAAGTGCTAACAACACCAGACAGAGAAAGTCTCTGCTCTTTCAAAGTCAAGCTATCATGTTTTATGGTATAGTGATTTCCCATTTTTTCCCCAAACATATCAAAAACCAATCCATTAGCATGTTTTACCGTTAAATATTTTTGGATCACGTGGCCAGGGCGAGCCAAAGACACAGCAAGCCTTTGTCCGACAGCTGCAGGTACTACTATGCCCTTGGTCGCCTCGCTTGGCCGTACCAGTTCCTTGCAAGATTCACATGAAAATAGCGCACCCCTAAACGCAATGGTTAATGGTCATGTTTCCTACATGTTTCATGGGAGGTATATCCTATTTTCAGACGTGTTCCACTAACCACTAACATTTCACTAGGAATTATCGTATATCGGTATATCATATATCTGTGGCTAATGCAACTGTATAGATCATCTACATGAGCCATGAACAATAGCACTCTTGATTGCTCATCACAGGGCGTAATGAACCTACCTGCTTTGTTGGTGACCAGCGATTACCGCAAATAATGGAGATGAAAACATGAACCAACCAGTATAATTAATGGGATAGGATAGGGGTATTTTCTTGGCTCACATGCCATTGTACATGTATGTTTAGATAGTATGTTGCATCTGTGCTCATGCTTGCATAATCTTGCATATAATTTGATATGTATATATACATATGTATTTTTGAGGTAGGTACATACATTGATTTTTGAGTGATTATCTTGATGCACAATCAACACATAGCCAAGGAATTAGCTTATCTTATGGGCTAAGGGTATCTAAACTTAGCCATCGCCCTGGCGTATGTCAAAATGGTTATGACATGGGCTGGTACACATTTGGTTGTACCGTGCAGTCGCCTTGCGGAATTTGCTGGGCTTCACTTCTTGGTACTTCTTGTATTGGGTAAAGTTGTCTATCATCTGTTGATCATCCGTTGATACCAAGGACACTCTTTCTATTCTTCGTCACCTTTGCTGTCTTCGCGGTCGTCAACGTGGTCACAGGTGAAACTTTGGATGTTGTATGGGTGACCTGAACAGACAAGGCAGCCTTATTGCCACAATACTATTCAATTATTCACCGGTATGGTTTTAATGGTATTGCTGAATGCTATCTAATGTATGATGATGTATGACGTATCATTCGCCAACAAGCCTGTACTTAAATTTGCAATGATATCAAATATCTATTTGGTTGGCGGTTTCAATTGTCTTCAGCTTTATCCATCCCTGTTTCGAAGAGGACGTGGCCACAACTCAACACTATATGTCAAAACTGCCAGCCTTGCGGCCGTGCACAGCAGGTGTTTTCGTGGACACGGCTATTGAGAAGAATCAGACAGACAAGGCATGGACAAAGATGCTACCATCGGAATGGGTCGGAATGGGGGGATATTTGAGGATGCCAGGGTTTGGCACATAGCCATGTGAGAGTTTTCAGTAGTTTGCTTGACCAAAGATGTGCTTCTCCGTGAACACCCGTTATCGATATACCATGTTATGTTTGAAAGATGGGGTTCAATCATGTTTTTGGCATCGCTTTGCTCTTTACACCAGGAGGTTTTGCCAAGCCAACTTGTGGAGAAAATGATGCCATGCTAGCCACCATTCTGCGTGAATCTCTTTAGATCTAAATCATCACATATAGAAAATCATAGATTATCACCAAAAATCTTCCAAAAAAACTAGTAGATACAACTATTTGTTTAAATCTAAATCACCAAATCTAAAGCTCATACCCTCTGGTAATTTAACGTAGCTATTGAAAATGACAATTTATAGTCAGTTTTCCCATTAAAAATGGTGATTTTCCATAGCTATGTTAGTTTACCAGAGGGTATATACAACCATCACCATTTAAGCATCACTTATAGCTAGGTAGCCATTAAGCTCGCCTCGCAACAGGAGCTGGCCATCCAGGAGGAGCTGCGAAGCAAGAAGCTGCGTAGCTTGGTCGAAACTTTTCCAAATGCTACCATTAATGGGATGTTAAACCAATGGTTAATAATGGTTATACCAATGGTTAATAATGGGAAATACCAATGGTTAATACATTTAATGGTTTAATGGGATATACCAATGGCTATAAACATTATTATGGGATATACCAATGGTTAATGATGGTTAATAATTGGTTTAAAACATTTATGGGATATACCAATGGTTAATACCAAGCTGGTTTAAAACATTTATGGGATATACCAATGGTTAATAATGGTTAATAATTGGATAATGTTCAATATTAACCATTACTGGTTGAACATGGTATCTTTCATGGTATAAAACATGGATGGTTGATGATGGTTGGTTTATTGTTGGCTTGAAGAAAGATGGTACTGGTTGGTGGTGACTGGAACATGGCTAGTAGATGACTTTCCATTTCATATATGGGATGGTATAATCCTTCCCATTGACGAACTCATATTTTTCAGAGGGGTAGGTCAACCACCAACCAGAAAACATGGTATCTTTTATGGTATAAAAAATGGCTACAAGAAAAACTCTGGAAACAGGAAAACAAACTATGGAAAACAAATCATGTATAGATGATTTACGTAATTACGATTGGTATTTCTTTGTTGGGTATGTACAGTAATGGCTATTGTTTGATATTCAAAATGCCAATCAAAACAATCAAATGGTATTTGATGGCTATGATAGTTGATGGCTACAGTAGTTGATGGTTATGTAATGGCTATGTGATTGCTATTTCATGGCTATTTGATAATCCACCAACCCGGAAAACACTTATGAGCTAAACCAACCGTTGAAACTCGTACCCACAAACATTACTAATCAACCATCATTTGGGATCAGAACATACTAAAAGTCTTCGAACAAGAAGTGAATGAAGTGAATGGTTTCATCCCATTAACTGTTCAAGAAAATTCTTACGGGAATGCCCAACATTTGGCTGATCAAACCATGGTTTCCCGATGTTTCTTGCAGATGTACCCCATCAGTTGGTGAAATCCTATAGGATGGTGCCCCAGTTTTCTTTGTTGGTCAAGATTATAAAGCCCATGAATATCCCATTAACGAGTTCGTTATATTTGCCATAAACCATAGATTTCAGCCACTTAGAACTTATTAATTCTAAGGCAACTTGTTTTTCTATCTTGGGGGCCTCATCCTGCACATTGGACCATTTTTCAGGGCTCCATCCCACCAGCTTCTTGGTGAAATCCCAGTTGCAGCGATGACGGCATGGCGCAGGCATGAATTGGATCCGCGACGTTTTCAGCGAGTTGGACTCGAGCGGTGACGGCACGGTGACACTGAAGGAGTTCGAGAGTCAGCTGAGACTTGCAGAAAAATCCCATGGGGGATGGGTCAACCTGATGAAGACATATCATGATATACTGTATCTACATTCTACAGTGCATAATATATATATATAATTATATATATACATATATATGTAGCCATCCTGGAGTAGATAGAATATGGAATTTCGAAACATAGTCATTTATTGAGAGGAGTTGTTGAAGTTTCATTTTTTTCTATCTCCAGGATGGACATCCCCGATTGGTGGTCTCAAGTAAATAATGTTACTATATTAGGATCAGATGATATCATTCCAGCTAGTGGTTTTATTCTTCAATCAGCACACCTGGGGTGAAGATATCATTCCAATTGCTGATAGATCTTGGGGCAGGTTCAAACCACTAAGCAGATGAAACAGATCAAACTATGGATTGACCTGATCATTTTCTGCCACTTGCTCTGACGTTTGTATAGAACTACCCTCTGGTAAACTAACAAAAAACTAATGAAAATGGCCACTTATATTTGATATACCCAGCTATAAAATGGTGATTTTCCATAGTTTTTTGTATGTTTACCAGGTCGGGTAGCATATGCTGGTGTGTTGCAACCTGCTGGTTCTGCTTTTTGAGCTGTGAGGCTGTGAGGTGATTTTATGATGTTTTTTTTCTGCTGAAACATTCCGGGTTCTGCTGAAATATCCTGGTTGGGATATCAGTCAGTCAGTCAGTCTTGGGATAGGATGATCATGGGAATATCTTACCAATATGATCATGATATCCTATCTGGTTGGTGGTTTGGAACATGACTATTATTTTTCCATAATATATGGGATGTCATCCTTCCCATTGACTTTCATATTTTTCAGAGGGGTAGGTCAACCACCAACCAGTATCTCTATATTTGGGGGGGGGGGTCACCTTTTTTTGTTCAGGTGATTGCAATATTTATGGTTCCATCCACACGATGCCCATCAATCCACTGCTTCATCATGTTGCCTGTTGAAATGGCCAGAACTGGGCTTTTTATTATGTCTATAGCAACCCCCAAAAAGATCGAACAAAGAAAGTTATCCCGTATTTATATCTATTTTAAGTGGGATTTGACTTTTACATATCCTTTTTTTGGGATGACTCTACCGGTAGAGCATCTACCGCCCGTCCCAAGGAACCACGAGGCGGTGATTGCCTACTTCAACACGCTGAAGTTGGACGTGAGCGACGCCAGGAGCCGTGCCGTTTCACGGTGGCGCCATGGCGGTGCCAGGGCGCAGAGGTGTCCCATGACTCCAAAGATGATGGGAAGATCTTGGAATCTTGATAATATGATGGATTTAATATGATGACATATGATGTAACAATGAATTACCCATGGATTTGGAAGATATTTGATCATTTAATATGAATAGGTTGGTGGTTTCAAACATGGCTTTTATGATCCATAATGTATGAGATATAATTATATGGGATGTCATCCTTCCCAACTGACGAACTCCATGATTTTCAGAGTGATAGGTCAACCACCAACCAGATGAATATGATGGATTTGGAATATGACTGCTTGGTGGTTTGGAACATGGCTTTTATTTTTCCATATATTGGGAATAATCATCCCAACTGACTAATATGTTTCAGAGGGTTGAAACCACCAACCAGACATGATGGATTTGGAATATGAGTGTGATGGGTATCTCTACATCAACTGGTTTATCATCATATTTACTCATATTATGCCCTAAAATTGTAATGTTTGGCAAAAGCCCATGTTCAATCAAACCGAGATGAAGACATTCATTAACTAATCAATACTAATCATTTTGCTTAAAGAGAATGCTAGCTTTAGGAAAATATTGGACTTTCAACTGTGGTTTCATGTGTTAGCCCTCAGCCAGCGTTGTCAATACGGATCATATGTTGTGGGGAACTGGGACTTCTGTGGTAAACCGCTAGCCCAAGAATAACCAATTCCCAGTATTAATGTTGAAAACAAAAATAAACCACCCGTTTGGGAACGGTTCATACCACTTATTTATGGTGATGACTGGGGGATGGTTTATGGCATTGTTTTACCCACATTACATGATATTGCCATTGGGTGGTTGCCAGATCATCCCCAAACATTGTGGCAGGACTCTCTTCAGGCTGTTGGATAGATCCTTGGCGACCGTAGACAGCTGTTGGGTTTGTCCGAAGATGGGGGGGTGATTACCTTTTGGTTATTTAGAACTGGAAAATGGCCCTTGTACAGATGATTTTCCCAGCTATAAACCTCCATTGATAATGGATTTTCCAGTTCGCTAAAAAACCAGATGGTAAGATTGATTAAGCATCAAAATTCAGGGAAAGCCTGCTAAAAAAAATCAAGTCTCCCATCAGAATCCATCAAAACCCAAATGATTTGCAGATGTTTGAAGTGGCAGTTGTTGACCGGCACTTTAGCCATGGGATGAAGTGCTGGATCCTCAACTTGAATTTCCCAAAGCTGAGGATTGTTCTTAGTCCTGATTTGATCATAAGAAATCATGAAATACCATCTGGTTATGACTAAGATAGCCATGGAAAGATCCACCCATTTTTAATAGGTAAACCATCTATTTCTATTGGCCATGGCTTCCATGGCTATGTTAAATAAGCCGATGGTACCAATCATGTTGTATCATAAGCATTCTGACGCACCAAACACATGATCATTCAGATTCATGTAAGTTCGCAGGATCTATATTATGGCGATTGCATTCCAGTCCGCATATTTATACACAGTATAAATTATAAACATGTATAAACCACAAGGTGGGCCTCCCCAGTCATGTTTGTTGGTTTATAACCCCCATCAACCAGTTCGACTACAAACCCCAGGGAAATGTTCGTGAAACAGACCAACTGAGCCAAGTCGGTATCCACTTCGATATATCTCACCAATTAATCATAGATTTCTGATATACCATATGGTATTTTATATCATTATATCATATTATATCTAACCATCAACCATAGATCTACTAGATATATATCATAGCTCGAGCCATTATATCTAACATTATCTAACCATCAACCATAGTTTTTTTCAGATCCACCGGTGTTTTTTTTTACCATCTTCGATCCTCGGTGGATCCTCGCCCAGGTGATGGCTCGGACGGGGTCAACATCGAAGAGTTCGTGCAGGGCTGCTATCGACTCTCGGGGGAGGCCACCACGCTGCATACCCAGGTGCGGACGGCGATGGAGGATCCTGCCATATTTTTTCGGGATAACATAAACTTAACATTAAGAATAACATCCATATAATAAACCATCCATATAATAACTAATACTATAACATGGTCATTGATATTGTTATCCATATAATATACTTACCATCTGGTTATGACTAACTGTTTGCCATGGAAAGATCCACCATGCTATTAAAAATAGCTTAAACGAACCATCGATTTCGATTAGGGCCATGGCTTCCATGGACCATCCATGGATAAGAAGAACATGAAAACCATAAGCGACGAACGGCTGGTTCTAGCTGGTTCTGAGGTGTGAAAAAATGGGTTCTTTTGGTTGTTGGAAATTGTTGGGACATAATGTGACATACTGTAAGAAAACATCACCCAAAATTAGAAGCATTTACCAACAGGATAAGTCTGATGATCGGAGAAGCCCTGAATGTTGGCCGTTTGAAACGTAATGATTCCCGATTGCTGTTTATTCAACCTAACCAAAGGCTTCCAAACCCTTGGGCTTTGTTCATTTTGGGAAATCAAGTGGCTCATGAATGGGTACCCTCTGTTAATTGAGCATAGCTATATGGCAAATCACTAGTTTTCATACGCGAATCATCTATAAATGGGGCCATTGTCCACAGATATGTCAAATATTGTCAAATTCCTAGAGGGTATCCCAGTCGTGAGATTGGACCGGTCATTGAAGCGCTTAGTGATCCCCGGTAAACCTGTAAATAGCGTGGCACCTAATTGATTTATCATCAGAAGTAGGCATTGATGTATCCTGGAAGTTTTGAGCGTCAGATGACATCCCTGAGATGACAATGAGATCAGGAATCAGGACCCTCGGCAAAAAACCGAAATGCCAGGTCATGCAATGTGACATCAAGGACATCATGAACAAAATGTCGCCTGGCACGGTTCTTCTCCGGGATGGCGTAAGGGCAATCTTGAGGGTCCTTTGGTATCATGTGGCAGTTTACGGCCAATGTCTAAAATCCTAACCTGGGGTAGCTTCACCAGCCTCATTTCGGAGCTTCCACGATGTTTTACTCGGTGATAGCATGTGATAGCTACATCCCCATGTCCCTTGAAAAGTGCGGTGGCAGCCAAGCCAAGCCAAGCCGCTGATACAAGACGTTGAGAAGACTCCTTTAAATCCTTCAGTGTCTGAAAAAAGAAGGCACGGTTTCCTCTATTTTGTCTTTAGTTAAGCCAACTACACTGAGTTTTTTTTGGGGTATATGATGGTGAACATCTCATATCATCCTGCATCTGTGCCATGCAAATCCAAACTCGTGATGCTTGAAACTCCTAAGTTTTGGTGTTTCAGTCATCTTCAATCCCCAATTCTTGCTCTTTGAACCTTTTGTTTCTCCCAACATCAAGGCCTAAATGCTTAAATCATCTTAAATCTACACCATGCATCCCTATATGTTTTGCCCTGTGAAATCCAGAAGTCTTCCTGCTAAAATCACTTCAAATTGCTGAAATCCCTCAGTTTTCATCAGTTTTCCTGCTGAAATCCCCTCCCAACTCTTCAGGGGTCACATCGTGGGGCTCCTGGACGAGCTTCGCGTCTCCCTGGCCTCGCGCCGCCGCAGCTCGCGGCCCTCGGGGCGCTTCAGCGGCATCTCGGAGCTGGCGGACGTGGCGGATGCGGCGCCGCGAGCGAGCCATCGATCCTCCATGGACAGCGTGCAGATGGCGTGAAAGGCCACAGATTGCCATAGATCCATGGCGATCCATGGCGATTCATGGCGAAAAAGGGGCTGAAATGGACTGGAAATGGTAGGTGATGGCTGAGGGCCAACTTTTTGAAGTGAAGAAATGAGGACATGATTCAAATACAAGATGGACATCATACCACAGTTAAAAGTTGAGAGTTGAAATCCAAGCATGGGTGCAAAATGATATTTTTGAAAGGCATGAGATGTGGAAACATGTTTTCAGAGCTTGGTCTGAAAGGTCAGGAGGTTGAGGGCCCAACAGTCCTGGCCACCCTGCATCGGAGTTGAAAACTACTGGTGTCGGGATATGCAATCGACATGACCTCCTAAGATACGTTTGGAAGGAACCTGCAGTTTTTTTTTGGGTCCATGCGCCAACAAGCACACAGAAAACAGTGAGATGGATTGGTGCTTCCAGACTGATGCGGCAAACGTGACCGATGGCGGGCAGGTGCCATGCATAGTTCCAAAGTCATGTTGGAACGCATGTAGTAATTATGATTATAGTGACGGACAATCACTTAGAACGTATTTTGGGAAAAAAATCTGAATATTACTGCTTTTTTTATGTTCTAAGCCTTGCACTTAGAACGTCGAAAACCATACACTTAGAACGTCCAAATATCAAGATTCATCACTTAGAACGTACCGGGGATTTAACACTTAGAACGTGTCTAGGTCACTGATGATAGTGGAAAGGCTTGTGAAATCATGTTGCCGCACTCAGCGAAGCCACTCAGGGACCAAATAGACATGTATTGGTGACGCACTTCAAGTTATATGGTAATTGTTCATAATTATAGTGGCGGACAATCACTTAGCATGTTCTAAGTGTTGGTTTACGTTCTAAGTGATAAATGGGCCTAAGTGATATTTTGACGTTCTAAGTGATGAATTTTCCCTAATTTTGCTACGTTCTAAGTACGAAAAAAAAATGGCAAAACAATTACGTTCTAAGTGATTGTCCGTCACTATAATTATGTAACATACATCTGCGTACATGATGTGTATAGATAATTATAAAAAGATGTATGTGGGTGTGGGTGTGTGGGTGTGGGTTTGTGCACGTGCATGTATCATCATTAAAAACAACCTTGACTGCACTTACACTGTGCATAAAGAACGCAATGATATGTTTGATGATGATGGTGGTGATGATGATGATGATTATGATGATATTGATCGGTGATGATTATTATGATGATATTGATTGGTGATGATGATGATGAGGAGGATGAGGATGAGGATGAGGATGATGATGAGAATGAGGATGAGGACAACAACGACGACGACGATGATGATGATGACGATGATGATGGTGGTGCTGCTGATGATGATGCTGGTGGTTGGTGGTGATGACGATGCATGTGTTGTTTTGTGTTGTGTTGTTTTGATTTGTTTTGTATTGTACTGTACTGTATTGTATTGCTTTAAAAGCAACTGTAGGTCAAACACTGATCATGACAGGGGTTACATACATTGTCTCGGATCCTGCGCTTCTGTCATGAATGCCTCTCGCGCTGCTGAAAAGAGTGCGCCTTTCTGTGGATTTGTGTTCCTGGAATAAAGGCTGGCTGTGAACCATGATCTTTTGCCGAAACATCATCTTCTTTTTTCAACTTCCAATTCCAAAGGACGCGCCACCGCAATGCTACTGTATCCGGTTCTCAGGTTGGTAAGCTGTAGAAAGTACAGTTGGCCACCCCAGGATCGCAAGCCCACGCCAATTTTCTGACAAAGTCCTGCGGCAAAACGCCGTGTTTGCCAGCTGATCAACCAGCGTGGCCCGATAGTTGGAGGGTTCAAACATGTTCAAACCTAGAGAGCAAGCGATCGTATGATTTGTGGAGGGATCTCACCATAGGTGGTATGAATGACAGTAAGTAGTTCTGCTTCATTTGTGCGTCCTTGCTACAGTAGCTAGGTGCCGAATCCCTCAGCGTGTGGAGTATCCCAGTCCTAAGTTTCTTGCCAAAGTGATGAACTACTTACATCTACTTACCAAACTGCCATGCACATTGAAGTGGAGAAGGTACCCATGAAAGCGCAACTCCTAACGCTCCTGTTGTTTTAACGCTCCAGCAATTTGAATTCGAAGCAACGTGGCAATGTTTTTTCGGCCGACCCGGGTATCGCCTTCCTCCAAGGGATTGCGATTCGCCTCGCGTTCGGCTGGACGGGCGCCGCCCGGCCTGCCCAAATGTTGGGAAACCAGCCAGTCTAAATATCCGATACTTGTCCGTTTCCGCGCAATTGTTACTGTTATCATGTTCCATCCTTAGGAACACTATGGAACACTATGATGCTATCTCCCAATTGACCTCCCATTTGACCATTCTTCCGGTATTTTTCTGCACGCTTTGTGAAACGCTTGGGGCAGGCCACAACTTACGTGGTAGTCAGGGGCTTCCAACCATGGCGGGGACGCTGGGTGTTGGTTGAGATATCAAAGGATCTATAGGATCTTGAGGATCCATAGGGTTCCCAAAGCATCCCATGTTGTGTGGATCCTTTTTTGATCACCCGATGAGACGACTGGAAGTCTTGAATTCAATGAATCGGTCGCTGATTTTTTTGGCCGAAACATCCGGCATTGATGGCGCATTTGGCCAAGCTTGGGGGAAAAAAAGGCCCGCACATCATGTTGACTTCAGACAAATAATAACTGACGTTCGGCGGGGCACTTATTAACCCTCGGGCTGGTTTGTAGCAGGACGTGATGGTTTGGAACAACACACTACTTACTGGTGCTTAGTAGGGAATGGATGAGAATGGGGGAATGGGATGATTATTGATAGTGATTAATTATGGATCATTCCCTCATTCCCTACTAGGCACCAGTAAGACTATTGCCAATATTGTTGTAAAGTGGCATGGCAATGAAGAGTTTTGTACCAGCGGCAGAGACCTTTGAAGTCGATCAAGCAACTGACCCGCAGTCGCAGAACAACGTCAAGATGTAACCATTAGATAGGATTGGATAGGGGTCCTTTCCATTTCTGTGAGTTTCTCCATTTTGGGTGTTAAGCATCACCTTTTGATGATTGTATCAAGTGACTTTGGCCCCCAAGGGGATGCTTAGAGAGGAGACATAAAGAACCCCCATTCAGGAGACAATCCACCGGCCAAATATGATTGCACGAGTAGATGTGAATAGATTATAGAGCGACTTTATTTGAAATATGAATATACTATCATACATTACATGTATTCTATAATGATCAAATCATATCCTCAGCCAGCGTGGCATATATCCAACCATTACTATTTCTGGACCCCCAGGGTGCTCGCGATGGTCCAACAAGCGGCGCGCATGTCCTAGCCATGGCAAAGCTGTATCGCGAGGCTGGACGCGTGGTTGAGCCTTGCCTTAGTGACGGGGTTCTGCTTCTGGTTATGACTGGCTTTATTTCACTTGGCAAAACCCCCGATAATCAAACATGGCTGGGAATTCCCCAGTATCCCACCCAAAAAGGTTCGGTTTGAGTGGGAAAATCATCTATAAATGGGTGATTTTCCAGCCAGCCATGTTTGATGACACCAGAGTGTAATCATGTATAATCATTTATATAAGTGGACGGTAAATTGTAGTTTGGTTTAAGGTAATCGTAGAACAACTGTTCAGCGACCATGGTCAGCATGGTCAGTAAGTGCCCAACTGGTGATATGCCATGTATGGCTGGTTTTTGACACTTTGGAACTATGGGTCAGCAACCAGAAATCCCATATGACCAGTCACAATTACGATCGATTATATATATATACACTGTGTTTGTTGCTCAAGGTGTCACTTGTTATATCCCAGAAATGGATGATGGCACATTTTAATGGACACCTTTATATTTGAGGGATCTTGAGGCTGGTTTCCTCTAGATTTTCTCTTTAATCAATCCATACATAGTGGGGCCCCCCAAACGTTCTAAGTTGGTTTATAACTCCATCTAACTATAATACTATAGATATATCCCCCTAATCAACCCGGCGACCCTAGTCATTGCACATAGTCATGTTCACCAACTTAGCTAACGGGGGCACCAGATCATGGCCTTCCAAGCCCTTGGGACCCAGGACGATGTGGTCTCAGGGCGCTGTGGGCTAAAAGCCGCGCTCTACGCACAAGACCTGGAAAAGCCACGGGCGGTGTGTGACTTGACAGTAGTGTTTAGGGGAGGAGAGGCGTTGATTAATGCCATAAACAACTACCATGGGATTCGGGAGGGTTTATAGCATCCACAAACATAGTGATTTTGGGGGTGGTTTATGAGTGGCTTTCCGACCTTAATGTGGGATTTATGGTATATCTATAATTAAATACTTAATGGAGTTTATACACCAAAGTTAATGGGAGCTAATGGGGGTTATTGATGGGGATAATATCTCCCGGTAGTCAAACATGGCACTTGCTGGAAAATTATAGAAAAATACCGATTTAGTTCGATGATTTTGCCACACTTGATTACCGGAGGACATGGTGGAATGACAAGCCGTTTATCTATCACAGGCATTTAGTCTATGATGAGAAGCGTCTTGGTGCATTTGGGATCTCTTGTGTGGATCGTTTGTCCCCGGTCGTACAGTATAGTAAACCCAATGAGAAAACAATCCCAGTAACCATTTTGCAGGTCATTTTCCATCATCTGAAATGGGTGTATATACCCAGTGATAAATCTCCCACTGGGGATGGTTCGATGGTTTATGGAGTTTACCACAGGTCTTTTGGGTGTTCCCTACCTGCTCCACGGCCCCACCCCGGCTCTCTCAAGGCAAGTTGGCTTCTGCAGCCCTCTCCAACCAGCGAGCTTTGAGCTCCGCCTTGCGCCAGGCCAAAGTGCGACGTGATCCAATCCCCGGCCCCCAAAATCAACATATCCAATACAAAAACCGTACAAAACCATGGTATACCATGGTTAATAGTGTGGTGTTTAATATTGGTGGGACGGGATTCATTATAGTTTTGCTGCGGAAAGAGACAGAAAGAGCCAGGGTGTTCCCAATTCCAGGCGGTTATTTTTCCGTGTAGACACGACAAAGTTGGAGGAAACGGCTGATACGATGTCGATTGGTCGGTTTTTTTTCTGACAGGGATGTGGGGCCCCTGAGAGTACGGTGAAATATATCCACTTCCCTCCAGTCAGGGATTTAGGATGATTTATATAGGACAAAATATGAGCCACGATTTTAACCCTTGTGTTCATGTTAAGCAAGGGGCCCCTTGTAAGGGTGTGGCGTAAGCAAAACTGTGGTGCACGTAAGCCAGCGTAAGCTCCGCGTAAGACAAGATATGCGCGTATAAGCAAAACCTATGCGCGCGTAAGCAAGACGTAAGCAATGGCGTAAGCATTGCTTTATTTGGTGCCAGGATGTAAGACATTTAGAATCAGAACATGGCTCATATGACAAACTGCTGGAAAGTGATGAAACATGGAGGCAGAATGTTGAAAATAGTGGAAAACCATAGCGGACAAATGGGGCAGAGTATGGCAGAACCATGACGCATTGGGGCAGAATGATGAAGATTTGGTGAAATGGATTTAACCCAACACAACGTGGGTATATATATATATATAAAGGATGAATAAGAATTGGGGGAAGGATGAAGCAATGCAGGGACATGATGAACTAAACGAGAGTTATGTAATTAAGCAAAACACTCCATTACCCATAGGATCCATGTATGGTATATATGCTAACATTTGGGGTATATTGATGGTAAATGTTACCATATATACCATACATGGATCCTATGGGTTATGCAAGTGACTCAAAGATAAGATTCGGGTTCGGAAACCTAGGGTTCGAACTGCGTTTATGAAACTGGACAGGGTACTCCAAATTTAATCCAAACAATTCAATACCAAACATCCACGCAAAAACATGCAACTTTCACCCCAACTGCTTTCCCAAGTCAAATTGTGTCCCCATTTTTCCCTAAATCCATGTAATGGCGTTTGAGCTGAATCCAAATCTAAATCATCATAAATAACATCATATAAATCATATAACATCCAAATTCATGGAATTTCCCCATATTTTCCCATGTCCTTCCCAAGTTCCCTTAAGCGGTGCCTCCGGCCGAGGCGCGGCTGGAAGAGACGGGGATCTTCCTGGTGATGGCCTTTGAGCTGCTCGTGGGCTCCGGGAAGATCCGGGGCGGGGGTCAGCTGCGACGGCGCATGGAGAAGAAGCTGAAGATCTTGAAGAAAGGCTTCAACGATGCAGGTGGGAAAGGGATGGGGAAGCTTCTGGAAACAGAGATGATAGACATGGCTATTGAACATGGATGATTTGTGTATAAGATGTAGATTGATGATCAGCGATTCTCATTGATTGACCCATTATAATTAAAGTCGTTTTATATAATGGGAAATAATTGAACGAATTTCTAAATGGTGACTTTTACAGCAAACCATGTTTGATTACCAGAGGGTAATTGATCTTAATGGGGTTGATATTGGGTTAGCAGACTTGTTGTTTTAATCGGTTTTTGATGTTTTTTTGGGGTGTAAATTGATATACTCTCGCCCTGATGACACAGATATCTATTGTGAACTAACATGGCTATTGAGAGTTACCATGTTTGAATGATTTACCTATTTAATGGTGATTTTCCAAAGCTATTTCAATTTTTTCCGGAAGGTAGTTGATGTTAATGGGTTGATATAATATATGGCTTGGTTGTGGGTGGATTTAGGTGATTTCCTTTTGTGAATTGCCCAAGATTGGGATGATATTTATTGTATATAATGCGATCAAATTCAAACATTCAAAGATGCTGGTGGAAGGAGGTGGGGCTGAAAGTTAGGCAGAAAAGAGTATCAAATCAGTTGGCCTTGGGTAATCAAGCATGGCTTGTCCATTGCCATGCTTGATCGCCAGGGGCGTGTGTTGAGGTACTTGGTGGTACTCTCCATCCAAAAAGGAGGTTGAGGGCTGAGACTCAAAGCCGCCGTGAAGGGCAGCTGGGGTTGTAACATTGTAGGGAGGAAAGCAACTTATGAAAAAAAAACAATCCTCAAATACCCTCCGGTTATGACTAACAGTTCGCCATGGAAAGATCCACCATGCTATCAATAGGTACCCTCTGGTAATTTAACATAGCTATGGAAAATCATCATTTTTAATGGGAAAATCCACTATAAATTTTATAAATGCTCATTTTCAATAGCTATTTTGACATAACCAGAGGGTAAACCATCTATTTCGATTAGGGCCATCGAAAAATCATGGCGCTGGGAGGTGGAGCTGAGCAGCCTTCAGCCTTTGCCCAGTTGCCACGCTATGCCGCTTGGCACCGCTTTTTTTTTGGGCACCCATTATGGGCCACATCATGGCACCAAGGGTATTAGTTGGATCATCATGTGATTGATCTATAACAATCACATGCATTAAATTATACCTATTATGCATTTACATGTTTTTACAAAGTATAAGTAGATTTCAATATATATATATAAATATCAAAGCAAATATAGGAATGATTCCGTGATATTCCCAATACATATCTATATTGCAAAGGAATATATGTGCACATATGTTGCTGTATTACTTATGTAATAGTGATATATGTACATAGTATCTGTACATTGCAATCGGGAAGAGAATGGGGGTCCCGATCCCGCTTAGAATAAACCACATTTCTTAAGGGACCCCCCGTAGACTGTGAAACTGAATTGGGGTTTGTTGGAGATGCTTACTATCGGGGAAAGTGATTGCTGAACATATTATGTATGAATATGTGCAAGTGGGTTGAGGTGATTGCTACCTATTTTCTTTTTGAACATGTAATCCCTGGATTAATAATAAACAATTTTCGATAATAATATCAGTAATTCGGCCAGATTCCCCCCCAAAATGATGTTTTGCACTACACCTCTGAACAAATAAGAAGACTAATGTGCCGATCCCAATAATAAACCATCCCCACATGGTAGCTGTTCACCATTTTTATCGATGCTATAAACTTTATACCCAGTCATCATAGTTGTTTATGGCATCAAGTTGCCACGATTGGTCCCAAACCTTTCCAAGGTACGCATCAACTCCCTCCGCTGGAGCGAAGTAGGGGTGGAAGCTCAGCCCTTGCAGCACTTGTCGAAGGCCCTGAAGGATGCGTACCAGAAGGATCTGGCTGCTGGAAGGCGGCCCTGGGGGAGGGAAACGTTTGGAACAAGAACGAGGTAAATGCCCAAAAATGGGGTGAAGGAAGGAATTGCTTGCCCCCCTCTTGGGATTATCGGGCTTATTTTGGAAACCATGTGTTTTCTTCCAAATAGCAAGCAGATGGAAGGGGAAATGATACTTGGAGGATCCCCCCACCTAGAAACTGGTTAATAAAGTGTTAATAACCCTGGTTAGTAAGTCCCCAATTCCTGGATTATCCCATTGATTTGTAGGTTTTTCATGTTTTCCCCCCTAGGACGAGCAACCATACTGAGGCAAGTGGCAGCAGAAACTGCGGAAGTGAGACTTGGCGGATGCAGGGCGTCTGGAGACTACTGTGGTACCTGTGGGACCTATGACTTTCCAGGGGTGATTTGTTTGGTGGTCAACTTTTCACGGCGTCTTGATGCGTTTTGTATGTTTCATGTTGTTTTCCTGAAGCGAAACCTTAAAAAGTGCCTATACTAGGCCGCTTCTACTAGTATTCTGGAAGCCTGGGGCATGGTGGCATGGTAGACCAGACATCAGAGGAACAAGTGCCGCCATTTTGTTTCTGCTCCATCATGTTGCATCTTTGCAAAGGCCCTCCATTTTGCAAGGGTTCCACATCACTCGAACTGGCGGTGAAACGGTGATCTCCAAAAGAAAGAATTAAAACCGTCTAAGTTGCTACGATAGTTTTCAGCGGCTCGGCTTTGAAACTGTGGGCGCCTCCGAAATAGTTGGTCACATATCTCATACCCATGACGGATCCATGGTGCTGGTATATATATGCTAATATGACTGGGGTATATTGATGGGATCCATGGAGCACCATATATAGCAGCACCATGGATCCGTCATGGGATATGATTTTCCGACGATATCATCCCGCCCTGGCTGCGGAGTAGTACCTGAACTAAGCCCACGGTTACACGAACCACTTGATCCTCCAAGCAGTTGGTGAATCCCCATGAAATCCCAACTTCCCCAGCTATATATCCCAAGTGCATCATAATTATCCCATTTATCCTGTAGATTTTTCTAGTTCAACCCACATTTTCCACAGGTCAAACTTCCGTGAAATCTCATGTTCATCCCATTTTCCCTGATTTTTTACTTAAGTTTTCCCTAATGAACTCCACCAATTTTCATAGTCAATCGCTGCGCAGGTCCAAGGATGAGCTGGTTCCGGAGCTGCTGGTGTTGCATCCTGCAGCGCGCTGCTGGCTGCAGCAGCTTCCTGAGGTGCAGGATCCGTGAACGGAGTATTAATAGCTGGTTGGTGGTTTCAAACATGGCTTTTATGTTCCATAATAATATATGGGATGTCATCCTTCCCATTGACGAACTCATATTCTTCAGGATGGTTAAAATCACCGACCAGATAGTGATTAGTAATGGATTTATGGTGATTAATAGTGGATTTATATGGATCTATGACGATTTATATGGATTAAAAACTAGGAATCACTGAAGATGATGATATATATATATAGTGTATTAATAGTGATTAATGCTATTTTTTGAGAAATATATTGGATACTATATCCCAAGGACAGCCATCTATGTTAGTTTACCTCCGGGATATCATTGGGATATACTTGATATACTATTGACTGGGAGACAATACTTGGAAAATCAAACACCCCGAGAGCCCAGAAAAAGGTGTGGTTTTTTCCCAGGGTGAAACCGCAAAGCCCCTAGAAAAATGATCTACCATAGTGGAACATAAACAATGGGATGACGGTAATGCGCATACTATAGATTAGTGGAATATAAATTACATAACTATCGTCTATCGTAGAATCACGTGGTAACTATGTAAATTATGTAAACTGTAGGGCTATAATCCATTAGATTATGGGTAAAGATAAACTTTGTAAAACTTGTTTAGTGACAAGTTTCTAAGTTCCAACCGCGTGTTTTTGTAAGTAGTTCCCGGTGCTTTGTCCCCGGTCAGGTTGAAAGTGGTGCTCTTGCAACCTGGTTGCACACAGAGTTACTCTCCGAAGGTGGAACCCAGTTGCTTTTGGATCAAACGAGCACGCAATCGACTTGTGTCAATATTATCACCATTTTAAGTGACGTCAAGATATCTTGTGATTCAATGGTGCTTTTCTGTCAGGCTGTTCCAACACAATGGGCAATTGCAAGTTATACAACATGTATACCCTCTGGTAAACTAACATAGCTATGGAAAATATCCATTTATAATAGGTAAATCAACTGATCATTTTCAATAGCTATGTTAAATTACCAGAGGGTAAACATCTAATCTGAGTTAGTTATGCAACAGGGCAAAGTCATCTCAGACAGGGCTGTCTTCCAGTCTTCCTTTCGTGATGAAGTTTCTGAGGTCTTGCAGGATCGTTCTAGCCTCTTGGCCAAGGGATTTTCCAGCTACGGTCACAGATGGTCACAGGAGGGCACCTAGTTAAGTCTAGAAGCCATCAAGATTCCACCGTCATAGCGATTCAGTGAAGAACATCCCATGCCATCAAGTCGTCTATCACCTATTGAGCACCCTGAAAGCTTACACCATTCGTGAGCATTTTCACGCACTTGAAGCATGGGACTCGAACTTCTGAACAATCCTCCCAGTGCCCGTCATCCACTGATCATCCACTGATTATCCACCATCATCCATGAGGGTTTGCTTACCAGGGTCTGATTGAAAATCAAGACCCCCAAATCCCACAGTTGCTCCCCACATCTCATGGTTGCCATATTACGTTCACCATTTAAAAAACGCATACGTAAACATATTAATGAAGGCTATACAAACCTGAAAAAAGATAGATATGTGATTTATCACTATTGTTAAGGTTGGATTTTACTCTTCACTCTTAACCAAAGGTTACTATGTGTATACGTATGTATATTTACATATGACTTATGACATATCATTGGTGTTACCCCAGACATGAAGAACACAATTTTGAGGTATATATTCCCACCCTTTCTATTCAAATTCTCAAGTTTTTTCTTATCAAAATGTAAGTTTTTCCTCCATTTATTCCCCATTTTACAAGTACATCCCATCCCATTTTTTCACACGTCTGGCCCCAGGTTGTCTGTCGGCCCTGGCCGCCGGCTTAACGCATGGTACCATCGTCCTGGATGCCTGCGCTGCGCCTGGTAGCAAAACCTCGCATGCCATAGAGCTGCTGGGAGGTTCGTCCCGTCCTCGTAAGGATTTTCATGTCAAGCCTGGATTATTAATGGTATATTAACCAAAAGGGATACTAATGGTTAATGATGGTTAATAGTGGTTAATAATGGTTAATGAGATAATCATCTGATTGGTGGTGACTGGAACATGGCTTTTATGACTTTCCATATATTGGGAATAATCATCTCAACTAACGAAGTCCATGATTTTTCAGAGGGGTAGGTATACCACCAATCAGTATCAGCCAAAAACGGCTGTTGAATTGGGAGGGTATCATTGAGGTATTCGATGAAATGACTATTGGAGGAGTACCCCCCTAATTAATAAACCACGGTTTATTAATCCGGAGTTGACTTCTTAACCAAGGATAATTCCTATGACTGCTCGCCAGCAGCCTGATCTGAACCTACGGAATGGCGATACAGAGAGAGAGAGAGAATACCTATGACATCCTATGACTGACATAAATAACTATGGCTATTAATCCTCTAACTATGGTTATCATGGGTTTACGGATTAAATTATAGTAAAGTAAAACTATAGTATATAAGCCATCTGTAAATGGGAGAACCCTATAGGACTCGGGGTTACTAAGCATGGTTAATAACCCTGTTTAGCAAGTCCCCAATAACTATACGTAGGGTTATCCCATTTACAAATTGTTGAACTAACCCCAGTTACTAACCAGTTCGATTCGTAGGGTGGTGGAGTGATACTCCAACTAGGGGTATCCATGTTCCCTATGAGCTAATGGGAGCCGCTTGGAGCTACAATGAGAGTTCCCCAAGTACATGATAGTCATGTATAATTGTGGAGGTTTCCACAAATGGTGGTACCCCAAAATGGATAGTTTATAATGGAAAATCCCACTAACATGGATGATTTAGGGGTACCACCATTTTAGGAAACCACCATATATATCCATACATATGGGGCTTAATCGTCAAAAGAGGGGTCCTTTGGGTTCCATATATATATATACCTAGGTCTTCATTCGGGCTGAAATTTCAGCCTGAGACAGAATTCTAGCCTGAATAGGGTTTCGGGCAGAAAAACAGCCTGCGGGCTGAAATCCATATTTTGGGGTTTTTAGATGTTTTTAGCATATTTTGAAGTTCACTAGCTGCAGGCTCAATCAAGGTTTTAGGAACCTGCCATCTTCATGTGAAGTGCCTCCGGAGGAGGTGCCACCCACCCACTGCCTTGCCTGCACATCCTGTTGATCTGAAATCTTTGGTCATGGGGAGATGGCATTTGGATTTTTTCTGGTGCTATTGGAACTCATGATATTTTACTGCAGTAATTTTGGATCAGAGGTGGTAGAATTTCAGTTACTTTGCTGTTTGGTATCTTTACCCATGGACTATTTTCGCCTGGTGTCCGACAAAACAAAGGATGCGTTGAAGCATGAAGGCAGGGTTATTGCAACAAATCTTTCCCGAGAACATGGTTGTAACTTAATTACTCGTTATTTACTAGTTGCCCATCTCTGTTCTCTTGTGCCAGGCCTATTGGACTTTCCCAAAATGTGGTGGGCAGCAACCCAGGGAGCCCTTTTTAGCGGTAGTCCAGAAGTCTCTCGCCAAGTGAAACTTTCTGCATGATGCTTGTTACTTGCTCCGATCTGTCCAACTTCTTTTGGGGGTTAATTCAACTGAGGTTTGTGTTTCAGAGTATCGGGCCCCTATGATTCTTGAGAACTACCGCCTTGCTGGCATCGTTTTCTACTTGGCATCGGTGGCCAGGAAGTATGGCAAAAACATGCCCTGTATCTTGACCAATTATTGTCTATTCTAAAACACAAAATATCATCAAGTTCTTTTATTCTTTCTCATGCCGGAAGTTCAACACCCTAGCGGTCATGCCATAGCCTTTCATTGAGGCCACTGAGCTTCGGAGCTGCGATAAGATCACTGATGAGTGGCCTGAGTAGATTTCGTTGGGGCAGCCGTGCAGCTGACAGGGGGAACAAAGGGGTTTAAAAAAAGGTGGGCCTTCCTGCCCAAGACCAAGATTGGAATTAGTTAAATTATGGTCAATTGTTCAAACGTGCACCGGCCCAACGCAGGTGATTACCAAATGGAATGCCTACAAGATGATTGTGATCATCAAGTGCCCCACGGCCCACTTGGTTTCAATGATACAACGGGTTGCACATGTCATGTCATGTCATCTCATCAACCTCCAAAAATAGTTAGACGCTGAATAGGGGTCAAACTTGAAAGAAATTCTCACAAGATTTTTTCTGAGCGTCCCCCCATTCAGTCATTGTGGCTTGACTGACTAGTGTTCCAAGTTTTCAACCTTGCCTGCCTTTGCGTCCAATGGCTGTGGCCCCGGACTTTGACAATGATGAGCCGATCCCGGGTACTTCGTTGGAAGGCCTAGGACACGCATGGGAGGCTGACGAATGCATTCGGGGCCATGCCCTGCAGAATGGTGGGTCTCTCTTGTCTTGGCCCACCCCAAAGCATGTTGGGGTCATCAACTTCCAATGTGCGTCCCACAATGCCAAAGTGTTGTCCATCCTTTTGGAGCTTTGGTGCCCTCAAGTCCGGTCTGTGAAGACAGTCAACATTGACCAGCTTAGGGCTGAGGTGGGGTTACCCAAAAAAAACATGTTGAATTTCAACCACCAAAGTTTTTAACGCAGTGAAAACAACAACAACAACAACATATTCAAAAATAATATATTATATTTATCCCCATGTATACCCCATGTATCTTATCTGTTTTGTTTTTATCATCTCTTTCCTAGGTGAGAAGCTTCCGTGCAAAGCTTTTCTTTCCAGAGGATGAAGTCAAGGTGAACTGTGATGCAATCTCCATCAGGAGCTTCGTGACATACTTGGGCCGACGTCACAACGGTTCCAAACGTCGAGACTTTTGATAGCACTAGCCATCACTAGTGGTGTTCTAGATTATTTGGGAAAGAATTTGCCAAACAAAATTGGCAGACACAATCAACTCCTTCCAGGGGATTGGGCATACTTGGAGGGTATGCACTTTGCTTCCAACATCTCTGCAGCCAGTGATCTAAGGATTTGCTGGTTGCGAACCTTTACAGCGACATCATCGACCTCTACTGGGCACCTTACACTGGTGCTAGGACCAGGAGCCAGGAATCAGTGGAGGAGCCAGGTTTGGATGGGTTAGATAACCACCAAGGTGAAGTTCCAGTGTTGGCTGATGACTACGGGGAATCCTCTTTGGCAGAAGCTCTGGGCATTCCTCAGGTGGCCCACCCTGTTGTACCGGTGCCGGACTCACAGATCCCGGCTGACTCTGCTGCTGGCCTCGACATGGAGTTTCCCGATCGACAGCCAGCGGAGGATGAGATCCCAGCCACCTTGCCTGATGATTCCCAGCTTCCAAAGTCGCCTGATGATTCCGCAAAGGCCAGTCCTCCCATCACACCCACAGAGCTGGAGATGACTCCCCAGGCTGCCAGTGTGATTGAAGTGCCAGAATCACCTCCTGTGGCTGCAGCGGCCCCAGTGACCCGGGAAGAGATGGCAAAGGCGTCAGTTGTTGTGTTGACACAGCCGCAGCAATCTCCTCACCCTGGGGTCGCCACGAATGGGTTGCCTACTTCCAGCAAGCATTCCCCAGAAGACTTACGTGCTTTGCAGGAGAAGATCGAATACCTCAAGCAACTTCTTGGGATTTTGTAGCATTTATTCCGTTTTTCCATTCAATTCCACATGGGTTTTCCTTCGGGATAGTTTACAAGCTAAAATGGTTTCATGAACCAACCAATCACCATCCAATAGCCGCAATAGCCGCTCAGGCAAAGACTGCAGCATGTGAATGTGAAGGGTGCTGCCAGGCCTTTTCACACCAGGGACCAGGTGACTGATGTGCAAGACACCCTCCAGTGTGATATGTCACCAATAGCCAAAGAGTGGCAGGCCAACCCGCCAGCTGTTCCACTTGACCCGTCTTCGCCGAAGAGGTTTGCCAGGCCAGCTCTTTCAGAGGAGACGATGGCTCTTGGTGGTGCCCCTTCGGCATCTTCCGTGGGTGCTGGTTCTGAGACACCCAAAGATGTTGATGAGGTGAAGCAGGTGATTCCCGATGAGGTGGCAGTTGTGGGGGGATCTTCTGACCAGCTGTCAAAGGAGCCACTTGTGGCTTGCGACAAAGGTGAGATTCAAACAGGTGATGACGGTGATGAGGATCTTTTCCATGCCACTGCTGAGCCAGTGACAAGGAAACAGCAGTTTGCTGAGCGAGATGCTTTGAAAAAGGAGATGAAGAAGACTGAGGGGCCTCACCCTGAAGAGGGTGTGCCTGACAAGAAAACGGCAAAGAAAAATGCACAGGCAAGCAAGAAAGCACAGGCCAAGGCCAAGGCCAAGGCCGAAGCAAAAAAAGCAGCTGAAAAGGCCAAGAAGGAAGCAGAGAAAGCAAAGAAGAAAGCAAAGAAAGAGGCAGAGAAAGCAAAGAAAGAAGCAGAGAAAGCAAAGAAGAAAGCAAAGAAGGCCGAAGGGAACACCAGAGCAACCAAGAACGGTCAGAAGAAGCGCAAGCAACTGGAGGAGTCCCAGCCCAGTGCAGAGAACCATGAGAATGTTTCGGCTGTGCCTGAAAATCCGCCTGCCCCAAGCCCGGTGCCTGCTGAAGATGTTGTGATGGCTGATGGATCGGGTTCCTCGGCCCCTGCACTGAAAGTGCCTGCTGGTTCTGGCAGCTCTGCTGCCAGCAATGCTGCAGATGATGGGCTCGATGATGCCAAGGAGGATGAGAGGAAGACATTTGCCCGACGATTTCGGCCCTCGAGAAGCGATCCGGCTTCCCGCTTTGATTCTCTCAAGAACACCTTCAAGAAGCACTTGGCTGGCCGATTCAACAAGGAATCTACCATGGAGGCCCAGTGTTGTTTCTTTTCCCCTGTTTATTTCTCTGCTGCTTTTAACAACAGCCCCATTCCACCACATTACATGTCTTACTGGTACATGCCCTACTCCCTTCTGAGAGGTGGAGTTCTGGAACTATTGCATGAAGCAGCTCAAGAATGCTTCCAGCCCTGTGTCCAACTACGACTTCTTCTTTGAGACTTGCGTCCTGACATTTGAGGACTTGGACACCGTCAAACGTACTTGGCCAACATATGCAGTGTTAATGTTTTATGATTTATTTTTGGGGTCAGCTCAGACTCAGACCCTTGAAACCTCACCAACTACTGTAGATTTTGATTCCTGAGTTGTCACAAGTTGAGGTATGCTGAAGTGAGACTTCGAACCTACGACATGATGCCGTAGCTGTGGGTTTTGCCTGCTTAGTGAACACGTTCGGACCCTGGAATGTGGCAGGTGGCAAGTGCAACTTAAGGTAAACATGTTAACACTCTATGACTCTATGTGAAAGTCTGGAAAGATTTGGTTGGGATTGCTGACCCGGTTTTATGTGAATGGTCCTTTGGCACTGCACTGTAGCTGGGGAGTACGGTATACGGATGTGTTTGCAGGCACCAATCTTTATCTTAGAGAAATTTGGGTCACCAGAACCTAGCAGTTAGTGCCAGGCCAAACCTGCTGGGAGACTTGAAATGTGGGGAGAAAAAAGGATTTCACCAATCTTCGCCAAGCCTAACACCCTAAACCCAATTTTTCAATTTTGTCCATTCATCTCTCCTCCAGGTACCATGCCCTCCAAGTGCCGAAGCGGCTTGGGACCCTACATCAGGCATGGCTTGGTGACGGAAGATCCAAAACATGGCAAACCTGACATGTTTGGGCCGGTATTTGATCCATGACTGCCATGTCCATGTGATACACACCATGAAAACCAATGATTTTTTTGTAACAGCAACATTTGGGCTTTCAGAGAGCTGCTGGTGGGTTGAGATTCGGGATGAAAAGGGTGAAGACTGAAGCATTTCCTGATGCCCCACCTTTGCCAAAGAAGCTTGAACGTGTAACCCGACGACTTATATGGCTTGGTGCCCCAAAGGCAGCTAGGCTTTTTAACAACTGATGTTCAAACAACTGTGGGGTAATAATATCAATAGTTCTTTTATCACTTAGGTATTTGTCGTGACGGTCCTCCTGACGGGATTCCTTAGCTTTGTTGACATGAACCGGAATGACTACACCATCTTGGAGCTGTACGCAGGAGAGCAGCGACTTGTGAAACTGGCTAAGGGTCTTGGTATGAGTACGGCATCTATGGATCGAGATTACGATGATGGGGATAACAAAAAGAAGAATAATGCCATGGACCTGAACACCTCTGCGGGCTTTTTGTTTCTCACACTCAATGGCCGTACCCAACATCAGATATTTTCAATATTTTGCGAAATGTAAATTTCAATATTGTTGAAAACATGATGGTCTAGTCTAGAGGGTTCAGAAATGTTCAGAACATGGCCCCTTTCACCATCCACCCTATTGCACGTCGCTGGCAACCCCAGGTTAGCCTGCTGCATGGTGCTTGGCGCAAAGTGGGGGGAATTCCTGGTGCTGATGGGCATTTGCTGCAGCACGTTTGTGTCAATGTCACGGGGAAGTACATTCCGTAGTATATTCCTTCCACAAGGCTGTCCGGTATCCATAGCAGTGTACAGGGCCAACAAAGCACTTTGCAGGCAAGAGGTTCACAATTTTTTTGGGGAAAAACCACAATACATCCTCTACTTGGGGTTTCATTGTTTTTTGGGCTACTTCCCTGCAGGACGGTTCTCTTACTATTCCTCATCGTAGCATGTGATGGAGTGCCGGTTGTGGAGAATCCCATTTCAACCCTGCTGAATGCCCAGAAGAGATTCCAAGAGTTTGTGGCAAAGCTTCAAGCCCGTGGTATTTGCACGCTGGCTAAGATTGAACATGCTTGCTTTCTTGAAGGTGGTTCAAATTATGAGGAACTTTGGGAATCATCCTTGCCCCCTAGGAGATGTCACTGGTCACCTTCAACTTTTAAAGTGCGGGGAAAGCATTCATTTTTCATGGAACTAACTCTATTCGTAATAAATAATCTATTCCACAGATTTCCCCATGATTTCCTCAGAATAGCCCACTGTCCTTGTAGTCACATTCTCATCTGCATCGTTGATCGCAACCTGAGGTCTCTACAGGCAAGCTCTATGGCTCAAACATTTTGGGCATCTTTGCTTGAAGAGGACGCTGCTTTGGAGTACATCCCCTGTCATTTCATATTTGGACCTTGGCCCCATTCAGAAAAAGAAGCACAAGTCCCTGGTGAAAACAGCAGTTCGATACCAAGATGGATCAGGTAAAAACAGGTACAAAGGTGCCGGTGCTGCCCTAAAGGGCACTCAGTTTCTAGTTCACACTCATTAGTATGTTGTTTCCCCGAGATTTCATGTTGTTTTTACACCTGGTCTTCCAAACGTTTGGATCTCGTAGCCTAGGGGTTTTTGGGGATGCGATTCATTGTGCCATCTGAGACTTTACCCTCCACGATTTGTCGGCAAGATCTTGGAATACAAAGAGGAGTTCCTGAAAAACATGCCAGTCCTTCCAGAGGAGGTGCTACTTCTTTGATTCTGCTGACCCACCCTGTTTGATTAATGTCCATCCCCATTAAAAAAACTTATCGCAGTATGGCTTGCCTTTCCAGGTGACACAAGATGGTCCTAGCCTCTTGGAACTACTAGAAGAGATGCCAACTGGTGATTGCTGGGATGACGCTGAGTTATGGCCAATTTATGAATACGTTAGGGGGTCGAAGCATTTGCGATTGCCTGATGCCTACAGGCCTTTACTTGTTTCATTGGGAAAATCCAGTTCAGCAGCCACAATGGCCAGCTGGTGTGTTCAACAATTCGTAATTTATGACATCAACACATGGCAGGGGCTTCAAAAAAAGAGGTGGCTGCTGGGTGGCAAAACCCCAAACTTGAAAAAAATGAAAATTCCAAAACAGTCAGTATGTAATTTTTTGGTGATTTTGGGAAAACCAATTCGGGCGTGAATTCCCGTGATTCGGGCGTGAATTCCCGTGATTCGGGCGTGAATTGTCGTGATCAGGGTTTGGGAAACCCCTCAAGAGGATTTTTGTCGAACCAAAAAAAACTTGATTTTTCGTTCGGTGGATCCCAGAAAAAAATCAAAACAGAGATTTTGTGGTCTTTGAAAACCCTGAACAAAAGAAATCCTGGGGCATTCTTGACACTTTTGGGTTACCAAATAGCGCACTGAAATGGATAATCTTTTGGGGGAATTCAAAAAAATAAGGTGACCATAGGGGACCTGTTACATCATAGAAAGGGCCCATGCAATGAAGTCTTGGCTTAAGGGGATGAGCTTTTCTAGCAGGGCCTGGTCCAGCGGAACCCTGCTCCGGGGGTTGGACCTTCTTGAACAAGGGTCCTCTGCGGCCATGTCGTCCATGGTGGATCCTGACCCAAGAGCGCTGATGGAGGAACTTGCTAGGTTGGAGGTACCCTGGCCCAACCAGCCAACAGTGTGTAGCTTCAGGTTTGGGGATAGGCTTAAAAGTTATAACTGGCTGTATGTCAAACATGTTCTGATGTATCTGTTACTAACCGTAGTTTTGTTCTTAAGATGTGGGCCTGCATCAAAAACAAATGGGAAAATCTTTGAAGTTATGTTGAAGGAACAAATCATGGCACTTATATATTATATTATATACAGTAGTATCATAAATACTGCATAATTCTATTCAGGATTCATTTTTAGAATTGTTGGTTTCACACCTTACAACATGCCGTACCCACAAGGCACTGCACACGTCGATTGTTGAACAACAAGATGCGGAGCCAGGACAAACAAGGGCTGAGGGAGGTGATAAATCAAACTCTGGACCAGAACAAGCGTTAACCCCAGTATCCCCCAAATGTCCCTATCAAAAACAAAAACTTTCAGAATGTTGTTCATTTTTTGAATAGATGTCGTTTTCATAGACTGGGCAACAAGTTGTTCACTCTTTGTTTTGTAGACCCTTCCTTGCCTCATTCCTCTCTGCAGGACATATGCCAGCTCCTCCAGCACCTCCTGCAGATGTGCCGCCGGCGGCTGCGGATGGAGCTGGGGGGATGTTAGCCGACACTCAGCCGGGTTCCCCACCGGAGGCACATGTCAAACCACATGAAAATAGACCTGTTGGACCTGAGAAGAAAGCTACACCACCACTTGTACAAGTACCAGATGAGACGATTCCCATGACTCCAGTTCAAACCATGTATAGCCCTGAAAGCCCCCCTCGGGAGACACGTGTGGATGACGATGGTCTCCAGAAACGAAAGGCTATGGCTATTCCCCTTGATGAGGATGAGAATGGTAAGTATGAAATCTTTGTTCCGGTGGCTATGCCACCCGAAGCATTGACTGATAGAGCCATCTACATGCGCCTGAACCGGGTCTTCAAGAAGAGAAAGGATGGGAATTATCTACTTGATGATTACTGGAACAACGCTTGGGCTGATATCGATGGTGGTGGTCGGGACTCCGTGAAAGCCCTATTTGAGAAAGTCGGTTACCAAAAAGACAGGGTTCGACAAAAAATGTGTTTTTTTTACAACAATTATGTTTTAACATCCGAAGGGTTGTAGAACCAGCCTATGTTTGATACTGCGTTGCTGAAATGATGTTTGGCCAAAATGATCACCAATACCATCATGTTTACAACAATCTTTAGTTGGGGGGGCCATTATTTCCACAACCCTTTACCTCTACTGTCCTGAGATTACAAGATGTGTACTTTCCTAGGTTTCCTCTAGTAAGCCTTGCTTTCATCCCGGCCCTGCAGGACAAGTTCGTCAAGCGATGCAAGGCCATTTCCGAGAAGGTGCAAGAGGAAATCAGTGAGGTCGAAGCGGAATGGCTAACGGTTTCTGATATGGAAAAGTTGGAGTTTTCAGAGTCGCTCAGTGAAATTTTAGAAGCTACCTTGATGTTTTCCTTCTACACCACATAGTCAAGGTGAACACAGCTGGTCACTTGAAAGTTTAAACACAAATGTGTCCCGGACTTTCCAATTGCCCAGGTCCAAGATCAAGGGTGTTATTCGCTATTGCGAGAGTCGCCCACAGTTGCAGAGGCAAGGTTTCCTCCAATGATATCAAGTGATAAATCGATATATAACTCTTTTTAGATCAGCTGTAAATTGTGGACTTGAGCGGTTGCCCCCTGAAGGATGAGCAAATATGGAGAAGGTATGATGTATTGGACTGAAATCAGAAGCCGTGGGGCCCTGCGGTGCTTCAGCTTGACAAAACAACATAGTTCAGTTTACTTTCTTTTGCACATGTTGCCACACTTGACTTTGATCTGGTATTTAGCAATCCCTCTCTGGTCTCTGGGTTGGGCATCCAAATTTCACACGCTAAGGAACACCAAGCGACACATCAGTCAGGACATCATGGAATGGGAGGAGGAAAACCCAGATGGTGAAGTTCCTGATGCCCCCAAATTGGATTGGGGATTCATGGCGGGCAATGGCCAAGATGGTGATGCTCCAGCGGTACCAGGCTATTTAGTTTTAAAGGGTTTGAATCATATGCCCAAACCAATCTAATTATCTCATCCCATCTCATCCCATAAACCCACCCGACATCTGGTCTCCTTTGCCAGGTCTGGTGAAGGATGAGCACGTGGGTGAGGAGTACACGCAGCCTGTGGCAGTCGAGTCCGAGGACGTGAAGCGGGAGATGGACAAGTTGCAGTTCCCCCAAATTGAAGGGGACTTGGCCCCCTCAGCGTTGGTCCCCAAAGCATGCCAGAGTTTGCAGAAACAAGTTGCCAAGCTGGATTCCTTGTTAGAGAGTGCCAAAGCTGTTGATCGTCTTACCCCGTTGCAATCCCGGAGACTTGTCATCAACTGATATCAAATGGGGACCAAAATCTTGGGTCAAACTGAATGATTTGGGAGATTGAAGTGTTTATATTTTGGGGAGTATGATGTTAACATTTTATCCTCAGTATCCTTTAGTATCCTCTAGTATCCCTTAGTATCCCTTATAATTTTAGCATCCTTGAATATTCCTTAGTCTCATAGTCACAACCACCTTGAAGAAAACCCGTAAGACCATGTCTACTTCATGAAATAAATTTTCCCTTTGGTCATGAAAAACGGGCTACGCGTTATGAAGACATGTAAATCAATAAATCAAGATAGGCGAACACACGCATTTAGGATGGATCTCTCCCAATCATTAGGAAAAGGTCGCCCCTTAATCCTTAAGGATGAAAGACAAGGTGGAGCTTGCCATTACTAAGCTGACCGAATTTGATGAAGAGCTCATGGACCAGCATGGGGAAGGGATCCTTGATGGCTATACCCGTGCGCCCCTTGACTAATCTTTTTGAGCCACCGGATTTTTAAACCAGAAAAATGAACATGGGGATGCTTTTGGATGGGCTTGACAATGGGTGAGGGGCAAGGGGCAGTGTGTGACTTCCCATGTTCTTAGATCCCATTTTTTGGAACACCGTCACCTAGCACTTATGCATTCACACCAGCTTCCGCATTGGGACTATTCCAGCTATAGTGCCATAAAAACAATAATGTATTAGAGTATAGCATCCTACTGCATTGTACCAGATACTATTGGTATAGGAGTTACATTGGATATTTCCCCTTAAATTGTGGGGTCTTTAGTTGTATAGTTATGTAAATAATTACAATCTGTGTACTGCTACATCCATTATTGGAACACATATATAAGATTCCTTCTGGAACATGTGGAGGTTTTGCCCCATACGGACAGCCAAGAAAGTGAAGCATTTCAGTTTTTGGCTATTCCAAACCCTTGCCACTCGAGGTTGCAAAAAAAAATTGCTGATACACTGGATGGAGCCCGGAAGAAGCTTGGGCCTTGTGACTACCTTTGTTTGAATTCTTGGGATTATGGATGTGGTTTTTGGTCATCCTGTAAATTGAGGTTGGTGGAGTCCATGGGCCTCTATCACTTTGCTAAGTTGGAAACTGAGTTTCTTCCGATATCAAATTGACAGGCATCCCAACAATTTCCCTTTGCATCCCCTTGCCTGCTCCAGGACCAGGATGCCGAATGAGAAGGAAGCCAAGAATAAGCCTGGCGGTGGTGGGGGTGCGGCCAAGAAGGCCAAAGCAAAGCCTAAGCATGCGCCAAAGGCTGCTCCTAAGGTTGCCCCGAAAGCTGCCCCTAAGGCTGCTGCATAGCCATGATGATGAGTGAGCCCCAATTTTTTTGAGTCTCCACAGCACAGGATTCAAAACTCATAGTTTTGGGGATTGAAAACATACAAAAATCTATGTTTCTGCTTGGTTCAGTAAGGGGCACGGCCATGGCTGCCCGATTTGAACAAGTGGGCGAGGGATCCCCGCTGACTGCTGGGCGTACTTTATCGTATCAGTTGGATTTCCAACTCCAATCCATCTTTATTGGGGATGCTTCTGCGCAACGCAGGATGCAGCGCAAGTGACATTGCTTTTGAGCTCGTTGGAAAAAATGTTATCTCATTACTTCCCAGCAAACAAATCGATGACCTTCTACCGGCTAGTTCATGCCAGGGGAAGCCTTTAAAAAAGTCCCTGATGAGTTCATTACCAATCTGGCTGATCAATTGGGTGACGGCGTCCGGGTCTCAACTATAGTTCTCACCTCTTTTGCAATCACCCTGGTTCAGATCCCGTGCCCGCCTGAGGCCACAGCAGCTTCTGCACAGAAGTCTTGGCACTCCCTGGACCGGGGCAAATGTCAAGATTATAACAATGCTTCACGCGTTATCCATGAGAGAATGGAGAAACTTGGGTACTCACTTCCTATCCCGATTCATGAGACTGAACATCACAGTGAGCTGCCGGATACTCATAGACTCACCACTTTCCATATCCTACCAGAAGATTGGGTCAAGTACTGGATGGTGGAGTGTCCCGAACTCCTATGTGGTTGGAATGGAGGCCCCAAGGAAAATGTCACTGCATTTTGGCGTGCTTTTCAATCACACCATCCTTCTCATGAAGTTTTCTCCAAACATGCAGGGAGGCTGGATCAAGTTGTACCACTGCTTCTTCATGGTGATGAAGGAAGGGCTGTCAAAAGGACAAACTACTTGGTTCTGTCAATAGAATCCCCACTTGGCTCCTTGGATGACCCCACGGTGAGATGCACATGCTGTAACGATTTGCGCAAACGTTCTGGTTTACCAACATATGGCACTGATGCGGATGTTCTTGACCCTGAAGTTTTGGCTATGTGCCGCAGGCAAACAACAAATTTCAAAGGCCATAGCTATCTATCCCACTTTTTACTATTTGGAATGGGTGGCTGGATCTACAAGCGCCATCCGCACATTGTGGATACGTTGTTAACTGAAACAATGACGAGCTTGAACAAACTTTTTACAGAGGGAGTGTCCACTGCGAATGGCACCTTTTATGCTGCCATTATTGGCATCAAAGGTGATCTGGATTTTCACAAGAAGGTCATGTGTTTAACAAGGAGCTACTCCAACATTGGGACCAAAGTGGACAAAGAGCTGTGCCATCTATGCAAAGCAGGGGCCACAAATGTTCCTTTTGAGGACTACAGTGATTCACCGACATGGGAACAGACTTTGCATCTTGAAAGACCATGGTCAGTGAATGACCCTCCAGTGCTAGCAAACCTGCATTATGATGAAAATTGCCCGGAAGAAATGCTGCAACCGGATCTGTTCCACATAACCAAATTGGGTGTGGGAAGAGACATCGTCGGTGGGATCCTTATTCTACTACTACGTCTTAAATTTTTTGACTACCCTGAAAGCACTGTGAACATAGATGATCGTTTTAGCCGGGCTCACTCCTACTTCGTCTTGTGGTGCATGAGTCAGGGTAAGAGTCCTGGCCTCCGGAGTTTCAGCAAGAGCTTTTTCAACATGAAGTCGCTCATCTCAGCTCCCTGGGCGTCGAGCAAAGGCTCAGATACCATATTGTTGTTGCAGTGGCTGAGGCACACTTTGAAACTCAATATCGAAACACCTGCTGTGGAAGGGTATGAAACATTACTGAAACAAATGCTGCAAGTTTGTGAAGCTTCCTTATCTTTACGGATGGTGCATCATCACAGGCTTTGGCTTGAGAGACCCTGTGCAAAGATGCTGTACGTTCACATTATGACCATTCTTCGTGGCTATGCTGTTCTTGGGAAGGCATCAATCAGGTTACACATTCGGGCCTTCATTCAGAAACCAAAGCATCATGGGCTACATCACATTGGACACTTCTTGAAACGTGAATTGGAAAAGGGATCTTCGCTGATATTGAGTCCCCAAAGCAAGTCCTGCGAAATGAATGAAGATTTTCTTGGACGAATCAGTCGTCTGAGTCGACGTGTTGGATTTCGCAAGTGTGACCTCCGTGTTTGTCACCGTTATTTCATGAAAATACAGGTTCTTCTAAAGAGAAGAATGGGCAGAAAAAATCGTAAGGTTTGGGCTAAACGATAGGGAAGATGTGAACTAGTGCATGGGCCCCATTATGTTTCTCAAATTGTTCTTACATTATGATAAAAAACATACTCTATGTATCTAACACAACCTGGATACACAACCTTTGTTGCCCATCCCTTTGCCCAGCTATGGGTCTCTGGCCTTCTTTTCTGGGCCATCTTGATCCGCACTTGCGATGACCAGCGCATGGCAGGCACAAAGGTGCAAGGTGGTTTGGGAGTGATCTGGGAAATTGGTTGTTTTTGCTATTTTGTTACTTCGCTGATTACAAGACATTCTCATAAGATAGCACCACTATAGTGAAGATATTGTGCCTGATTTGGAATACAACAATGATGGTGTAAAATGATTTTAACTTATTTAACTTGGGTATATTTCATTAGTATAACCTATAATATGTCCATTTACCCAAAAATCATCAAAACTGATTCGAGCAGAAAATTTGCCTGCGGGCTGAAAATCTTGCCCGGGCAGGAATTTTAGCCTTAACAGCTTCGGGCTAAAAAAACAGCCTGGGCGAGGATGCAGGTATATGGAAGTGTTGGCACGGGAAGATTGGAAGTGCTTGAGAGTTAGCCATTCTGCTGTCCCGCTCAAGCAAAAAGTGTAGGCACGCCATGCGTTGGGAGTCGTTGCTGCTTGCTCTGGTGACCCAGGCTCTCCAGGTGGGTCTTAAGCCTTTTCCATCCAGCGTACATCGTCCAGATCCTCCTGAGGTGGTTGTGGGCGCCGATTGCCACTGCTCCTGTTACTGTTCTACTGACGATTGGGTTGGATCTGCTTGGGGCTTCGGAGGGGTGATCGGCGCTCTAGGTGCTTCAGTTGTTTGCTGGTGTAAGGGAACTTCTGCCTCACCTGTTTCGCCACACCATCGGCGACGAGGGCATGGCTTCATTAGCGAACCTCTTACCTGGCCAGATCCTCGCCGTCTACTACAGCGATGATGTGGTATGGCATGAGCGACTGTTGTTATGGCGACATGGTCCAGACTGCTGGTTCATTCTGACCCCAGACTTGGATCTGTATGCAGAAGATCTAGGGATGCGTGGGGAGGATGGGCCTTCACGAGTGAAGGTGAAGGGGCAAGACTTCAAGTACTGGAGCAGAGTTGGGGGCACAGCGTACCGTTTCTCCGCTCCTGTCTCCACAGATGACAGCTTGAGGTCCTACATACGGCAGGCCTTTCGTGAAGGGCTCAAAGATGACTCCTTCGACCGTGAATGGAGACCTGAACATGTGGTGGATGTTAAGGGTTTGCTTCAACCTTGTCAAGACTTCCTTGGAGACATGGTGCTCTTGACTTCTCACCGCATCACTGGCAAGGGTCCTGGAGTGCTTCGGCAGGCGGGTCAACTGCCCAGTGGTGTTGATGTGAAGCCCATTACGCTGCCGGATGAGGACCATGTGTGGGTCGTGTTGGAGAAGATTGACAGCTTCCAATTTGGCCAGGCTGTTGAAGTCAACCCAGACAAGGACATCATGATTGACGGTCGCACTGGGCTTGTCAAGACAGCGAGTGGTTGGGCAAAGGTTGAACTAGTTGGTGTAGCTGCTTCCCCTGAGTTTCTAGAGTTACGGCGCCCCAGCCTTGCCACGCCACCTGAACCTGTGGTGGACTCCAAGAGGGAATCTTCAGATGAGGGCGGTGGTGATGCCCGCACTTTGTTCATCGACTTCGATGCGCAGGGCGTCCGCTTCAAGGATTGGCGAGCGGTTGTCCAGGAATGTGTGGAGTACCACTATGAGGACTGGCCTCACTCAGGGCCAGCGACTGTCCATCATTTGCTGAAACACTTCTACAAATATGGGGGTGACCCAAAGCAGTGGTTGGAGCTATGGTGCAGACAGAAAGGAATTGCGGATCAAGACAGGGTGAAGCACGAGCTTCGTTGCTTGATGGAAGTCTTCCACCACGCTGGATCTTATGATCAGCTGAACCTTCCTGTCCTTGCCTCCATGGAGACAGTCGCCCGGCGTGTCCAGTGCATAGTGGACGCATATGCCCAGGGTGGCTCAGCCTCCCCTGACTGGGGAAATGCAAAGCTGTTCACTGGGTATGTTGGTCCTGATGACTTGGTCATGCCCCAGCTGAAGAGCTGGGCTGCTAGGAAGGACAAGGAAGAAGTAGAGCTGTTTCAGGCTCGCAATCGCATGAAGGAACTCCGAAAGAGTTCAGCGTCAACAGAGGAAGCAGCTGTTGCTGCAGCAGATGGCAGCTTACCCGCAGGCGGCAACCCCAAGCCCAAACGCCGTGCTAGAGGCAAAGGGCTGGAGCCGCCGTCAACCTCATGAGAAAAGAGGAGGGGGGGAGGTCGCCTGGTCCAGTGCCTCTCCTCTCAGCTAACCTTGGGCCTTTTGATGGTTTTGATGCTGGTGCTCGTCACGTCCTTTTCCCTTTGCCCAGGCCGCCACCATTGAAGATGATCGGTGGTCTCAGCCGAGGATGCAGCCAGAGATTGGCAAGGCGTGTCAAAGGCCGGCAAGATCTTTTTGAGATGATTTCGTCTCTGAATTGGATGCATGTGGGCGACTTTGATGCCCAGCCGAATTTGCCCCCCTCGCCACTGCAGCTTCGGGTGCTGAAGCGACTGGAGGAATTGGTTGGGCTGGCGGGCGACTTAGGTCCACTGAGTTGCATGCCGTCGCAGGAGGCAGCCTACAAGGAGCTGCTCCATGGGATGGATGGCTACTGTGAGCCTTCCACTCCAGCTTCTCTCGCGCCCTTCAATCTCGAGCTCATCTCTTTGCCCAGCGATTTGACCACGGCACCAGCGGCTTTGGATTTACTGGACGGGGATGACCGTCGATACCTGGAGGTGCAAGAGCGCATGTTACGATCTGGTGATCAAGTGACTCAGGACTCAAATTTGTCTCCATATTGGGATCCTGCTTTGAAAAATTGTCCTCGGAACTATCGTAAGTTTATTCGTAAGCTTAATGAGGTGGGGTATTTAGGTTTTACGTTGTCCCCTTCACAGCATGCCGGGGTGTTCTTTGTCTGGAAGAGTGACAGGCAGAAAATAAGGATGATAGTTGACGCAAGGCCTGCTAATGCTATTTTCCGTGACCCTCCGGGTGTTGCACTCGCCACTGCTGAAACGTTTTCCAAGATTGAGATCGATTTTGGTGAAGAGTGCGACCTCCATAAATTGGGCACGGATGCTTCCTTTGGTTTGCATGTTGGGCTCTCGGACGTCAAAGACTGTTTTCATCGCATCAAGCAACCTCGATGGTTGTCTAAGTACTTTTGTTTCATGCCAATTGAGGCTCGACATGTGGGTCTCACGGGGCAGGAGCTGGAAGGGCAGGTGCTTCGGTCTAATGATTTGGTTTACCCAATGCCAGGTTCCTTGCGCATGGGCTTCAGCTGGTCACTATATTTTGCTCAGAAGATCAGTGAACAGCAAATGCAGGTGGTGCCGGCATTGAGGGGCTCTAATCAATGACAGATGTGGCCCGGCAGTGTTTTCTGCACAGGCCCCTGACACAGTGAAGCATTATGTTTATGTTGACAACCTTGGGGTTCTTGGTGTTGATCCAGTCTGTGTGGATCAGGGTCTGAAAGAGTTGACCAACCAGTTCACGGAGAAGAACTTGTTACTGCACCCAGGCGAGATTCAACATGAGATTATCACCGCCTTGGGAGTTGAGATGGATGGCAAGAACCTTTTCACCCGTGTTGCCCCGGCCAGGTTTCATCGTGTTCGTCAAGGACTCCGGCACCTGCTTCGGAGAGGTCGGTGCACAGGCCGGGCCTTGGAGATTGTGGTTGGTCACTGCACTTACTGCGGCCTGGTGAACCGTTGCACGTTGAGTATTTTTCACAATGTGTACAAGTTCATCAAGTCAAATTACAATACTTCAGTGGTGCTTTGGCCCAGTGTTGTCGCTGAGCTCAGGGCTTTTGCGGGGCTGATGCCTGCACTCAAAGCAGATTGGTCTCGGCCTTGGAGCAGCAGTGTGATGGTTTCAGATGCCAGTGAAGAAGGGTACGGGGTCTGTCACACTAGTTGGAAACCTGCGGCAGCAGCAGAGATAGGTAGGTACAGTGAAAGGGATCGTTTCAAGCGGTCCGGCGGACACAATGCCAGGGAATCTGCACTTTCAGCTGCCGGGTTCATCCGTGATGAGGTGACGGGCCGGTGGATTGCTGGCGAGATGGGGGATGAAGAGTACCTTGAGGCCTCGGGTTGGCAGCTTGACTCAAAGTTCCCAGAAGTGTCAGCCCAACAACTCCAAAATTCAGATTGGCAAGTGGTTCGCCAGGACCGCTGGAAGAGATCTGAGCACATAGTGCACCTGGAGGCCAGGGCCTTGGTGAAGTCCATGGAAGCAGTGGTGCACGATTGCAGTGCCTTTGATTCCAGACAGTTGCTGTTGGTTGATTCAATGAGCGCAGCGTTGGCCTTTGACAGATGTAGGAGTAGGAATTATAGGTTGCTTAGACAAATCCGCAAGTTCTGCTCCTATGCTATTGGTTGCAACCTCTCATTTTCAGTTCGTTGGATCCCGTCAGAGATCAACCCAGCAGATGAGCCTAGTCGCGTATTTGATATTTACCACGCGCATGGTCAACATTCAAATCGCTCATTTTTGCGCGCCTCTGTTTCACGCGATGGGGCCGAAAAGGGTTTCCACACTGACTCCACCAGTTTCCCAGACATCCAGCCATCCTTCTCGGTCACGGACTCTGGCCATTCCTCAGCAGAAGGCTGCTCCAGCGTCCAGTTCCAAGTCCAGGACGTGTCGGCTGGACAAGCCGCCAGCAGCAGCCCAGCTACTGAAGCCTCTCAGCATCGAGAGGGTCCAGCTGGAGCACGTGGCCGAGAGGATGGAAACATCCAGACAGAAAAGGAGACTTTCCGAAAGCGAAGACAGCACCTCATCCTCAGAGGAGCAAGTGAGTCACAGTCGACAGCAGATGTTGGCAAGGCGCAGCAGAAAGCGCCTGAAAAAGTATGTCGACGAAATGATGCAATCAGAACCCCAAGGGCTGAGCCTGTTAGAGCGCAAGGCCATCACTGCCAAGACAGAGCAGTACTACAACCAGGAGTATGGGGAGCTGAAGGCATTCATCAGCGGTCGCAGACTCACTTTTTCGACGGCTCCCCAGAAGGATGTGGGGATCAATGCCTATTTCAACCATCTCTTTTTGGAAGGTCATCCAGCCCACAAGGGAGAAAAGATTCTAGCTTCGTTCATGCATCAGAACCCGGACTTCAGCCGGTATGGATCACAGAAACTGCCTCGGACTTATCGGGCTTTGAAGGGGTGGAGAAGGCTGAGCCCAGGCACTTCCCGCAAAGCATGGCCGTTAGCAGTGTGGTGCGCAGTGGTCAGCGAAATGAAAAGATTGGGTCAGCTGCAGATGGCTCTTTTTACCATGCTGGGGCTGTCTTCTTATTCCAGGCCAAGCGAGCTCTTGAGGTGCCGGGTGTTTTCACTGGTGCGACCTGCGCCGTCCGTGACCGAGCACTGGTGCTTGCTGCTGAACCCAGAGGAGCATCCTGCTCGGTCAAAGACAGGCACATTCGACGACTCTCTTGTCCTCGACTCAGCCTATCTCAGGCCTTGGTCAGCACCGCTTATGCGTCAACTGACCAGCCGGCCGAACAACCAGATGCTGTGGGATTTCGACTATGGCCAGTATGCCAAAGTCTTTGGCCAAATTGCCAGACAAATGGGCATCGACATCACCCCCTATCAGCTTCGGCACTCAGGTCCAAGTATAGATCGAAGCCGAAACTCCAGGTCCCTACTGGAGGTGCAGAAACGAGGAAGGTGGAAATCACACAAGAGTGTGGCCCGATACGAAAAGTCAGGACGATTAGCAGCGAACTTCCAGATGCTCCCAGTGGTCTTGCAACAGCACTGCCTGGCCGCCGAGTCACATCTCGTGGAAGTGATGTTGGGCCAGGCCCGCGCTCCAAAACTGCCTTCACTGCCAAAGGCCTGAAAGGTCAATATGTTGCTGACTTGTTTTCAGGTCATGGTGGCGTGGCTCATCAGTGCAGACAGCTGGGTTATGCGGCCAAAGAATGGGAGTTGTGTCGAGGGTCACAATTCGACCTCACAAAACCTTCAGTTTTGAGCAAGCTGAAGCGAGATGTTCAGCAGCGGCTTGTTTTGGCTGTCATGTTGGCTCCGCCTTACTCCAGTTTTTCCACTGCCAGAGACAGAACTTGTGTCATCCGCAACGAACAATACCCTTGGGGGCTTCCTAAGCACCTTTTGTCACCTGCTGACCAGCAACAAGTGCAAAACGGGAATGCTTGTTTCCGGGCAGCCATTCAAATTATCAAATGGTTGAATGCGCTTCGCATCCCGTGGATGTTAGAAAATCCTGCAAGCTCCAAATGCTGGCTTTTACCGCAGCTCCAAAAGGTTGAAGCCTCTTCATGTTGCACAGTGGTTTTCACAGATTTCTGTCAATTTGGCACCTTATGGAAAAAACGCACCAAGTTTTTGTGCGGCAATCTTGACTCTCAGGATGTAGCCCGCATCGGGCGACTATGCCAAGGCAAGGGCATTTGCAGTCGCACTCAGAAGAAACATTTTCAATTGTCAGGGTCCAACCATCAAGGCGTTCCATGGACACGGGTTGCACAACTTTACCCTGCTCAGCTGTGCAAACAACTTGCATTCGCATTGACTGCCCCTACCCATTATTCACCCACCACAATTTGAGAACATTTCTGTCTTGGGAAAAATGATTTGGGAGGATTGATGCTCATTCACACCGTTTGTATTCGCTATCACTGGCTTTGCACATTTTCTTTCACTTTGTTTTCGCCATCCAGTTTGTCTTTGGCATCCTGTGACATGACTTGATCGCCATCCAGTCTGTCTTTGGCATCTCATGTTTGTTCGCCATCCAGTTTGTCTTTGGCATCTCATGTCACGTTGTTTATCTTTGGCAAGTTTGTATCTAGCAAGATGACAGTGCAATTGGAACGATGCTCATTGCACTTTGCTGATCCAGTGCTGCAACTCAAACTGTCAGGTGTGAGCAGGTGGCAGATCTCTGAGAAGTTGGACGCCAGTTCGTGTCGCCAGCACTGAGCAGAGAACGCCTTGAGAAAAAATATGCGAGCAGAATCAGGCACGTGAAATCTGGAAGTGTTGGCACGGGAAGATTGGAAGTGCTTGAGAGTTAGCCATTCTGCTGTCCCGCTCAAGCAACCCGCCCCCCGCGGGCCCCTGTTTGGGAGGATTGATGCTCATTCACACCGTTTGTATTCGCTATCACTGGCTTTGCACCTTTTCTTTCACTTTGTGTTCGCCATCCAGTTTGTCTTTGGCATCCTGTGACATGACTTGATCGCCATCCAGTTTGTCTTTGGCATCTCATGTCACCTTGTTTATCTTTGGCAAGTTTGTATCTAGCAAGATGACAGTGCAATTGGAACGATGCTCATTGCACTTTGCTGATCCAGTGCTGCAACTCAAACTGTCAGGTGTGAGCAGGTGGCAGATCTCTGAGAAGTTGGACGCCAGTTCGTGTCGCCAGCACTGAGCAGAGAACGCCTTGAGAAAAAATATGCGAGCAGAATCAGGCACGTGAAATCTATGTATGTGTGTGTCACCTGAATGAATTATAATGACCTCACGTCGTGATGTCACTAACATGATTGGAATTATAAGGGGAATCATTCCCAAATGCCCCAACTTTTCAGCTATTTTCAGTTTTTTCTGGTTAATTTTTATAATGCAGCGATGGAATTCCAAACTGGCAATTTTATTTGATACATAATCATGATGTGAATAAGATTGAACCATAGGATGAAGATCAATTAGTGGGCATTTCATGATTTGGTTCAGAACAACGGATAATATGATATAATGATTCATTGATATTTTGTGAAACTTCGTGAAATGCACGCCACGCTTCAGCGGTCATTTAAGGGTAGTCTTCACCTGCACAATGACCAGCATTGACCAAGCCACCACCGGTGGTTTTTCCATGGCTGTCTCCTGTTGGTGATAGCTCCAACTTCGGATCATGTTGCGATCATCATGTTCACATCTTCCGGGCTCTTGGAGGATTGCGAATTGTAACTGGTTGATAACTGGTTGATAACCGTATTTTTCATAACTCTTTAATCCAGTTGGATACGGCATAACCCGAAAAATCGAGAACTTACTGGGGTATAAACACCACTTCCGACCATGTGATGATCCAAGCACCGCAGGTTCCGGCAAGATGTTCGCCTTCGAAAAGGACCCGCGCCGCGGCAAGGCGCTCCTGCAACGCCTGCGACTACTTTGTGGCTTTGAAGAGACGCGGAGACCACGGGGAGCCAAGGGGAAGTGCCTCGGGCAGGAGATGGACTGGTTTGCGAACGTGCTCGGCTGGCTGTTGGGGCAAATCATATGCAAATCTGAGAAGCCCTAAAAAATGATAGGATTTACATGGATTTACTATATGATTGAATCAGCACAAAAAATATGGTTTAAACCAAACATCAGAATATATGGGTTTTAGTGGGATATGATGAGATGTCTAAGCAACAAGGGAAGCCAAACTGGAGTAGCAATGGGCACCAAAATCAGTCCTATTCTATCTAGTGGATATAGCAAATTCAAAGCCGCTCCCATGTTCCCTCAAGTTAATCTCAGTTTCCCCGTGATTTGCCATCTTCTTGCACAAGATAATCCCCCGGGCATATCCCCGCATACCAGATATCCCGACATGGAAACAGGCGGCTTCCCCCTTGAGGAAAGCCAGTGTGAAGCGGGGCCGGTGCCTGGCCGTGGCTGGACATCCAGGGGTTGAGGTGGAAGTGCCTTGACCTCGGGATGAGAGTCACCCTCTGGCGTGGCTGGATGGGAAATAGCGAGGCTTCTAGCTGGAAAAGTCGGCTTGTCATGTTTGATTGCCAGAGGGTATATCCAATATGGAACTGGGATTGCCGGTGATATTCCATGAATGTAACTGGTCTATTTCATCTAGTTATTACCCACAAAAACGATTCAGCTGCACCCCCCCAAGGGGGTTGGGCCAGGGTTTGATCATGTCTGATCCATGGCCCAGATTAAGGGACCCCAGCTCTATTTTTCTGAGCGAATCACATCAAGATTTCACAAACATTTCAACCTGGTTCCTATGCCCAATGCCCAGATGCTCCGCAAACACTATAGTTGCCAGCTGATTGGTGGTGACTGGAACATGGCTTTTATTTTTCCATTCAAGTTGGGAATGTCATCATCCCAACTGACGAACTCCATCATTTTTCAGAGGGATAGAAATCAACCACCAACCAGTTGTTAAATGTTCCAGTGATTATGGACATAATTAGCTATTATGGATGTTGTCACCGGTATTATGCATAGCTAGGTATTTTCATAATGGTAATAACCATCATTATAACCATAAATATGTTCATGTTAATAACTAAATACCATGGAAAATAACCATGTTTTCAGTGTTGAAGAAGTTTGTGTTGAAGATCTCCTGGGCGCCCAGGTTCGGATCAAGGATTTTTTGGAGGTCAAACCCTGGGAGCCCCCCTGGAATCAGGTGGAGGTGCTGTGCCTTGGCAAAAAAAAATCGGGATGGGTCGAAGCTGCCTAAGTTTCACGGATGGCAAATGAACCTTAAATTTGCACATATATATATATATATATTATATTATATGCATTTTTACATGATTTATTAATATGCATTTATTTTGGATGTCATTTTTTACTACTGCTGTATTTCTTTCAATTCTACAGATGTGTATATTGTTGTGATCCTGGATGCTGTTTGACCATCTGTAGATCGTCCCTGTTTGGATGATGCTCCGGTGTCAAACATGGCAAGCTGGAAAATCCACCATTTTTGGAGGATTTTCCCATGATTTTCCCATGATTTTCCCATGATTTCCCATGAAAACATTTCTTTATTGCTGGGATTTCCCGTTCAGATTACCAGAGGCTATTTGCTATGCAACACAAAAGAGAGCCATGAGAGTCACCACCTCGTGGGTTGCACCACTCAGCCACCGGTTCGCTGGCTGACACACTGGTTCCAGTGGTTAGGAGGGAGCGGATCGGAAGAGTTTCCCAACCACATGACATTAAGTTTAGTAGTTGGTTACCCCCCATTGCTTTTGGTATCTTTTGGTTAAGATTAAGATCCCATGAAGCCCACATTTTTGCACGCGATCCTTCATTTTTGCTTGGATGTTGCTTGGTTTATCCTCGTGTTTACTTTCTTTTGTTTGCTTCATATCTCTCCCAACCAATTATCCACCCCTTTCAGCTTCCCAGCCGGTTCTCAGCAGTGGTTTAGAGCACCATTCTTGCTCAAGCCTAAAGTCCCTTCATTTTCCGCCCAGTAAAGTGTCTTAGGTTTTTCCCATCATCAGAATTTATCCCCAGCCATAAGATGCCAGTTTCGTGAAACCAAATTCTAGCAATGAAACAGTGAACCACCTTTTCCATGGGGTTAAAACCTCAGTTTTCCCATAGGTTTTCTGAGGTCCCGGTCCCCAAGGCTAGTGGATCCCAGCTGCAGCGGCTCCGGTCTTCCGGAGCACCAGCTCCAGGCGGAAACGGACGCGGCGACTGCGACCGCTGCGGGCGCGCGCTTGAAGCGCCTGGCCGCGTTTCAGCGGCGGATCCTGCCACTGGACGCAGCCATTTTTGCTGGGAAAAAATGGGTTCCCTTGTTGAATATACCCTGGCATTTTTGGAAGAAACTCAGGTTTTCATGAGATGAATCATGATACATATCACGCTGGAATTCATGTTTGTATCAGATGCATCCCATTTATTGGACGCTGGGACTCGCTATTCTGCACAGGAGACCGTGGTTTGAATCCGTTGGAATTTAGAACCTATGATGTGACTGCACCTGATACATGTGCCTTTGCAGATTTTAGGGTTAGAACATGTTGGAACCATTTCTTGCAGTTGTCAGAGGCCGGGTGAGATTTCGTAGTGGTTACTGAACCCCCCTGAGATTCTCCAACTTTGGTGATCTGTGATCACGGTAGCCGTTTCGGCTTCAAAGTGCTTAGTCCAGAGGCTGCAAGCAAACACCGATATCCCGGTGACACCGACAAGCTTGGAAGTACGCCATGGGCAGCACAAAGAGTGGTGGGAAGTGGCCAGAACATCAGGAACTGCTCCGTGACCATCGCAATGATCGCGGTGCCTTGAGACTCATCCAAGCTTTGGCTTTGGATCTCCCTCGGGCCCGCGGTCATCGCACCGTTGTGGCGGTTCCAAACGTGCAAAATGTTGGGGCAACGGAGCGCAATGACGCGCAGCAGGTGAACCAAGTGCACCGGCAGCGACCAAATGCAGAGGCACAGGGAGAGCCAAGGAGCGGTTGAGGAACCCTCCACTCTCCAGTTGGCACCGAAGGGCAGCCATCCACTGCAGAAAAAAAAATGCTTTCAACCCCGACGGACACAGACAGTTTTCAAACTCCTGGATGACAAATCTATCCCGGAGGTTCTTAGTATTTTGATTTCTGACCTATCCACCAGCATGATCCTGTTCGGATCAATTTTCTTGGCCCAGTCAATTGTGGCCAACCGTTGCAAAAAATATTGATACCTGGTTTCAACACCGTTCCGGAATCATTTTATAACTGGACCCCATTGACCGGGAAGCAGCTCTTCCAGGTTACGTTCATTTCACACGGGTCCAATCTTTCGACCCTATGGGGTCTGTGTTTCGATCGCGGAGGAGAAGTCCTCGGTTGGTATCCAACGTCGGCGTAGTGTAAAGTGTACAGCACCGTTTGGGTCCAGCTGCGATCCCGAGTTTCCATGAAAGCGGCTGTACTACGGAGATACTTTTTTTGCACGGCTGAAAAAAATGACTCCCTCTGCTAGCAGAACTTGGTCCACAAGTTGCACAAGTAACAATATCGGTATGGGTCAATAGCTATAGATACATTTTAGTGGGATGAACATCCATTTACCAGCTATGACTTGGGGTTCACTAGGTACCAGGGTTTTGACCCACCCCCATATGGCTCTGAAGTGTTGGCTTGCGAAATTGGATGGTTTAGAACAAACATTCACACCAGAAAGCGATCTATGATTCAATATGAATGGATGCGGCTTTAGACACGCAACGAAAAGGCACAATTCGGTGAATTCTGTGGGTTCATTGAATATCCCATTTTTCAGACAACCAAACACCGACCAACGGATGCAGTCATACGTCCATTATAGGCTCCTTGTCCCTAATATTGGTTGGACAGTTTCATCGCACGTGCATGTCCATGTATGGCCTGTGTAACTACGAATGTGCAAATGCACATATGTATATACCAACAAACTTACCTTGTATGAGTGAGTCTTTGTATTTTGTATCACGCACACTCTCACTGGTTTGCATGGTATGATTGAACAAAGACCAAAGAAAGAACACGCGTGTGATATGATAATATAATATTATATATAATATTATATGAGAAATGTGCGTGCATTATGTCCATTCATGTTTGAAGTCTGTGCCAACCGACCATTTGATGTCCTTAGCTGTCCTCAGGCAACATGCCATGAAGTTCCCAAAGGCTCGAACAGTGGAGCCTTGTCAGGGGATGAGAGGTGATAAGGTGGAAATAGCTGGACAACTAGCTCTTGTTAGTGGTTGCTGGTTAACAAGCCCTCAATTGTTCGGGGGGTCACCCGTGGGGCGGGTCACCTTGAATCCAGATGTTTTTGGTGGAAATCTCACAATCTCCGAGTAAACACGTTGGTGAGCCAACACCTGCTTGCCAGCTACTTAGTCATTTCAGGAATCCTGCCAAGCATGGGCGCAGGGCACCTCCATATTTGATCATATTTGATGGTGTTTACACATGTAAACGCCAGGGTTTCCTGACACCCAGCTGGTGAACATGTCATCCAGGTTGGGATGCTGCTCAGCCCGAGTCTGGAGCATGGTGGAATGTCCTATCGATCTATTGGGTCTCCAAAACAGACGGGAATTGATTGTTGGCAGTTGGTCCGAGTTGTGCTTGCTTACCCGGATTTCTTTTAAAACCCTGCAAAGCAATGGGATAAGGGCAATGAAGAAGATCGAGAAAAAGAGAGTAGAGTAATTTAATCATTTGAGTTCCCTGCTGTCGCTTTGCGGAGGGGTATCGTGTATTATCGTGTTGCATCTTGGAGCGTCCGCACATGTTTGTCACCTGTTGGTCCGCCTTACTCAAAGTTTGGTCCTAGCATCAGTTTGACTACACTCTACACACTGCCCGGGTGTGGGGCGCATTGCGCGAGGGCCTTTCAGTATTGTGCGAAGGATATTTTGGGCTTCTGGCCAACCTACAGCATGCTCGTTGGGCTCAAAGGTCCATTCCATGGGCTCGTGAGTTGGCTTCTCCATGGTGAATGGAAGGCTATGCCATTGAGTAAGCAACCAATGTCTATCATACATTCGAAGCCCATGACTTTCGATGTCATGCCATGAGTCAGTGGGTTATAAGTTATAAGTTATGTAATAGTGTGTATATGTAATATAATATATATAATATAAAAAAGTAGTATAATATATATATATATATATATGTGTGTGTGTGCGCATTCTATTTTTTCCATATTGAATCAGGACTCAGCCAAAAGAAAATTGTTGATAAAGGAGAAACATTCCAACAAAAAACGGGACGTTCCCTGTATAAAACCCACCCGAATGTCATAGAATGTCATGAAATGTCATGAAGTGTCATGAACTGTCCTGAAAAGTATATGATGTGTAAATGGTATAGACGGTATAGACCACAATGGAACCCCATGAAAGGTGATGCCACCCAGTTATGAGTTATGTTTCTTTAGTTTCACCCCATCAAGCCCCACTGGCTTAGTTCACCTATTTATAAATGCGATAACCCAAGGACACAGGGACTTATGATCACCAGGGTTGTTAACCACTTACGAAGTTGGGTGCCCCCTAGGTTGGCTTACATCATCCCCATGCACTAGTTTGACATATAATTTTTACCCCCAGTTATAACGGAGTTATGTTTACCAACATAGATCGACTTAGCTATCGTTTAAGGGCAGCACCTTGCCATGGTTTTTTCTTCAGAGTTTCACCATGAAAAATGCTGGGTTTCGATCATGGTTTGAATACTCCCATGACTTAGCTCCACCAAAAAAAACTCAGAAACACGGCCCTTTACCAGTTTTAAGTATATACTTATAGCCCCATTTATAGAATGTATGATCCTATTTATAACCTGGTCGGTGGTTTGGAACATGGCTTTTTTGATTTTCCATATATTGGGAATAGCAATCCCAACTGACGAAGTCATATTTTTTCAGAGGGGTAGGTCAACCACCAACCAGTAACCAGTTATAACATGTTAGTTATAACTAATAAATGGCCATAACTGCAGGTCTACTCCACCTGTTCCCTGCACCGCCTGGAGAATGAAGACGTGGTGACAGCGGCGCTGAGCGCCAGCGGTGCCTTCCAGGTGACGAGCGCAGTGCCCTGGTGGCGCAATGCGCCACGGAACGCGGAGGTGCGCGGGACGAAGGGCACAGATTGTGCCGATCAAATGGTGGTTTTTCATGGTGACTCAAGCATCAAACATCAAGAAACATGATGGTAGAATGGGGATATTAATTTTTCATGGTGACTCAAGCATCATCAAGGAACATGGTGGTTTTTCATGGGGATATTATGGGGATGTCATGAATGATCTGGGTAAAGTTAATCATGACCTCACTGTTCTCCTGAACCCTGGAATGGCCATTTATCAATCTTATTATATAATATATTTTTGTTATTATTTTATTAATATTACTATTATTGTTATATATATATATCTCTAGTAAGGCTCAGCTATCCCCAAATGGCTGCTGGAGGATTGATCGGATTTTAGGATGGATTTCCTGGGGAGCTCAGGGATTTCTATGGGAATTGAAAACATTCATAGGGGGTTTTCCTGGACAATCACGGGGGATTTCTTGGGGAGACAAAAGATGTAATCGTAACCTTGTAATTCATAGGGCTTCGATGGGAATGGGGATTCATGGGAAATTATCCAACATGATCCAACTAATACAGTTTTTTGGGAATATGGTGGAGATATCATGGGGTACCGTCAATGGATATATACATATATATGGGTTCTAATAACATGCCCATAGATGGATGAATTCAACGGAAAAACTGGTGCCCTCGATCGAACTGATACCGAACTGCTGGGGTTCATCAAGCAGCCTATTCGATGATCTCCAGCCCCTGTGCTGGTACATTACAGTCGGGCTTCCAACTCTAGTTATGGCAAGCATAAACTGATCAGATCGTGTTGTAGCTTGTTCCGGTATGCAAATCTATCGGTTTTAAAGCAGGAAACCATGAATCTCGCAGTTACAAGCATGCTGCAAGTATAGTCATGTCACTCCAAATCATTTTTAATGCGGGGTGCCAGTTTTTGACAGCCACCTAGATTGACATAGTATACGTTTTGCCGTTTTGCGTTCATCATTATTCTTAATTTCCAGTGAATATATAATAATACAACCCATTTACCCTCTGGTTATTTAACGTAGCCATGGAAAATGGCCCATTTATAGATGCTTTTTGATGATTTACCTTTTAAAAATGGTAATTCTCCATAGCTATGTTAAATAACCAGAGGGTACCCCTGCATCATGGGGATGAAAGCCGACCCCGGCCACAGGCAGTTCTTGGTGCTCCGGGTTCTCTGTGCCACGTCATTGTGGATCCATTCAAAAAATAGCGAAGAATCCCAGTACAATCCAATGTTTGGCTGACTAAATCCACATTTGCTTGTTATGATCGGGTTGGTAATCCAGAGCAATCACCTTACTTAGATGTTGAACCTCTTTTTTTGTTGGTGTTCATTGAAAAATTCAAGCCCCAATCCCCATATTTAAACAACCCCAAAATAGATAGAATCAGATAGAAAAACTAGGAGGTCTCAAATATCATGGAAGTAACCTCCTGGTTGCACACTGTCCACATTTCTGACGTCGGGAACGTGCCGAATCAGCAGGAGGGCGCCGGCGCCGAACCGCTCCCCAGCTGGGCTCATCTCTGTCTCCGATCGGAGCCAGGTGGGGGCCTGGATGATTCTCACCAAGTGGGGGGTTCATTCGCAAAAAATGGGTTTTAAGTCACATATTATGGGGAGAACATGGGAAAAAACACATGCTTAGCAATGATGTTTTGGACTGGTTCTAGAATTTCTTTGTTTTTGATGAATTGCGGCCTTTTTCGACAGATGGTTTCCCGATGAACTTGTTACACCATCCCTCGAAGCTCCCCCGGAGGCTGAATATTGTTTCCGCAATCGAGCGAACTTGTCTGCTAATACCTAAATTGAATTCCCTCTTTTGCTGGTGCAATGTGGTGCAAACAGGACTTATTTGAAGGTTTTCACAGCAGGTGTTCTTCAAGATTTCGCTGGTGAAAACTCGAGTTTCTTGATCGACTTTTGCATGCGGGGATAGGTCAAAACATGTCAAAACCATTCAAAAACCTATATGTTACCATTTACGGAGGGATGAATCGGATGAACATTCATTGACCTGTCATTTTGATCACTACCAGGGTATTGACCCATAGCTGAAGACTAGCTGACTAGCTATTGGTGCACTCACGAAGCGGATTGGAGGTAGGGAGCTACTGGGACTTTGCCAACCGCAGCCGAAGAAAATGCAAGTCCAACCAAAGCCTAGTAAAAAAAATCATGTATGTGTTCTAGTGACTGAAAAGATACTTTATAGATCTTTATAGATGATACTTAGTGATACTAAGCCAATATTAATCCAATGTTTTAACGGCCCTGCTCCTTTGCTCCGTTGCCGATCCAGGTTTCCATCGCTGCCGCGGCTTCTTCCTCTGCCGTTTGGATCGCGTAGACGGCGGGGCAACAGCCGAGGAGCAGCTGACGCAGCGGAAGAGGTGTGGCCGGTGTGGCCCTGGAATCATCTGAGATCGATACATAACTGGTTGGTGGTTTGGAACTTTTTTTTCCATAATATATGGGGATAATCATCCCATTGACTAATATTTTTCAGAGGGGCTCAAACCACCAACCAGATAAAATGTTTTCATAAACCATCATAAACCCATCAAAAGCCATCCAACTGAACACATATTGCACATATATATATATATGTATATATTTAAATCCTTGATATCCTTGCGTAATTCGCCTAGATAGTTATTATACCATTTACCCAACTTACCTACCAGTTCGGGGCCATTCTGGTGGGCCTTTGGCTTTTGGGGATTTGAACAGCGGAAGGAAGGAGTAGCATGACTGGCCATATTTTGTGCATATAACTTGAAGCCATAATTTTGAAGGTATCAATTTGGTGGGCTTGCGGGTCTGAAAAATAGGAATGTGTTAGCAACAGTCAATGGGGATCTAACCCCAATGTGGCTAGATCAGGCGTAACATTGGGGAGATGCATTTGGTTGGTTGGGTTGTCTATTTCTTTTTTACCAAGAATCAATGAGGTCTTACTGTTACTTGATTTTACCTGGTTTCACCTTCAAATGAGAATGTGTGCCATTCGTTTGCTATATCAATGAATAGATTCCCATGGGTGATTTTTGTTTTTGTCCTATCCGGCATGATGCTCAATCGACAAATGATCTGTTTCGGGATGGGTCAAGCCGAAAAATAAACCAGGCGCAAACGCAAGCTGGCGGAACTGAAGAAGTCGCAGCGCGCGACAGAAGATCGGTTCCAGGTGCGGCGGCTTTGGCGTGGGAAAAGCCGATGTTGGGAAGATTGTTGTGCAAATGTTCATAATGTTGGACATTCCAAACTAATGACTACTAATGGTTACTAATGGGCTGCAACTGCAACATGTGTAGAAAATTGTAGACATGTGTGATATACGAATGTATGCATTGGACATGTTCCCAAGTGACCCCCATGTCGGTTGCAGCTGTAAATGGGAACAGATACCAACGTTCGATTCCCCATTGGTACTCTGACCAGACAAGATTGCCAGATTAAATATGTTCAATATGTAGCTAAGCGGGTCTGCCCAAATTTGATAGGGGTTAGTAATGGTTAGTAGATGTCCAGTTTCGGGAATTTCGAACATCACTTTCCGAAGTATTTGTTGAAGAGTATCTCCCCAATAGTTGGGTGATGTAGTGATGTTCAAGTAAGACATTTATCAGGCCCTGATTTCATTGGAGATTTCACCTCACTTCCCCATTGGAAAGGCCCCGGCTTCGAAGAAGCGCAAGGGAAAGGCTGCCAGCGGTCTGCGGATCAGCGTCGCAGAGAAAACTCCCGGGCTTCAGATCTGGGCAGACTGGTGAAGTGGTGAAGGGTATAGCTTTCGTTTTTGAGGTTTGTATAAACATTTATAAACTATCTATCGTAATGTTGACCCCGGATTAATAACCCCCCCCTAATAGGTCAACTAGGTCAATTTGGGGGCTTTATTAATCCTAGCTCAACATTATACTGTATCTACATGTGGTTTCATAAACAGCCGGATTTACACATCGAAATAGTCCCTATCAACTGGGCACATTTTGAGGGTCAACCTCACTGAGAAGAGTCAAGTTGTCACCCATATGAACTGCAACGAGAAAGTCATCGTCATGAAGACCTCTTGCATGTTCACATCCGTAGTGGTTGCTGGGGTATCATTCGTGGGAGCAAATCCGCAATAAGTCTTGAAAACAGTTTATATTTTGCTTGTGGAAACTTTAACCGCCGACCTCAAGATTCACAGTTGATCTCTAAGCCTTTTCCGGGGTCCCCTTTTCTGTGATTGAAACTATCTGCAGTTGGTTACTTATCAATTGCCAGGTTGGATCATTAAAATGCTATACGCCCCAAAAAACTTAACATGGACCCATGGAGCCATGGAACCCCAATTCAATGGGGTTTGGAAGATCATCCGGCGGAGGGCGCTGGGGAACGGTGCGGTTCCTTCTCTGGTCACTGGTTTTACCCTGTTACTTGAGATAGCTACGGAAGCCATGGCCCATTAATAGATCAGATGCTTTACCATGCCCCCTGGAGTTTCTTCCAAAAAAATCCCAACCGCTAGCGGCTGTACAAAGGGATTTTGTGGTGGAGCTAATTTGGGGTACATAGGCATGACCCTCAGGCTTGGGATTCTTTAGAGGGATACTTTGGGGCAACAGTATATACAGTGTGCATTTGACCCATGTTTGTGATTTTCTAGGCGTTTCAAATAATGGTACTTTTTTATGGTGCACTTAAGAGACCCCTGTTTGAAAATGTTCCAGAGAACCATGATTTGGTAGTGGCAACAACTTGGAACAACAAAACAAAGTGCATTGAAAAAACGTGGTTGATGGCTGGGATTGTTTAGAGAATGCAGGGTCTGATTTGACCCAAGGCCACCCCCACTGTTTTTCACTTTGTATCTAAAAAATCCCAACTGTCAACCCCATCATCCTAATTGGAGGATGATCTATACTATACCTATGAAAAACGGTGATGTTCCAGTTCGCTGCGTTAAATAACCAGATTCCACCTGTCCTGGAGGATAATCCCAACTGAAACCACCAGGTGGTTCTTTGGATTTGCCACAGCTGATTGCGATGACTTTATTCAATCTTCATAGGTCACCGGTTAATTAGTTCTGAGATCTGTACTTTTTGGCGTTTTTTGAATTGCTGGCTTGTGAACGAGACGCCACTCCTGAGTTGGCTGTTGTGTTTGTCAATGTTTGAGATTTCATAATGAATATGCATGGCCATGGCCCTTTAGGGCGAGAAAAGCCCTCTGGTAGTTGGGCCCTCCACGTCGGGCCGGGCGTCTTCCGCTTGTGTTTGGCGGCTGGGGGGCGCGTTCGTTGACACATCGGAGCTGGCTGTGTCAGAGGCTTAGAATCTGCAGTGAAGTGCACCTTCATGGATGCAGCCACTGAATTTTGGTGACCGGAACATACTGGAACTCCAAAATGGGTTTGTTGAAAATGAAGATCTAGGGAAATCAGCTCTCAAATGATCGTTGATTGGCCAACTTTTAATGGACAGATCATGGACGGAAGGGCAACTTCACTTGCGCTGTAATTAGAGATGATTCGCGATATGGAGATGTGCTAAACCCAATAATCAACCATCTCCAAACTCCCCAAAATCACACACACTAAGTATATAATTAAAGTAATTATATATATATGTATGTATATCTACATATATATATATATATACACCATAAATCCCACATTAAGGTTGGAAACATCATCAACCATCCCCCAAATCACCATGTTTGTGGGTGCTATGAACCAATCCCCAGTCATGGTAGGTCTATGGCGGCCAGGGTTTCCCACGCTGCTGAGGCCAAGGAACATGGAGGAGTCAAAGGCGCACGGGCGGCTGGTCAGTCCCATTTGATATTCATAACTTCTTCGAGGGAGTCGGGGGTGAAATCATGAACCAGTTCATATATTTATTCATAGACATATATGATCACATATGCACATACACATAGATACAAGCATATTAATATAGCCCATAGGATCCATGTATGCTATATATGGTAACATTTACCATCAATAGACCCCAAATGTTAGCATAATTTAGCATATATACCATACATGGATCCTATGGGTAATGATGGATAATGCACATACCTTGGGGCCCATCGTTTCCACTTTCGGGACAGCCAGCACCCAGGTGTCGGAGTTCAAAACCATCGGAGGCCAAAGGACTTTGGTCTCGAAAAGGTCTGGGGCCTTGGATGTCACAGAATTCCAGCTCTTCAGTGGTGGTTTTTGTTGGGGTGGAATGGTGGGGGTGTGGATGAGATAGTGTTAATGTAGAGAGATAACAACCATAGTGATATATATATATATATAGTTGATATATAATGATGTATATGTATATATATATATGATAAATATCATAGTTATTGTGATATCCTTCAAATAACACTGAGATTTCATGATGTCATCCAAGAAAATGCCAAGCAATTTCCTGCTGTTCATCCACTGTCGAGGCAGATGGGCCATTCCGGTTCCCTGCCTTCCTTGAGCTTGGCACCACAGGGGCAGATGGGTTTGCTCACCTCTGAAAAGCTATGGTTTTGATCTTCAAAGCAAAATTGGTTCCTGGACATTTATGGATAACATATTTATATATATATATATATATCGGACATCCAGAGGTTTCCTGCTACTTTCCACTGTAGATTCCCACCTGGCAGTGGTCACATGAGAGACATGTTTTTCGTTTCTTTGGGTCCCCTGTACTTTCCGGCCCAGACCCTCAGATGACTGACAGCAGTTTCGAACATGTCAGACACCATGAAACGCACTGAGTGGTTTGATTGATGCAGTTTGCACTTCAAAAATGACATCTGCAGATACTGTAGCTGCTCGAGCCTGTGAAGCGGATTCGCCCATGGACCATTAAAAAAATGATTGACTCACCAGATTTGATCAGAAACTGGAAAGACACCCTGGCAGCCTGGCCTTTGCAATGGAACAGCGGGTCTCCACAAAATCTTTAAATTGGTTCTCCGAGCAATCAATCTTTAGCCATATTCACTGCCGAAGGCTTTTTGATCAATTTCAATCCGAAGCTGCCTCTCGGACTTATAGAAAAACACAATTTTTTACAGCGATGGAGCCGCAACCTTTGATCGCCATGTCCTGTGGGGAGCAAGGCGCTGCACCAGAGGCAGAGGTGGTGCCAAAGGATGGCAAGGAGGGCAGCAAGGAGGGCTGCAACTGCTGCGGGGCAAAGGAGGCGGGACTTTGGGTCGATGTTTCACCGTTTCACCCCTTTTGTGAGGGGTGAAGCATCCTTGAAATGATGGGAATGAATGGATAGTTATGGTTCAGTAGTGGTACACCTCAGGAAAAATGTGATGTTTACAGAGGTAGAGATTGAAGATCCTGTTGGGTTTCGTTTCAACTGGGTTCATTGAAGTTGCACCGTCTTACACCTGTTTTCTTTATACATGGCAAACCCGCAAACAGATAGAAATATACTATATATACTTTACCAATACCAAAGAAGGGTAAACCAATACATACACACACGCGCATACATACATACATACCTACCTACCTACCTACATACATACATACATACCTACCTACCTACCTACCTACCTACGTACGTACGTACGTACATACATACATACATACATACACACATACACCCATACACCCATACACCCATACACCCATACACCCATACACCCATACACACATACACACATACACACATACACACATACACACATACACACATACACACATACACACATACACATACACATAGACATAGACATATACACATAGACATAGACATAGACATATACACATACAGACATACAGACATACAGACAGACATACATACATACAGGGGGGGAAATGAGTTTCAATTATACTGTATGTGTTTGCCACTACTTTAGTAACGCTTCTGCTTGTCTTTTTTGGTTACTGTACCTGACAAATGCACCATGGCTGTGCCAATTCAAACCAAGGTTCCGAGTCCAAACTGATTTGTTTCCCCATTTAATGACAAATTGACTTGGATGAAAACTTGGGCCCAGGGTCCCCCATTTTATATTTTAAGAACACCCCCCAAATCAAAGATCAACTATATCAACTCATGGCTTCATCCACACTGCCAGGTGGTCCCGGACCGGATCTTTGCCGAGCGTGAGCAGAAGTATTGTCAGGACGCGCCCGAAATGCTGTTCCTGAACGGTGAACTGCGGGACACGTTTGATCCCGGCCACCATATATTTAAAAAAACACATTAATTGAAGCAGATATAATATATGGGTCCCCAATCCATGAATAGTAATACATATCCAATACAAAACCAGGGTTTCGTTGAAGTGGAAGTATTTGAAAAATAATGTAGCAAGAATCCCAGATAAATTTTATAGTTTATGTTTTTTTTAAAACTAAATCACCAAATCCAAGATTATTCAAACACATCTCCAAATAACTCCCCAATGTTTTTCTTTAAAAAACACTTGAGCAACTCACCCATATACCAGCATATACCAAGGTTTGTGCGGAAACCCCCCAATCAACCCCAACTCGGGGGTGCAGTTCCAGCTATAGATTATCATAGTTATAGGGGTTATATCCCAACTTATGGGGGTAAAAATCCCATTGTTACCCTCTGGTTATTTAACATAGCCATGAGAAATCCCTAATAAATGGAGGTTTTAATGGGAAAATCATCTATAAATGGGCCATTTTCCATGGCTATGTTAAATAACCAGAGGGTATATAGAAGTTATATCCATTTGATAACCCCAACTGCACGGTTGGTCCAGGACTGTTGGAACGCTTGGGACCGCTGTGGATGGTGGCAGCCCTCCATCCGTGTGTCCACGCGACCGCCCTTGCTGGGGCCGGATGGGTTGCCCTGCATCCATGCAGAGGACGGGAACCGGGAACCGGCTAAGGCGGTTGAGGCACCAAAAGGTTGGACACTCGGAAAATTGTGAAGTAAAATATCATCAAAAAACACTGGTTGGTGGTTTGGAACATTTTTTATTTTTCCAGATATTGGGAATAATAATCCCAACTGACGAACTCATATTTTTCAGAGGGGTTGAAACCACCAACCAGAACATGTCGGACACGTTTCTCTGTTTCTCTATCTTTTTGGGGGCCTCTGTAAAAGAAAAAGGAGCTCCAAGCCATCAACACAAGCTGTTGTGAATAGGACTAGGATATTAAATGAATCTAATAAGATCCTTGTTGAACAATTTGTTTTATAGGAACTATGGTTCAATAACTTCCATTTGTTTCTTCTAAGGATCCAAAGGTTTAATCACTTCCTGTTAATAGCTCTTCCCTGTGAAACCGGATTAATACTCCCAACATGACCATTTCAAGATGATTTGCCAACTGGAAATTGAGATGTTCCCGTGCCAGGTTTGTTTACCCGAGGTAAATTTGATTGGATTTATGTAGACGGGGGCAATGAGGTCTTCTGAACAAAATCACCGCTCTTGAACTGCTCCGGCAAAAACCCGTATCTTAAACGGTCAATTCTTCCACAAGTGGACATAACTGTATAATTTTTAGATATTTGCCACATCTAAAGGATCTAATATGGCAAACCCAATCATAAACCATCCCCAAAATCACAACTATACCCTCCCCATCTCCTCTGGTCCGGCTTTGCTTCGAAGGACGCCTTCTTTCTGCCGGGTTTCCTATGCAGCAATGAGGACGTGTCAGTGCTGGAGCGCTTGAGAAATGAGCTGGCGGAAGAAGGACGGAGGCATTTGGTGGCGATGGCGAGTTCGATGGCTGATCTTTATATGACACTTTATGACTAATTAACAATGAACAACGACTTGAAATATGGCATATCGAGCTGTGGTTTGTTGGTGAGTTAAGTGAGTAATTTAAATTCACAGCGTTTTTTGAGAGTTGACCCCTTCAGCAAATAGTGAATTCCATGTTTTGTCTATTCTTGCGAGTTGCATTTCTCATCTTGTCATGCGAAAAATATCGGTGGTCTTGCCTGCACGAAAGGTATAAACTCATATAAACTCTAAACCTGTCTGATGGGTGAATATTTGGCGGGATTGGTTTTGGATTGTGTGGGTATTTTTTCTGGTGGTGGTTTATTCATGGGTGAGTGGATACCTTGGTCATCTGCGGGTATGGAATTCGAGGATGATAGTGTGGGATCTGGCCGGTGAATTCGACCGTTTTGATGTTTGATATTCAATTGCGTTCCATGCTTGATGAACAGGTTCGGATAGGTATCTTCTTGGACATTGATATTCGTAATATCCCCGATTGCGCCAGTGAAGCTTTAGCTAAGCTGAAAAACCCTATCATACTCACATCATACTCACATGGCTGCAGATCCTCATGATTCAACATGAATAGGAAAAGAAGTCTTGATGGGTTCAGAATGGGTTCCGCAGGAAAGGAGTTCACTGATTGGCATGGTGCCCGTCACTTGGCACACCATTTCGATTCTGGACGCCAGGCGGGCTGGGGAGACTGGGTAAAGATATACAGTCAAGAGGATGCCTTATTTTAGCAGTTGTGGTCAGTTTTAATGAATTTTATGGTTCCTTCAAGCATACATTCTGGAAAGTCTATGGTTTTGTTTGCAGCAATACTGGCAGTTTGTAATGCTGTTGGTACCCTTGTGACCTCCGCAACTTTGTTGGTCCAGTAAGCTGTGGTCAGTTCTATCATGTCTTATATTTTTCAGCCTCCAAAGTTTAAAACTGTTTCCACTTGGGCCCGCGTTGTGCTCACAACGGGGGTGAGTTGTGCGAAAGATGTGGCGGGGACTGGAGCCGAAGGGCTCCACGGCTCAGCCATCATTTCTCTGCGAAAATCACTTCTGTCTGCTTTGAATTATATCCCATAGGATCCATGTATGGAATATTTACCTACATTGACCCCTAAAGTAATTTAAAATAATCCCAATGTAGGTAAATATTCCATACATGGATCCTTAGGGATATGATTTGATATGCAAACCAATTCACCATTCCCATCAACAAATACCCATTTTACATGAAGTCAAAAACAAAAACAACCCCCCAAAAAATAGAAGAGTAACATCTCAGATGATTTTCTATCTCTCAAAGGGGGGGTACTTTGGATCATGATATACACCATCATCGGCCCCCGGCCACATGTTCTGAATCATACAATCTCCGTTTGTGCTCCCTCCCATGTATAGGTAGTATATATAGGGGGTTGGAAGATGAGTTTCCAATAGTTTCCACTCAAAATGGGCGATGTTTAGGCTTATGTCAAAGAACCAGAGGGTATATTTGAACATATTTGAACCATTTTGAACCATACAATCTTCATTTTCCCAATTTTGGCTAGGTAATACTGAGTAATACCCATATATAATCCACATTTTTTTCGATGGCTCAATCCCCACATCATCCAGGCGGAGCTTCCGGCGGAACATCGCCTGCGCGCGCAGCTGGTGAAGCGAATGGAGGAGGCCTTCGGGGTCCGGGCCAATGCTGTGCGGGTGAACTACTACCGCAACAACAAGGCGGGAGACGCGGGGGCTCTGGTGGTATTTTCGGGCTTTGGTGGTTAGTTCGGTGAAAACAGCTGGGTTTATGGTACAACTGGTGAATGGGGGTTTGGATACGACTTTCTCCGCGAAACCAACGAATCTATATCAATGAATCAATGAATCAATGAATGAATGTGAATCAGCGAATCAATGAACCAATCAATCAATGAATCAATGGAACAATGGAACAGTGAATGAAAGAACGAATGAATAAATTGATGGGCGGATGGGAGGATGTATGGATGGATGAATGGGAGGATGTATGGATGGATGAATGGATGGATTGAGCTACCCAATTCCTCTCTGCGCGTGGCCAGTACGGTGCGTTTTGCAACATCCAGCTGCAATTCTGCATAGCAGGAGCGTTGCAACATCATTAACGCTTTCCCGCGCGCAACTGTGCCAATGCGTTTTGTCACAGCTGGTTGCAAACCCGCATAGCAGGAGCGTCGCGCCAAATCGACCAACATTCGCCAAGCGTCAACAGTGCGGACTTTTTTTTTAACTCTGTGCCGTGACGCTCAATTTTTCTTACATGTTCTTACGATGTGTTTTGGTGAAATCAAGCTCTCGCACAGTCTGGCGCACAAAGTGCTAAGCGCATTTCATTTTACTTTTAGTAACAACACCAGTCTTACTACTATTGATCATGATGATGATGGTGATGGTGATGATGGTGGTGATGGTGGTGATGGTGGTGGTGGTGGTGGTGATGATGATGATCATCATCATCATCATCATCCCTTACGGCCACCATCGCCTCCAACTTGGATTTGCCTCCATTAGTGATGAGTAACATATCAGAAGAACTTGAACATCATGGAGCATCCCGACTTATTTACCGTATGTACTACTGATTATTGATGGTTATTGACCACTCCGTAGCCATTTTGGCTCAAGGCATTTTGTTCGTATTAAGTTCGTATACGCTTCTAGGATTCTCTTTAGCAGCCATGGGAAACTGCTGCCCGGTGAACCTGTGCGAGGATGCTGAGCGTGAGCGTGAAGAAGTTGTCCCGCCCATGCTACTGGGGCGTCTTGAGGTGGCTGAATCTTCCCCTCCGGGCGAAGCTGAAGAGAAGACACCTGAGGCGGGAGCGGAGGCCAGCGCACAGGAAGACGGTGACTCATCAAGCGAGGTGGCTGGATCTTCCCCTCGGGTCGAAGCTGAGAAACCGGAGGCGGCAGCGGAGGCCAGAAGTTGCCGCTCCAGTTGGGAGGCTTCCCGAGATGTAACTCTGTTTGCGACTCACTATTTGCGATCCTTCCATGCCAAGACGCGTGAGCGCAAACTTGCGTCCGCAGTTCTTTTTTTGGACGTGAAGAGTGCTTTCCACAGTATGATTTGGCAGATTTTGTTTGGATCAGCTCAAGAGTTACCAGTACATCTTCAGGCATTGCTGCGTGAAGCAGGCTGTGATCTTGACACCTTGCGTCAAGCTTTTGATCAGACGTCTGCCCCTTTTCATTGTGATGTTCCAGTCGCTGATCGCCGCTTGTTGCAAGATGCCCACCTCTTCACATGGTTCGGGCTTACGGGCACAGATGAGGCTTTTTGTACGGCTCGAGGCAGCCGACCAGGCAGTCCTTTAGCTGATGTAGCCTTCAATGCTATGATGACTGGTGTCCTTCAGGAACTGCAACACCGCTTGGAAGCATGTTCCAATTTGCAGAGAGGATTTCATGCTCTGGGTTTACGGGCACCTCCTATCGCATGGGCTGATGATGTTGCTGTGCCTATTGTGGCAACGCATTGCGACATATTAAAGAATATGCTTGCAGAGGTTGCCCACATCACTCATGATGTGTTCTTGCGGTTTGGGCTCTCTTTGAACTTCAAAGCCAAGAAGACTGAAGCCGTCGTCTCCTTTCGAGATCATTCCGCTCCAGCACACCGACATTCCCTGTTTGTGGAGCGCCTTGGCAAGCTTGACGTGCCCCCTTTGAGCATGCAGATCCAATGTGTTGCATCCTATGAGCACCTTGGAACCATTTTCGCGGCTGACTGACTGCACTCTTCAACGAGAAATTGCCCACCCGCGAACCCGTGCCATTCAGGCGATGCGTCAGGTTGGCAAATCCATACTGCGCAACAGACACGTTTCTGTTGTCACCCGCTTGAAACTATTTGAATGCCTTATCATTCCGGTGCTTCTTCATGGTGCAGGCAACTGGGATATGCTCTCACAGAGATTGTTTTATGGTTTGCACGCAAGCATCATGTCTTGGCAACGATCTATTATCAATGACGGGTGCTGGACAGCCAACCAACACACCGACTTTGAGCTGCAGTGCGCTTGGAAGTTGCCGCCGCTTGCATTGAGACTGGCTAAGGCTCGACTCCTGTATGCCTTTCACTGTTTCAAAGACGGTCCGCAATTGCTGATTGACTTCATGACGTCGGTGGCCCATCAGCCTCAAGGATGGTTTGCGGCATTGCGTCAGGCCTTTGCTTGCCTTGCAAGAATGGATGCCGGCTTCTGCCCTCCTGAGCTTCACCAAGATACCGTGGAAAGCATTTTGGTGTGGTTCTCTGCACAGAGCACTGGTGGACCGGAGCGAGTTCGTCGACTCTATCGCCGTTGTCTACTACAGTTTCTTGTCGTAGGTGATATTGCGGCTCTTCACAAGCAGCTGCATGCGACGCTCACTGATGGTGGTGTTGAGTTTGATGCCTCTGCAGAGCCATCTCTTATTCCTGATGATGCTACGTTTTCAAGTGATTGGTGCATCGCCCAATTTGATGCCAAGCAAAAACTTCAAGCACATTTGTGGACAGCCCATCAGATCATCTCAGATGAGCGACGGTTTGTCTTCTCTGATACCTGCTTGGCCTGTCGACCTTGTTTCTGGTCGTCAGCTCGCCTTCAACAGCATCTTCGCCTATCTCGAGCTCTTCCAGACGGATGTTTCGCTCAGATGACGTGGAGGTATGCACCTTTGACTGAAGCCACTGTTGTGGAGGTGCCTGCTGATTTGCGGGGGTTCACTCGGTTGCCATCTCAACCAGTGCCCATGCCATGTTCCCTGCAGATCGAACAACAACTTGCCTCTCGAGCAGATGCTGAGGATGCACTTCAGAGAGCCTGGCATACCGCCGCAACTCTCTGTCGATGTGAGGCAGGAGGTGTTTGAGTTTGAGCAAGCTGACCAAGTTCTGAAGGCATGGAAACCTGAGGGCAGTTTGGACATTGATGGCCTTCTTTTTGCGCTCACTTCCTTAGCTACCGGTGCTGAGCAAGAATGGGCGTTGTGCTTGTGGTGTCGTGAAGCCTTATTCTTTCGCCGCTTTTCGCATTTAACCCCAGGGGTTTTCCAGCAGGTCAAGATGGAGGCTCAGAACACCATTTCGGCTGCCCCTGTAGGTCGATTGTTGGACTGGCATTTTCGCATTTCACAAGCTCACCAGCGCAAAGCGCTCCACGACAACATGGACCCGCTGCTGACCCGACCCAACAATCCTCTTCGTGGTCGCACGGCTGACGGTGCTTTTCGCACAGCCGCAGCGAAGGAATACCCTTCACTGCTGTGCCGTGCATTGATCATTGCCACGCTCCCGGACCTTTATGCACAGAATTGCCCAGCATGGCACTGTTCAGGGACCAGATCTCACGGCAGCTGAGACGACCTGGCTGAAATCTTTGTACAGCGCTGCCTGTTGCTCTAGCCTTTCAGGGAAATTTCTCCCGGATTTTCAAGGTTAGATAATTACTTGCAAAGACACGCACGAGCAAGACTCATCAGCGAGTGAATGGAAAATTATTGACCGCTTAGCGCAATGCACCCCTTAGGAAATCATTTGAGTATCCACCACTTTTGACCCAGTTATCTCAATAAGCCCATCAATAATCCCCAAGAACCCATGCGTTTCCATCTCTGAACTGGTTTATGAGAGGGGGACACTTGTGGATACAGTCACTATTTGTTGGGAAAAACTAAGGTTCCACAAGTTTACGGCACATTTTCCCTTCAACCAGCCCACATTCTTGTCAAACAATGAACTGTCAAATCATGAAAAGCCTTTTTCTTGTGGAAGGTCATCTCTCCACCGGTGGATAACGATGGGTCCCCCACGGCGTGAAGGACTATAAGCCCATGCATTACGACCGCGGCAGTGATGAGAACGGCGTGCCGCAGCTCACCATCGGCGCTTCCTTCGGGGCCACCAGGGAGCTGACGCTGATGCACGTGAAGTCGGGGGTTACCATGTGCCATGGGCATGCGGGAGGTGAACGTGGTGGGATTCATGGTGATTTAGAGTGTGATTTATGGTGTTTTTTTTTTTTAAAAAATGTAATTTATGGTGGTCGATAGTGATTTACAGACCCAACACATGGAGGTTTAACATGAGGTCAACATGCAAAATGATGTGGAATGCCCATGGGTTTTCCCGTTTGGACGTGATCTACAAACGGTGTATTCTGCCACAGCCAAAGGGTGGGATTTAAATTTCAAAGCTCTGGAATTCATGGGGATTTCACCAAGTATGGGGGATACAATTGGATATAACCGGGATATAATTGATTGATTTTAAATTGTATATACTGTATATAGACTAGAGGGTATACAACCGACAAATTGATATTTTTGGTGTGTCAAAAATGATAATGCAGCCACCAATTTTCGCGTGGCAACAGATGTATTTTGCTTGTTTCGATTGTTATTTTCATATTTTGTTTTGCCTACCAAAAGGTGCCAACCAAATTTTAAGTCATTTTGAAACAACCACCAGACAAACATATTGACCTCTCCCCCACCCCCTTGCCCTCCACATTGCCAGGTCCTTCCCCCAACGCAATGGCGATGTCTTCGCCTTTACCCCGGAGCTGAACGAGGTCTTCATGCACGGTGTGCCGCATGTGATGCCCAACAGTCCAGCGGCAAAGGAGGAAGAGGTTGGGGTAAGGGGGGAGATGGGATGTGATGGGCCTCCTGTAGCAAGTACCCTCTGGTAAACTAACATAGCATAGCTATTGAAAATGGCAATTTTTAGTGATTTAATGGATTTTCCCATTAAAAATTGTGATTTTCCATAGCTATGTTAGTTTACCAGAGGGTAATTTTTAGTAACACCCCAAAGATACAGAAATTGAAAGTAGAAACTGTGGAAACCTGGAAAATATAGGGAAAGCACCATCTATATATACCATCCTAGAAAGATTGTGGTATTTTTTGGGAGTTGCTGTAACAAACATAAGAGAGAGAAACAAATAAGATAAGGGTATGTAGAGCCATGATTACTGGTTAAAAGGGGGTGAACCTGATAAGACTTTGTGAGGTGCGAGGTCCCCAAAACAGATGAAGATAAATTATGGGGTTTGAACTGGCCATGACCAGACTTACACTTTTCATATTTGTTCAAAAGTATAACAACTCTAGCCCTACATTCAATAAGATATCTACATATGAAAAGGGATGGGTGGGCATGAGGCACTATCACAGGTCCGATGGAGCTATGGATGTGATGTACCCTTTATGTACCCAACTTAGTTTTGGGGTGCTTGATGAACTATGTGATCAACCCATCAAGCCATTAACCAGTTCCTCGGATCAGTGCCCCTGGATAGGATGCTGGCCGTTTGTCTTTGATCATTTGGGCAGCCAAAGTGACTGCTGCCCCTTGAGCGTGCTGCGTGGGACATCTGGGCTCCGGCACTGCCAGGAAGACAGGCAGAGCTCAGTTTGTTGGTGGTAAAGAAGGTGGGTTTGTCTGAACATGGAGTGTACCCTCCAAAAATGACAATTTTAATGGGGAGAATGAACATAATCCACTGGAAATCATTGGAAATAGGGGTACCATACTTTCACATAAGCCCAGAAAGGGTTATACCAACTGCGCAGAGTTCTAGAATAAGCTATCAACCAATCGGTACAACCAGGGTGACAGCATGAATGTTTTGGACATTGCTCATAAGTTACCGAGTTCCAAATATATTGGGGGATGGGTCAAATCAAACCCTTTACACAGGACAGATTGATTTGTCATGTTTTGGCTTAAGTAATCATCCAATTTCTTCAAGTGGTACCCAATTTTGACCCAGACCTCATTTGAGTCGGTTGATAAAATACCTGGTGCAGTCTTGGTGCTCGCCCCAAGTTTGATGCGCGCGAGCGTGGGGATTGGCAGCTGTTGGGTCAAAGCAGCGAGCAGAAAAATGAAGCTGTTTGCAGGGCAGCATCACAGGCAGGTGCAGCATTTGCTGCAGGAGTTGCTTTAAGTGAAGTTTGCAGATGAAGAAATTGTATAGGACCTTCCGGTTGATGTGACATGCAAAAGTTTGGGGGTGGTTTTGGTGTCCTGAAAATCACTGCCTTGGATGTTGCTCTTCCTCTTTTCCCCAAGCGCTGAACAGATCAAACTCAGGTCGCCAAGGAATGGGCGCGTCTTCTTCTGGTTTTTTTTCTCAGAACCATGCCTTCAGGCTGGGGCCTGAGGTAGCAACTGTGGCCCCCAATGGCCCCATGCTTCTGGGGGACCTGGGAGCAAGATGTTTTAAGGGCTGAGGTATGTGGATTGTTTATGGGATATGGATCGGTATGGCTGAATTGCACAAACATACTTGAAGGCACTTGCATTTTTAGTGGGAAACCCACTTCCATGCAAGTTTCCCAGAGGGTGGGGTGGACTCTTAGTCACTCCTGAACCATTCCGGGTAAAAGCATATTCTAGCATATTATTATGGGACTCAAGATAGCACTTAAAGGCGATTTAGGCCGCCAACATTCCAGTGGGGACATGCGTTTTTTTTCTCCCATGAGATCTCTAAATCGATTCGTCCATTTGCAGAAGTGGCAACTTTGGATCACACAGAATCCATTATTTGCCCCCAAGAAGTTATCACTGAAAATATAGCTCAATCCATTCTGGACACAGATCCTCAAGATGGCAAAACATATCACCATAGCCTTTGAGCTGGGACAGCAGAAGAAAGTACTATAACATCATCTTTTGTGAAAACGTTACAATGTTATTATTTAGTATATTATTTATAACATATATTCAAACATTATAGCCTTTGAGCCATGGTTTATCCCAGTTTTTTGTTGAACAAGATGTTGGTTACGGGCCAGCGGTTTCGCCCATCTCCAGGCAACGCGGCATCTTGTCCGAAGTGGTGAAACCGCACCGGCCGCCAGATCGAGATCCGGGCCGTTGGGCCGTTGGGCCGTTGGGCCACGGGCGGGGCTGTTTGGGAAGTGAATCTGTTTGGGGACTCCAACATGACATCAGAGAAAATAGGTAAATTTCATGCGAAAATTATTTGAATGGATATATTTCAATAGTTGAAACTCTCTTGAATGACAGTTATGATATCTTATGATGGAGTTTGAATTCGCAAAATTCTTGGGGTCATTGAGCCTTAAGTTTTTGATCCATACCGACCCCAAACGTGTCAAAATCACTTCCAATTCGACACCCTTTGGACTGGCCTATTCTATGACCCATGTTCTGGCAGGTCTCCAAATATCTTGCAGTTTCAACAGATGTCATAAAGTGTAACAGTAGTCCGTACTTCCAACATTCATAACATACATTTTCCGTGATTCCATTGTTCAATCCATTTTTCAATCGATCCTTAAGCTAACCATACCTAACCTAAGATCTTCCGTTTTCCATGTTTCAATAGATCCTTAACAATCCATATTTATCCACCATATTTCACCAGCATATCCATTTTTCATTGCTTGGTGGTTTCAAACATGTTTATTTTCCATTTCATATATGGGATGTCATCATCCCAACTGACTTTCATATTTTTAAAGATGCTTATTGCACCACCAACCAGTAATTATTATGAACCATCATTAACCATTAATAATAACCATCAATATTAACCATTATATATTCACAGTATATTAACATATTTTGACAGTTGATGTTCTATATAAACCATTAATAATGACAATTCTATAATAATAACCATTAATAATAACCATTTATAATAAGCATTAATAATAACCATATATAATAACCATTAATATTAACCATATGAACAGATGATAATAACCATAGATTTCTCACCATTTCACCGTAGATTTTCACCATGGATCCACCTGAGGCGCCAGGAGGTGGACAGCTGCAAGATGGGTCCCAGCGACCTGGGCACCTGCAGTAGCACCTTGCGGAAGTCCCTTGGGAGCAGACCGGGACGCCGTGCCGGGACGGACCCGGGACCGGACCTGGGTGGGACCCGGTTGGGGGACCGGACCCGGGGTGAACTCAACGGAGCTAAGGTGGGAAGCTGGGACTTGGCCATGAAAAACCCATGGTTTGGTGGCAAAAGACTTCATTTTGAGCTATGGCAGCTATGGGTTGAGACTTTTTTTTTGGTTTGCTGAAACATCGCACCAGATATGTTTGGATAATTGTTGGTTGTGAGAAAACATGGTCAACCGCAAGATGAGTGGCTTGATGGGCGGTCTCCAGAAAGCCTCGATTTGGGAAACTCCGGTGATTGGACTGTTGGTGACCTGGGAGTCGTTGAAACCTGCCCAATCAAAAGCGCAAACAAAGCGTGGATTTCTGTAGAAAAACAATTGACATCAATTTGTGCACATACTTTAAGTATTCTTTAAGTTAGTTTAAGCGATGAGTATATGAGTTGAACTCAACCACCAATAATAGTTGTATTGCTACTGTGACATGTGAAATCTAACTAAGTTGCTGCATTGTTTATCCTTTGGTAAACTAACAGTTTGCGAACTGGAACATCACCATCTTTAAGAGGTAAATCAACTATTTCAATGGGCCATTTTCAAGAGCGGAATTGTTAAACTACCGGAATATCCTGAATATTCCCTATTAATAATTATTAATCACTTTTAATCGCTGTATAGAATCTTCAATTATTCATGAAATTACTGGAGGGTAACCATGTTGGACGACCGAGGTCCGCCAGCGCCACCAGTTTCTCGCTGTCGGAGCGCCTAAGGGCCAAAGCGCAGAAGGTGCCTATCAATTTGTGTGGCATAGGTATGGGAAAATCACGGAAATTAGGAGGTAAATCATCACGTGCCTTCATCGACCAATTGATTTTCATAGACCACGCTTTTTTTTTAACCGTAGTCTTCCTCTGGAACGTTAAAAAGAAACCGATGAGATTCTCCAAATAGGTGTGTGTGTGTGTGAACCATCTGAATAGATGTAAAACTTCTAATTTAGCAGGGGGATGGAGTGTGCTTCAGATGTCTCCATCCAACGAAGACGCATCTGTTGCACAGTGATATGGATTGGGGACGCTCAATCCACGTACCTGCTCAGTTTTTTTCATTTTCGTCCATGGCAACCGGCTAAGCCAAGTACCGGCATGTCGTTTTTTCAACAGTTTTCAACCAAACGACTGTACGGTTTTCGCAATCTGACTGAGCTGCATCAGAACTAGTTAATTCTTCGAGCAAGGACGTAGAAAGCTTACTTCGCACTAGTTCACGTTGGGTCATCCGACCGTTCCTGTCAGGTTTAACTGAAGTGTTTTTGCACGTACGATGCATTCCACATCAATAATTCGATAAGCAATTTCTGAGCAAGTGTGAGCGTGCGTTTGTGTATTTATGGCTGTGTGTATGACCTACAGTCATGTCATAAGGACGATGTTTTACTGGTTCCTAAGCCACGATCTGAGAGGATTTTCCTATTCATCTTGAGGGATGGCCGGGGCAGAGTCCATTGCCTATAGGCAGTGCTGCCAACGGCTCATATATAGGTTTCAAGCGATAGTATATAATAGTATGTTGATGTCACCCATGATGCGTGAGACATTTTTCAAAACAGTTTTGGAATTGGTGTTTCCCCGTGTTTAGTAGAAAAGTAATTTTCCTGGGTTCAGCAACTCCATTTGTGGGCTGGTCATCCCTGATGTTTGAATGAGTGAAATCTCAGGACTTCACGAAGATTGAAATTGTATTAGTATTGATCAGGGATTTTTTTAACAAATGCCCTAGCCTTTCGGTTTTTCGGGCCATGTCGATCAGATGCTCCAAGTGACCGTCGTGTCTCTTCCCAGTGGTCACAGCGCAAGCCTTTCCATTCCGCAGTGCGCCACAGTAGGGGACTTGAAGATATTGACGCAGGAGTCTCTGGGAAAGCACTTTCTAAGGCTTGTCACCTCAAAGGGGAAAAATTTGAATAATCCATCTGAGCCTCTCTGGGCTGCAGGGATTGAGGATGGAGACCAGCTCACAGCGATTGTAGGACAGGCAAAGTTAGCCGCGACTGAAACTGCTTTTGCACTGTGGTATTGTGGAGGTGATGGAGTTGTCACCTGGGGCGATTCAGGCGATGACAGCTCCGCAGTCCAAGATCAACTGAAGGGTGTGTGGCAGGTTCAGGCTTCTCAAACTGCATTTGCTGCCATCTTGGAAGATGGCTCCGTGGTCACCTGGGGCCTTCCACATTGTGGCGGTGACAGCTCCGCGGTCCAAGATCAGCTGAAGAGTGTGCGGCAGGTTCAGGCTTCTGGAAGTGCATTTGCTGCCATCTTGGAAGATGGCTCCGTGGTCACCTGGGGTTATCCAAATACTGGCGGTGACAGCTCCGCAGTCCAAGATCAGCTGCAGAGTGTGCGGCAGGTTCAGGCTTCTCAAACGGCATTTGCTGCCATCTTGGAAGATGGCTCCGTGGTCACCTGGGGCTATCCAAATACTGGCGGTGACAGCTCCGCAGTCCAAGATCAGCTGCAGAGTGTGCGGCAGGTTCAGGCTTCTCAATTGGCATTTGCTGCCATCTTGGAAGATGGCTCCGTGGTCACCTGGGGCCTTGCACGTTGTGGCGGTGACAGCTCCGCGGTCCAAGATCAGCTGAAGGGTGTGCAGCAGGCTCAGGCTTCTGGAAGTGCATTTGCTGCCATCTTGGAAGATGGCTCCGTGGTCACCTGGGGCCTTCCACATTGTGGCGGTGACAGCTCCGCGGTCCAAGATCAGCTGAAGAGTGTGCGGCAGGTTCAGGCTTCTGGAAGTGCATTTGCTGCCATCTTGGAAGATGGCTCCGTGGTCACCTGGGGCCTTCCACATTGTGGCGGTGACAGCTCCGCAGTCCAAGATCAGCTGAAGGGTGTGCAGCAGGTTCATGCTTCTGGAAGTGCATTTGCTGCCATCTTGGAAGATGGCTCCGTGGTCACCTGGGGCCTTCCACATTGTGGCGGTGACAGCTCCGCGGTCCAAGATCAGCTGAAGAGTCTCTAGTTACTCTAGTTCGAGCTGTTCTGAAATTGGTTTTGAGAGTTGGCCCAGGCCCCAAAAGCGCAGCCCACATCGCTTGCATAGCAAAGCGAAAGCAAACTGCTGATTTTTCATGATTTTTCCTCCAAGGGGTTTGGACTTAGCCATGTGAGCGAGATTGATCCAACCATCATTGCCGTTCAATGTTTAGCATTTGGCAATCAAGCATGACTTGCTTGAACATCTCATTTAGTTTGACGATTTTCTATTTCAATACCCAACCTCCGGATGGCTTTCCCATTAATTCCAGCAATTTTAGACGATTTTCCCGTTATTTTGCATTAAAACACCATTTATAGGAGGATTTCTTAGCCATGGTTGATGACACCGGCGGGACGCAGAGGGTCGCTGCGGTTTCATGGATTCCTATTGGAAGATCAGCCAGGCGGAACCGCAAACTCCACGGAAGATCGTTCAAGATGTGGAGCCTAAGGCATTTCCGCAGGGCCATGTGTGGAAGCCACCAGGTTGGGTTTGGGCTACCTGGAACATCCTCCATTTACGATGATTTTTCCAGCTATGAAATGCTATAAACCTCCATTTAGTTCAGGGTTTCTTGCAGCCAGTCGCGTTTGATTACCTGAGGGTACGTGGATTCTACCGTCACACATGACCGGTTCCGTCATACATAGCCTCAGAGCAACCACCTCAAGGGATGAGTAGAATTTCACCATTCACCATCCCACTTTCATCGATTCTTGTCTATCACATTCTCGCATATGTATCTATATATATATAATAATAATAATGTATATATATATATATGCGTGTGTGTGTGCTTCATCCCTACAGCAGGGATCATTTCCCCACTTGACTGTACCATACTCAAAAATTGGCTGACATTCTCTTGTATATGTTTTTTCCCCAACGTGACTTTTCTCGCCACCCCGGAACAAAAACAGAAAAAACAAATTTCACAACAAAAAAAGCAACAAACTTTTTTTTACCTTTTCTGATTTGTTCTATTTTTGAATCTTTTTGATATTTCACACACATATATATTTATATATATATATGATACTTTTTATTATTGTTTATATATATACATATTATATATATATATTTATTTATTTATATGTATACATTTGTTTTTTGACTGTTTGATGTCAAAGCACAGATCTGCCCAACGCCAGGTGATCGAAGTTTATTCTCACAAACCAGGGGACCGACCCCGAAAGGTCCGCGCTTTCTCCGTCGCCTCGATTTTTTCACTTGATGAGTTGGAAAGGATGGGAAAGCTAAGGAGATTGATACGATGGGATATATACTCTCTGGTAATTTCACACATCTATTGAAAATGGTCATTGATAGTTGGTTTACCCCTTCCTAGCTGGACCTGCGGGATGGTGATGGAGAGAGAGAGGGGGAGAGAGAGAGAGAGAGAGAGAGATAGAGAGAGAGAGAAAGAAAGTTGAGAGTTGATTTACCAACAAAACATAATGATTTTCTACAGCTATGTTAAATTACCAGAGGGTATAATGTTCTATATCTCTATCTGGGGAGGAAGACAACACAATGATAAACCCCACATGCCCACCGCATGACATTTGAATCCTCTATTGTCATGTACCAATTATTCTTCATCCAAGATATCCAAGTAATGATTGAACTATATTGAAATCATGTTCATTTCATTTGAAACGGCCAAGGATTACCATCAAACATCTCCATTTCCATTCATTTTCACATATTTTGACTCTAATCATTAAAATCCCGGAGATCCCCCCCAAAAAAACAGTGATTTTCCCATGATGTTCCGTTAAAATCATCATGAACAGATGATTTTCCATGGATTTTTCCATTGATTTCCCATAGAACCAGAATTTTCCCCATGAAAAAATCCAAACCGCGGTCAGGTCACCGTGGAACGGCGACGGAAATGGTTTGAAGCCTTGGATGCGGGGACGCCTGGGAGGACGCCTGGGAGCTCATGGGAGCTCATGGGATTTGAATTTATAGTTAATCATTAACGATATATATATATATATAATATAATATATATATGTATATATATATCTGGTTGGTGGTTTCAAACATTTTTTATTTTCCATCATATATGGGATAATCACCCCAACTGACTAATATTTTTCAAGGGGTTGAAACCACCAACCAGTATATATATTAAATAAAAAAAAAAACACCTACTGATCTAGACCCTACTGATCTAGGGCTGGTCTTTGCTGGTCTTTGCTTCCCTGATAATGGGATATTTTTAACTATGGGAGTTCAAAAATACTATGGGAAAAAAACTCCCATTCATAAATATTGGATATTTATGAATGGGAGTTAATCCCATAGTTTTTTAATGAACCCCCATAGTATGTGAACATTTATAGTTCATGAGTTTATCTTAATGGGATTATTAGTCAACTCCCATAGTATATTCAACATATTTATAGTTTACGTTTAGTGATAGTTGATGAGAGTTAATAGGATATTTAGTCATGGGATTTAATGGGGTTTCAATCTGGGATTTCGTGATGATGTATAGTGGATATGATCATAAGATATATCATGATTATGGATATAGTGATGAAGTACTGGATGGGAATTCATGATGAACATATATTTGGTGCTTATATATATAAATATTACATATATATATAATATGGGATTTTATGATGATGTATAATTAGTGACGATTAATCGATTTACTGAATATGATCATGATATAATACACATATATATATATATATATTAATATACCATAATAATATCGTATAATATGATATCATAATCATATAATATAATATAATATATAATATAATATATAATATAATATAATATAATACAATATGATAATATATATATGTATATAATAATATACATATATATATATATATTGTTCGGGGATGGGATATGTTTGGCAATTAGTAATATAGTCAGCGTTATTTCATTCATTCCCTGCGATGAAGTTGGCAGAAATTCTATTGGGATGATGGGATTTCTGCTGATGTCCAGATGCAGTTTGAAGATTGGTTGACCATGGTGAACCAGTTTGAAGATTAAGGCAATGTCTCTGGTTGGTGGTTTGGAACAGTGTTTATATATTGGGAATAATAATCCCAACTGACTAATATTTTTCAGAGTGGTTGAAACCACCAACCAGGCAACGTCTTGTTGAGAATTTATGAGCTTCAGAGACCCCAAGAAGATCCAAGAAGAGAATCACATCAATTTCCGGCCTGGAAAAGAAAGATCCATGAGAAGCTGCAGGTGGTTGCTCTACTAGAAGAGCGGAACTGCAACTTCTCACCCAACTGGGACCGCGAGCCACGCCCTTGGCGTTTTGTTTCTTGGGCCTTACCAGCTATGATGCGCTTGCTGAGTTGGGTTGCTATCCTCATTGATCACTCAGCCTAGTCCCATCATCACACTGGTTGATGCATAAAAATTTTCATGCCAACCACTTGTCTAGACTAATGCCCCCAGTATGTCAAGCAACATGTTGGGGTTCAGACAAGCGCAGATTTCTACGGAGCGTCGGCGCTCAGTTTCTGGTTGCAGCTGGATGATTTCAACAACGTTGAGTTTGACATCCGCACGCCTGAACAATGGCTTGAGCCTGGACCTCAGGAACGGAGTTGCCGTAGGGAAGTTCTATGGGAGGTTGATACCCTGGGCTGACACTCCTGTCTACCCTGGTGGAGTCGTTTTTCACTCGCCTTTAGCTTAGCTGAACTCTTCGAGAAAGCGATGTAGAGAGAGAGAGAGAGATAAGAGTTTTCTATCTCATCAGTTCTAGCTGAGTGGTTTAAATTTGGATTGGTGGTTGCTTAATTTTCTTCATCCTACCTGGCCCTACCCGGCTTACCTGGCTCTGGGATCCCACGCTCCAGCGTCGATGTTCAAGGCTGACAAAGCAACCAGATGGGAGTTTTCTCCCTTTGCAGGTGCCAACGGCATCGGAGAAGACAAGTCATGTCATTCATTTGAGACTTTCTTACAAAACCATGGGTTTCAATACTCAAATGGTCTCATTTTGGCTGATTTGGGGTGCCCAAATTTTAGGAAACCCTCATTTCCAGGAGAATTTTGGAGCAATTCAACCTGGTTTTGGGCTGCACATGGCTATCCAAGTCGAAGCCGTGTAGATCAGAGCCGGCCTGCAACCCTTGACACAGCCGGACTGTACTCTACATCTACTCATCATACTAAAGGTGGATTTTCCCAACTAGAAACCTCCATTTTTGATTGGGGATTGTCAAGCTAGCCATGTTTGACACTGGAGGGTGACCATTCAAAATCATCTCCATTTGTTGCCATCTACTAATCTACCATAATCTACCCATCATTTTTGTACGCCAAAGCGGCCCTGCCAGGCCAAAGCGATGCGCTTCCACGAGACAAAGGGCTCTGTTTGGGAGGCCGCCGCTGGGATTCGTCGCTTCAACCGGGCCATGTTACCGGCGGGCCATGGCCTCCCAGGACTGCACCGTGGAAGGCCTCAAGGCACCGAAACAAAGGGGGGGGCGGTGGGAAACCCATCCCGAAGCTATCACTCCACTCCAGGGTTCCACCATACTATGGTGAAATGACCAAATCGAATACTTAAATATACTTAATTATCATCTTATAACAACATTTTCTGGTCTGAAATTAACATTTGATGGGTGGGATGAGTAACATTTTGTTTTCGAATCATGGATTACAACATCCCATCAATTAACCTAATATCTGGTTGGTGGTTTGGAACATGTGTTATTTTCCCGTAGATTGGGAATAGTAACCCCAACTGACTATTTATTTTCAGAGGGCTTGAAACATACCACCAACCAGTTAGAGAATTCAAGCAGAAATCAGAACTGAACCTATTTGGATGGGTTATAACCATATATTATCACCATATTATACCAATATTAACATCCCATGGCTCTCACCAGGGTTAGTTACCCCTTAGCCAGCCAGCTGGCTGATTCTTCCCGACGGGATCTTGAAGATCATCGCAGTGAAAATCGTTTTTTTTTCCAAAAAACAAGTTGGTAAAAAGCTATAGGATGGGGCCCCAGTTCGTGAACGCTAAGTTGGTGAACATAACTACCCATAGGATCCATGGTTATATGCTAACATGACTGGGGTATATTGATGGGATCCATGTTACCATATATACCATACATGGATCCTATGGGCTACAATAACCATGTTGTGTATGATACGCAAATAACATCTTATAACTATATTTGGATGGGGTTATAAACCAACTTATAACTGGAGGGCCCCATCCCGTAGCCATAACTATCATTTCATGAGGAAATGAATGGAGATGAGATGATGGTGAAAAAAAGTTGCTAGAGTTTGAAAACCATCATCTCATGTCCATTCATTTCCTCCCTCAGCACCAGTTTCCAAGAAACAGTCAGGTTTTTGTCCGAAATCAACGCCATCTCAGCCGTGAGGATTTGGAGGATGGCAAGGGCACCAAGGACTTCTTGGTTCGGTGGTCATCCAGCGGCGCCGAGGCGACTGTCATCCTTATGTTTTTTTTTTTTGGCACTATATATATTCATCATTATTATGTATTTTTGGTACTATAATGTATTATTATATTAATATAATATATATATATATATATTCATGATCAATTTAGATTTCAAAAACTCGATGTCTTCTTATGAAAGCTTTCAAATTTTGGAATCGTAGTCCTGTTTCCTGATTTGGTAAGCTGAATAGGAAAGAGTGCAAGATGAAGAAACTATACAAACAGTGTCAATGTAAGTTAGACGGGGGTAGTGTGGTAAGGAACAGACTGATCCAATCATCTTCAGACTAAACGAAGCAAGCAAATTGTAAACTAAGGCGACTTTATTGTATTAATAATGGATGATTAATGATGATGATTATTGTTGCTCCGAATGTTTAGGAGTTGGCACGTCAATGACGCCTTGCCGAGATTGCATGATCACAACCCTGGAGCACTGGGAATTTCTCACATGTCCTGCTTCGCTCTGGCAATCAAACATTGCGAGCTAGAAAATTCCACCATGTAGTTCGGTGGTTTTCCATCTACCTCCATTGAAAGCTCGGGGATTTCCCATGATTTTCATATGGTTTTATGATGTTTTATGATGTTTTATGGGGAATCCTCCTATATGTTTCCCTTTTTTTTGTTTCCTATCCCATAGGATCCATGTATGGTATATATGCTAACATGACTGGGGTATATTGATGGGATCCATGTTACCATATATACCAGCACCATGGATCCTATGGGTATGATGTTCCTATGATGTTCCCATGATTCAATGGAGGCTTTCCCAAGGCTTCCGCGTGGCGTTTGGCGCGCCCCGCGCCTCATGGGGAATTCGCGTAGGCGGAGTTGGAGCCGGTGGGACGTTTGAGAATCGTCGTGCAGGGCGAAGATCCCGAGGTGCGAAGTGGGTGGATTTCAGCGAGGTTTACTAAGGACATCTAGGGACTTTATTAACTTTATGGTGGATCAACATAGCTACCCTCTGGTAGACTAACATAGCTATTGAAAATGGCCATTTATAGTGGATTTTCCCATTAAAAATGGTGTTTTTCCATAGTTATGTTAGTTTACCAGAGGGTATATGGAATAGAAATACCCCAGCAACTTAGCAAACCAACATAGCTATGGTTTTTCGGAGTTTAGTTTTAGGGTTTATGGTGGATTCATATCATGAGATCATCGATATACCCCCCAAACCAACATAGCTGTGGTATAGATGGCCCATTGATGAATTAGCTGTTAAAGATAGTGATGTTACATAGCTATGTTAGTTTACCAGAGGGTATATGATAGAATTATATATCTATAGCCATCTATATATTATATTTGGTGAGCGAACAGATTGCCAACAAAAAATAGGGCCCACATTGTGGAAATTTACGGACCCATCATCAAAATATTTGGGATGACGATCTCCAATGACTTTCCGATTTATAAGATGGGTGGAAGGCACCAATCAGATAATATGGGTTTGTCTGAAAATCTGGGGAATCCCGCCGTTTATGGTCATGTTATGGTCATTTTATGGTCATGTTCCCTATGGACGATCAGGTCTATGCAGATCGGATCCTCTTCGCGTTTGAGGCCCTCCAGAAGGCCCCCGATGTGCCTGGCGGTGTCTCAACTTGTGCACCCCAAAGTTGTATGGCAATGTTATGCATGTCACCATTCTGGTAAAATATGTAAAATCCATGGTTTCTGGATGTTTCTGGAGATTTCTTCATTTGACTCCATCCATGTTTGGGGCAGTCTGAGATCTTTAAGGGAATCCTGAAGATGAATAGGAGCTAAGCGTTAAAGTCCGAGGTTTGAACATGGACCCCCCAAGTTTGAGAAGTTCAGGCTTTAAGCCAGGCTTCTCCATGGATCCAGTCGCGATTAGCCAGCCGGACCCACGAAGGCCCAAGCACGGATTCGATTGAACTTCTTCGTGCGGCAGCTCAGTTGATCGGGGAGGGAGGTGTCGATGTTTAAGTCACCGTTTTCAAGTGTATATGCTGGCAAACATGCGCAATCTTAAAGCATGCCATACCTGGGATGGGTGATATTGCAGGAAAATTGCTGCGTATACTATGGGTGAAATATAATATGTAAATAAATAAACACATAAATAAATAAATAAATACATAAATAAATAAATAAATATATATACATATCAAATTGCATGTCTGATCAAATCATTGGAATCCTGAATGTGGCCCTCATTTAAGCTTATTATAGTAATATCAACCTCTTGGATTTCTTTGGCAGGTGCCGCTAAATGCTTGGCAAAGCAGTCACCCAAACAAGACAAAACGGCATAGCGTCAACCTCGGGTAAGAAACTCCAGGTTTATTCAAAAGGAGGGTGCCAATTCCAATAGAATATAATAGAACATTATGATACATTATGATTGTTTTGGGTACCCAAAATATGACTGGGGAATCATCCGTGCGTGCTGAGGTGGATAATATGCCCGTGGACGGTCTTCAAACTTTGGACGACGATCAGGTTGGCTTGGGCGTTTTTGTGCGCTATGGGACTAAACATGATTAAACCTTTAAGCACAATATGTAACCCTAAGCAACATGGGGGATGATGGATGATGATCTTATATTCTTTGCTGAATTAATCGATTGTTTTTGCTTTTCCTCTTTGTACATCTACCGTTTTGTGAAGTGAATCGACAAGGCTTGCAGTTTACAAGGAATGTTTTAAGTATCTTTTCGGCCGTGCCACCCTCATTGTTTGGGACCTTGGGGTCCCACAAGTGTCTTCTCCCAGAACGGACACAAGATTGATACCCTCTGCTAACTTATTGAACACCAGCATTGCCAATAGAAAAAAACAATATCAGTCAAAGCAGGCTTGTACGGTAGTCCATCAATGCTTTCAGTGATTTCGATTTAGCAATTCACATATGTCACTTTCCGCATGCTTTTCAGATGGCTACTGAATGGGTAGCCTACATGCTCGCCACTGCGGCAGTCTTGACAGATGGCGATGGAGAGAGAGAGAATATCCACTTTCAGGGGCCGTGTCCCCGTGTCCGTAGCTATGTTGGATGGTCGAAGGATGTCATTTCTAGATGTCATTCCCATAGGATCCATGTATGGTATATATGCTAACATTTACCATGAATATACCCCAAGTGTTAGCATATATATATATATATATACCAGCACCATGGATCCTATGGGAGATGTCATTGTTTTGCTGGGGATCAGACCATAGCAACGCCCTGTTCAGGTGACGAGGGTGCGCTCCTCAGTGGCGAAAAAACTCGGCTCTCACTTGGCATTGTCAAACCTTGCCAGGTTTGACTGGTTTGACTCCCCAAATGATTGAAATAGACGTTTCAGAAAGATCGAACATGTAATTCACTACTCTATTTTAGTATAGGAATTGAATACTTGTCTATTCTATGGATTTGGAGGTTACTATAGATTGAAATTCTACGACATTTTGGCGTGTTATTTGGTGCCCCAGCTTAGAATGGCGTAGATGATGTCGTTTGGAGGTCTTGGACTTGTCCCGCAACTCAGCGGCTCTGCGAGAAGTGTCCCTTGGGAACCAGCCGGGCTGGAGATGGCTGGAGCTTGAAATGTACCACTCGAATTCTACAAAGCCAATCTGCCAAAAAAATGGGACCTATCAACTGGGAAACAAAAGTACAGATTCAAACGTCATTTTTGGGACAGGGAAACCCTAGGAGACCTAGACCTATTTTTGTGTATTTTCTGATGACCTTTTCTGTTTTATTCACCAAATGCTCTATGCAATCGTCAGCTCAGCCTGAAGGCCTGACAGTTTTTGCAGCGTGCTGGTGCGCGAAGCCAACTTGGACTTTGCCCGGACCATGCTGGGGTGCTCAGCATGGGCCAAGACTGAGTCAAGACCCCCCTGGGTTGATGAATATCCCAAGCTGGACCTGTGATGACCAGTAAACGAATTCGTTTTTGAGATGTTTACCTGGAGCTTTATGAGTGATCCCTTTGCTTATTTTACTTTAGATTTGATTTTGTTGGGATGCAGCCAACCTTGGGTCTTTACAAACCATGGGATTTTACAAGCTAGACTCGCTAGGCCTCAGGACTTCAGCCACAATGAATCTATATATTGAAGTTGTTGAACCCCATTTGGATATTTGGGATGATGCTTGCACGTGACCAACAGTTTTAGGATGAATTGAAACCACGAACCTTGGTCAACCTTGGTATAGTTTTTTTTAAAAGAAAAGCTCCTTGAGGAAACACAGAGGATTCCATTGAAGTCAACTCGAAGAATGGCATGAAAGCAGGGTGGTCTGCCAATCCGTTGACGATCTCACAAGATTGCTGGAAGTGTGCTGATACAGAAAAACAGTCAACAGGCGGGAAAAACGGTAGTTGAATTGCTTCTATTCTGATCTATTCTGATAGCTCACATTAGTTGAATAGTTAAAAAACATGTTAAATTAGTTGAATAGTTTCCACTAGTTGTCGTTTTTGTTCCACCAATCCTCCCCTCAGATGGTCCCTAACCGACTGGCTGCAAGGAACAAGATCGTTCTGATCGCGGACCCCCAGGCTGTGGCCGTATAGGGATAGGTGGAAAGCCGGCATGGGATCTGTGTGTTACCACATATATATATGTATGTATACATATACTACCCTGGGGCAAGCTGACATAAATGATCATCAATGTGGAACATCAACCATTGAAGTAGATGATTTTCCTGAAACCGTGGGTTTTCCACATGGTCAGTTGACCCTTCAACAAAAAATCCTGCAGTTGATTCCAAGCAACCATGTGACCCAAGCCGTGTTGCTTTTGGTAAAACGTCTATCATGCCATTGTGCAAGATTTCTGGCAATAATACATGTTTATTTTTTCAAAGATGGTCATGTCCTTGGACACTGGAGATTTATCAAATCTTCGTTGCAGGTTCAGAAGCCGCCAGGCTACCGCTACCAGCAGGCGCCATTTCTGTGTTTGAAGTCATTCTTGGAGGCACTTGGTCTTCCTCTGTCTTCGTCCCTTTGTCTTTTGAAGATTTTGGTAATTACCCCAAAAAAACAGCGACAATATTGTTGGTGTTATATAGCGAAGAAAAGCCCAAATCTGAGGTTGACTTTCGAGGCGCCTGATGTGCCATACTCATCAGCAGACTATTCTCACACTGGCTTCGGATATTCAAACTGCAGCTGTTTTGGCTCATGCTTGGCGTGCCCGTCCGTGCACGGGCTCGGAAGCATAGTGATACTGTTCCATGCTGATGGGAGGTTCACCAGAAGCACTCGATTGACATTTGACTCGTTGGGGCTGAACCTCACATCTCTGGAGTCACCAAGATATGCCTAACGCCAAGGCCCTAGGCGTTTCGAGCTGGCCGTGCGCGGCACTGGTCCAAAGTTTGCCTTCGCAAAGGCCCGGAGATGGAGTCGCAACATGGTGAGCTGAGAATCACATGGGTTACCCCTAACAACTTGGGAAATCCCCTATAAAACATGGTGAGATTATGGCAAATTATGGCAAACAACAAACCAATATGGGTTACAAGTTTTCTTGTTCGTTTCACAGTATTTTATATGGTAGTTTGTTTATATATGGTTGAAGCGACCAAGCATTCCTGAGTTGCAAGTGTGCTTAAAGGCTTAAAGGGGTGGATTATGACCCATCAGTTGGTCGTGGACATCCATTGTTTTGTGAGGTTTTATATAGCACGAGGAGCTTAATCATCGTCAAAGTATGTCAAAGTCATATATGTATCACTGTCTCACGAACTGGATGATCCATGAATCGTATGAACTGAGCACTTGGGTTATATATAACAGTTCGGGCTAGCCTTACCTGCCCTCTATCCTACGGATTTTATCGACAGGCCGGGAAGATTATTTAAGGCCATCCCACTTCCAATGATCAATGTGCCTAGCTTACAAACCCAACTTTTGTCAAATTCTTGCATTTGTAGGTTAAAAGAGGTTAAAAGATAACATGTTAGATAACGACATAATAACATGACCAATTTTTGTCTTTTTTTTTTGGGTGGCTTTGAAGCCCATTTGTTCCTGTAGGTCCACCCTCCCTGGCCGCTACAGGGCGGATCGGTGGAAAGCAGCCCGTGGCACGACATTTTTGATGGCAAGTCAGGGAACCTCAGGGGTCGTGGACGGTGGTTACCAGCCCCAAATTTATCATGGAAACCACCTTTCTTGCCATATCATGTCATATCATGTCCATGTTTTATTTCGGTGGTGTCACCAAACCTGGGAACTCAAGAAAACACGAGTGTCTGGCGGTGGGACAAGAGTGTCAGACCAAACGCGTCGTGTATCAGCAGCGACATGCCAACATGGTGATAGATACAGCCAACGGAAAAACTCGATGTGGCAATAATTATATAATACAATTTAATACACTACAATTAATTTAATGCTGAATGGGGAGTCTTTGAGGAACACTTTGCTCAAGATGGAGGCAACGTTATGAAAACAATGAGTTGTGGGCCCACAACTGCCAGGTTATCCATCAGGGTGGCTTCGTGGCCAAGGTGCTGGCTACGCTACCACCCGAGCACCAGGCTCCAATGCCAAGTTCAAGGTTGGGATGTGCCAGTTGGGGCTCCCAGCAGGGGCAGCCAGCGGCATTTTTTTCGGTGAGGAAGCTATGGATCCCAGCTACAGTACCACTAAGTGGAGAAGTCAACATTTTGTAGGCAGTCCTGAAATGGCAACTTTGGGTACGGCTAAACAGGCTAAACATGTTGGATGGTTTCATGACCCAAAAAGAGCAAGGCGGCAACCCCTACCTGGCACAGTATATACATGTATACTGAACATCGCAGCTGCTTCGGTCCTTTTCCCCAACAGCAGACATACACTGCCTCAATTTCCCCTTCAATTGCCAAGCCCAGGACCCATGTGAGTGGCAACCTCAGTGGTGTCGCTGTTTGTGCTAGGAGTTGGTGGTCAAGGGCCTGACGATTCCTGATTGAAGGCTTTGTTTCATGAGAGCGGGTTGGCAGCTGGTTACCCTTTGGTAAACTAACATAACTATGGACAATCCCCATTTTTAGTGGGAAAACTCACTATAAATGGCCATTTTCAACAGCTATTTTGACATAACCAGTTCTCTGTTAATGTGTGGTGATCCTATATAGTTTCTGTGGTTGGATGATGCAGCTCCAGATGTCAGCTGTTGAAACTGCCTAAGATAAACACCTATCATCTGAAGCATAATTGGCAGCTGGCACCAGAAGAGATTCTGTAGAACCTACTGCTCAAAGGCCCAAATGGCTCTTTTCGAAAAAGATCATTTGATGAGAATGAGCATTGTAAGTGGGACATCGGACCCCTGGTTATTTGCTCCAATCCCCATGTCGTGTGTTTCTTAAGTCACAATTTTCATGTGTAAGCTTCACACTTTTAGTTGATAGTTGTTTGTAGCACTTCCCCATGTTTGAGTAGCTGAATTTCAGTTTTACATGTTTGATAGTTGTTTGTAGCACTTCCCCATTTGGCGTGGCTCAAATAACACTTTGTAATTATGTAATTGGTCAATCCCCTGCTTTGCCGACATGTGCTCGCTCAGGTCACGATAAAAAGGTAAGTTTGGCAAATGTCAAGTCTGCAGTCGAGGAAGCAGCCTCTTGGACAGCAGGAGGTAGCGTCCAACTTGGTGAATGGGTTCGTGCCACAAATGGATGCATAGTTGCATAAACCATACACAATTTGTTTTGAGGGATCAGGGAATCCAAAATTAGTCATCATGTCATCATGCTAAGATGGTCAAGGACGAACAGCGCGTAAAGCAGAATTGCACGTCCTTCCTGGTGATTAGGAACAGTTTTTTCCTGAATGTATTCTATCATATTCTATCATATTCCATCCCGTTTTGGATGATCCGAACTGACGGCCTTTCCTGGCCTAACAGTTTAACCTTGCTGCAATCACTCGATCAGATTTTAAGATCCAGAGACTCAGAACTTTGGTCATGTTTAGCAGTTTAGCTTGTCCATTGTCTATAAGTCTATACTCTATACCACTTTTTTCTGGTGGAAACCTAGCTCTCTGAAGCGGAGTAGCAACTCAAAATCAAAAAATGCTAAGAAATGCCATTGGTTATCCAAAACTCCTTGTCCTGGGCTGTACCCTCCGCCAAAAATGTCTTGATAGTTCATCCCTCCCTTGATTTCTGGGATGATTGATTGGTAGCCCACATTTTTCAAATCCCGCGGCCGAACTCAGGTCAAGAAGGGTGCTGAGTCCCATGCTCAGCGGTTTTCCGATGTTTTCCGGGCGCAGGACTGACTCGGAAAATGGAGTTTTGGGGGATGCTGTGTGAAGATGGATGCCACAAAAGATGGAACTGTAGGGAAATGGGGGGATCCCACAGGTCCCACAGCAGCCAGATTTTTCGCCGGGTTTTCACTGCTGAGGCTGGTCGTTCTCGGAGAGATGCTACTCGGCGAAGCCGGGCTAAGCCGGCAATCAACCATGGCGATGGGAAGAGCATGTTCGATTGCCATGATTGATTACCAGAGAGAGAGAGAGAGTCAGTATAACAGGGGTTGGTAACTGTCCCATTTTGGGAATATTGGACATCACCTTATAGTAGCCATTATAGACCATATACCTAATGGTTGGTTGGGTGATGTTCAATAGGGACATTTAATGACCCATGTATAATTAAGATGGCATAAAATGGGTGAAAATCTCACATGATTTCTTTGCGCTGTGGTGAAGGTAGACTTCTGTGAGAGGCGGGGTCTTTCAGGCTAGATTGAAGAACAGTCTGTCCAGAAGCCCAGACAAGATTTATACATTGTGTTATATAAGACTTTCCTTCTTGTCCTTCACAAATTGAATAGCCCTATAGATTTTATATTATTCATACTTGGTAGAATCCATGAGGGAAATATCCAAGCAATGTCTTGAAAGATGCCAGCACCCTGCCAATAAAGAGTTGCCAGCCCTCGCCTTTAATGCTTCGACCTTTTCTGCCAGGGCAACCGGTTGATTGTGACAAATTTGCAACCGATGGGTATATCTAGATATGTTAATATATTATATATATATATTTATTATGGTATAGTATGCATACAAATGTGTAAATGGTAAATAGACTAGCCAGCTAAAAAATCTGTTTGTTCGCTGAGTACAAGCTTAGCCACGGTCACTACCAGATCTACCAGGTTCAGCTGCCCCTACGCCACGAAATACTTCTTCGAGTACGGTGAACGACTTCCCCTCCCAGGCATGGCTTGTGGGATCGGTCCATTCAATGGTCATTCCAGGATCTTACATAGACCTTATATATGGTAGGTACCTCCAATTTAGGAACCTGAAATGGCCAGTGATCCATTTGTTTTTTTTCTGTTTGTGAAATCATGTGAAATCCAAATGTCTCGTCACTCATTTAAGTGATTGTTTGGGGGATGCTCTCGGAAGTTCGCAGGCCCCCTTGCATCCCAGATCATGTGCTAGTCTGGTACACTAAACCGCCCACCGCCCACCTAACCCATAGGATCCATGTATGCCATATATGGTAACATTTACCATCAATATACCACAAATGTTAGCATATATATATATCATACATGGATCCTATGGGTAATAAAGAACCCCCATTGTTTCAAGGTTTGAGACAGGAATAGTTCCGTTGAATCCTACAGGGCAGCTGGCGAGCGACGCCAGCCCCAGCGTGAAGTTGCTCTGCGAGCTGGTGCGGGGCCCAGGGCGGGCATGGAAACACGGCCCAAGTGTAGCCGGTGTAGCCCGAAAAGAGGTGTACTTGGGGGTGTGTCCATTAAATTACTTAACAAGCACACTATACCCAACATATACAGAATATATATATACATACAATGTTCATGAAAATTGCAATGTTATAATAACTTTGATCCCAAGATTGGCCTAAGGTCTCTAGTTCAGCACAGCTCCCTATTCCCCGTTGAGTTTCAGAAATGACCTCACTGGCTGACCAAGCCCAGTGATGGCTAACGGTGGTAGGCAGAATGCACACATGTTTAAATCTGGTTGGTGGTTTGGAACATGGCTTTTATTTTTCCATATATTGGGAAAGTCATCATCCCAACTGACGAACTCATATTTTTCAGAGGGGTAGGTCAACCACCAACCAGATATACTTTATATATCTTTATATAGTTTTTTCTTAATGTGGGTTCTTTTACTGTGCCTAAGTAGGGTAATATATCATTGAGACAATGCCGCATCATTATACCATTAATTGCTCTGATAAGATTCAAGATGTGAAAAGATATGAATATGAATGACTAGAAAGAGATGCCCTCTGGTAATTTAACATAGCTATTGAAAATTGTGATTTATAGTGGATTTACCCATTGAAAATGGTGATTTTCCATAGTTATGTTAGTTTACCAGAGGGTACCAGCCCAAGATCACCCCTTCAAATCATAATCTCAGCCTTTTCGATTGGGTGCTGAGGCTCGTGAGCACAAAGTGTGGATCGTTGGTGGCTCACTGCCTGAGCTGGAGGTCCAGCCACGGTGCAGAAACAACGTGTTTTGTTGGCTCAGCTTCAGTGCTTCAGGATCAAAATCATTGGCCAAGGCCACCTCAGTCATCCTTATCCAGTCATTGAGCTTCGATGCCTTGGGTTGGTTGTACTTGAGTTTCACTGCGGAATCACAGCAAATACCCGTAATTCCGTTTTTCTCCCTGCCGTCGCAGGGAGACAAGGTCTACAACACCTGTCTAGTGATGAACCCTGAGGGTGGCATCGTTGGGGTCCCAGTGTCGTGGTGAGATGCGTGGTGAGATGGATAAGCTGCTCCAAGGTTGCAAATATAATGGATCTGGCGAACACACATTTATATATAGTAATATAGTGCGTGTGTATAGTTATGTCATATATCATTTATATGCGCGCAGAATAAGAGATGTCAAGAGGTTATCAATGCGACTGGGCATTTGTGGTCAGTAGCTACACTGTATTGGAAGAATATGCAACAGATGGGCTGAGTTGTTTGCAGTTCCAATATTTACTTGTCAAGGGTATTTCCAAACATGTCCAAACGACTCTGGCCCAACATTTGCAGCAACATGAGTAGGCTGCATGTGGTCACAGGATCCCACATGAGTCTAATATATCTACGACATTCTAAGACAATGCTACTTATATATTGACATGAGTAGGCTGCATGTGGTCACAGGATCCCAATGGCATTTCTTTGGCGCAACATATTCATGCCATAGGGCGATCCACGTACCAGGCCTTTCTTGTTGGTCACATTTGGTCACGGCTCTCAGGTGGCGAAGCATCGTAAGGTGCACCTCTTCGACATCGATGTGGCTGCCACGGCCACTAGGTCGACATGGGACATGGGAGCCTTGATGTAGGGATGAGATGATATGGTGGATGGAAGAAACCCTGCAGTTGATAGGTGGTTTATCCCATATCATTTATAGGGTTTTACCAGCCAAAGTGGCAAAGTGGTGCAGGATTTCTTCCATCCACAGGATGTAACTATGAAAAGGAGGGATTGAACCATGATTCAACCAGCCTAGTGCTCCAAATAGCATCTCAGAAGGTGTTTGAACCCCAGAAACCAGCTTCAAGTTTAGTCTGAGAAGGTATTTTGGAGCTGTAGGGCCATGAGGTTACAGGGAATGATAGGATATATCATGATATATCACTATATTTGATGGGGTTTATATGGGTTTAAACCAACTTAGGATGGTGATGCCCTTTGGTCATATTGTTTGTCTGTTTTTGTTTGTTCTCTAGGGGATCTCCAACAAGTAAATAATAGTAAAAAGCATCGAACTCAATGAGAATTTTCCAGCAAAGAATGTTTGATTACCAGAGGGGAGGTGATTTAAGTTGGAGCTTCTGATTTCATGGGATATTAAGTTGTTTTTTTTTTTGGGGGGGGGATGTACTATTAACAAGGATTATATATATAGGGGCTTTACCGACAAACATCAGGCAGTTTTGAGATTTAAACCAACTAGAAAGGGTATACAATATGAAACATATGGCAATATGTAACCAACTCAACATTATTTTTGGGTGTGACTTAAATTGGGGTATACTCTCCAATAGCTATTTAATGGGGAACCTGATTATAATCAATGTGTGTGTTTTTTTTTGGTACACCATTTCGGACAAACTCATATTGAAGGTGTAGTTTTTGCAGCCCCTGCAGAAATAAGGCGGGCGCCAAATGATTGCAATGAACAATGCATGAATCGATTGACATGTACAGGCACATGTGTGAACAAACAAGTTATCTAAGGATTTAAATGGATTTAATCATGTATGCTTTGTTCAATGGATTGGTTTTTTCGGGAACATCTTAACCGGAAACTATAGATTTTCCCAGTAAATATGGGGCTTAAAGCAGTCAAATTTCGCTCCCGTGACAGGCCCGCGATCAAATTCAAGGAGACTCCACTGGGCTGATTTCGCAGTCGGTTAGAACTGCGAAGATATGTGGCACCTGTATTTTTTTAAGCAAACTCCACTAATATATCTATAACTTATAACCCTTCAAATTGAGATGGACATTGAGACTCAGCACTTGTTGCGTTTTAATGTTTTTAGGCCTTTCTACCAATTTAATCAGGATTCATGGAGTCCTTGCGCCCCATCAAGAAATGTCCAGTCTTCAGCAGTCATCCTCACCCAGTGCGCTCATTTGTTCCAGTCTTGGTCGAAGGAAAATACTGGATGAACACCTCACAGATAGCAAACACCTGGTAAAATCGATGCTTTTTGTTCTGCCTGTTTCTTTTTGAAAGACTTCGGATGTCTCCGGCTGTCCCACCCATGCTTGGTTTCCACAAGACGAGACATGTACTTCCCCCAAAAAACATACTTTTTCCAAACCCATGGTTTCCAAACCCATGGTGGCTTCCCCATTTTTGGGGGTAAAGACGTGGCAAGGTGTTTTCCAACCTTATGGTTTCCCCCTGGGCCCCTGACTCGCAGGAGTCCGACGTGCTGTCTGTGGGTGAAACGATGACGCTGGTGGATCTTCCCTGGTGTCGGATGGGTGCCTCGACGGGCTAAATGGATGTACCCATATAGGATCCATGGTGCTGGTATATATATATATGCATATATGCTAACATGACTAGGGTATATTGATGGGATCCATGTTAGCATATATGCTAAATGACTAGGGTATATTGATGGGATCCATGTTAGCATATATACCAGCACCATGGATCCGTCATGGGGTATAATATTTGCTATCATTGGGTCGCATTGCCTCAATCCATTCCTGAAAATGCACTCTAGTGTAATTCTCTGACCAGCAAACATCCTAGGATAGGACTGGGTATCCTATACTTCCTGGATCTTCCTGGCTCCAAGGTGTAGGCATCTGCTACGACAGCCGCTTCCCTGAGCTGGCGCTGGCGATGCGCGCGGAAGGTGCTAAGGCCGCCATGTTTGACCTTTTCCATTGGGGGAAGTTAAAGAAATCCGATGGAATGAAGTCGGATGAACACCATGTTGAAGTTTGTTTTTAATACCCTCTGGTTATTTAACATAGCCATGGAAAATGGCCCATTTATAGATGGTTTACCTATTAAAAATGGTGATTTTCCATGGCTATGTTAAATAACCAGATGGTAATTTTTATAATTGCCCATCTTTTTTGTGCATCATGTAATTTGTACATGTTTTTTGATTATCCATCAGGTGTGTTTTTCTTCAAATTTGGTAGTATCCGATCCACGCATTCCACGGCCGTGGTGTTCCCACAGGTCTTGGTCTATCCCGGCGCCTTCAACATGACCACTGGCCCGGCACATTACCAGATCCTGGCACGCGGCAGGGCGGTGGATACCCAGTCCTACGTGCCTTGGCCCTTGGCCTCCGAGGGTGGTGCCCTGCAGCTAGGTTTGTTGGTTTATGATTCATGATGGTTTATAGATGTTAACACTAGACCCCGTGAATTCATGTGAATCATAGGAAAATGTCATGATATCACTAAACCCATCCAAACCCCATAAATGATAGATATGTCTATACCATAAACCAGAGTCATATTAGCATATATTAGCTATGAAATGGAATATCCCTTGCCATAATAGATCTGGAAAACAATGAACAACCAACAGGTTGAGAGTGATGAACAGAGAGACGATGAAAGACATGTCGATGTGCCTGTTTTGGACGCATCCAGACGGTAAATCCTTCGTCTCAGGTGATCTTCACCTCCCCTGCCAGAAGTGAAGACAAGAATGACTACCAGGTGTCATGGCGGGCATGGCGGGAGGATCTGGAGAGGTTGATGGAAAGTTTGCCCCAAAAAATGGCAGGGGTTGTCTTGAAGATGGAACATGATGGAAGCAGCAATGTTTTTGCCAGGTGTTTTGAAGCGCGTCCCAGGGTTTTGGCAACACATGGTAGCATGACGTAATGATCTCACTTCAGGAATCATCCCACTGGGAGACTTTGATGGAACCTTCAGGGAGGTGAAACATCCATTGTTTGCAGCAGGGTATCGACGCAGATCAACCCTGGGCCTCAGATGGGCCGCGGTTCTCTTTTCGGCAAGGCCTGGGGTCACTCGCAGTTGATCAGCCCATGGGCGGAAGTCCTCTTTGAGGTGAGCGGGGTGGTGATCAGCTCCATTTACCTATTACTGTTATAAAAAAAAAGGATTTCCCAGTCATCTTTGATGACCAGAGGTTGCTGGCCTCGGCCATGGCCATTTTCAACCCGGAAAAAAACCACCCCCAAAGTGCCACCAGCCCGGGGTTTCCTCCACTCAAGACATTGCCGGCCAGTGGCCCATCCAAGTGCCACCAGCCCGCTTCCCAGGCAGAACATCAGCAGGGTGTCTTTGTGGTGGAGGTGGACCCCTCCGAGGCGGACCGCATCCGTGAACAGGCGCGACCTCCATGCGGAATCATGGGGTCCCCATGAAGCAATGGATTTGGCACCTAGGCACCTCTAAAACTGGTGATCCATGGGACCTGGATGGAGCTGGTGCCCAGGCACCTAACCACCTCTAAAACTGGTGATCCATGGGACCTGGATGGACCCGTTAAGCAGTGATGAGGTGATGAGGGGCAGGTCTTTTCTGGTCTTTTGTGGGGCTCGGCTTGATCAAAGGTGATTCTTTCCCCCCACATGATACCACCTTTGAGGTTCCAACTTCTTATCAGAAACGTGGCGACCTCTATGCGCCCTATGCGTGCCTTGGCTGGTTGGATCTTGCAGAAGCACTATGATTGGATATGATTGGTATATCATCTCAACGGCGGCCGTGGATGCCGAACTGAGGCAGTTGGAGGATGCCATTGCCAAGAGAAGACGCTCTGAGAACGAGAGCAGCTTGTAGCCATCACAGCTGGCCAATGTTGTATTCATTGAAAAATATCTTGAACACATACGAGATGGACATCAGACAGTTCCTCGAACAAATCCAAAAATTGTTTGGATGCTCGTTGATCTTCCAGAGTTTTGTTGGAGATGGCAAATGTTGGGAGTGCATGTTACCCTCTGGTAAACTAACATAGCTATGGAAAATCACAATTTTTAATGGGAAAATCCACTATTAATGGCCATTTTCAATAGCTACGTTAAATTACCAGAGGGTAAATCTTAGGAGTGTAGTTCCTAAACCTCGGGATCCACAAGGTCTTTGGCATATCCACAGCAGACCACCAAAATTCCTAAACTCAGCACCTTCGGCCCTCCACAGTTCGTTTTCCAGCGTCCTCGCACGAGCGGCGAGCCATGGAAAAAAAAGAAGGGCCGACCCGCCGGGGGTCTTCTGAAGGCACTTTGATTCATCTTCAGTCTTTGGATACTGAAAAACCTCAAGTGACCTCACCATAAATTCTATGTTTGGCCTTGGGCCCCGGCACAGAGCAGGACAGATCTGGCTTGATATTTTAGATTTTAGATAGTACCATATAGTACCTATATTGTATCTATGAGATATTTCAATCACATGTTTTTTTTGATGTGGCTGAGTTTGGTTTGTTCCCCCCTCTGCGGGCATTTGGTACGACACATTTTTTCACCCCCAGTTCGCGCCAGGGGCCCGGTCAGTTGGCGGACCTGTCGTCCTTGCAGGGGCGCCTAGCGGCCTAGCCTTAATGCCCCAGCATCGAAGTGGAGGGAAGCAAACCAGAAGAGAAGGCAAAAGGCAACCTGCAACCTGAAAGAAACATATGTTGGTCAATTTTGGGTAGTTTTGATACAATGATAACTATGATAAAGATGATCAATTCCTGTTTAACATTATTTTTGTCAAACCAGATGGTCAAAATGCATGAAAATACTGGGGAGGAAAAGTGAAGCACCAGGCTCGATGATATCGACATCGATGACCTTGAAGATGCAGGCCATGTGCTGAGGTGGTCCCTCTGGTGGGTAAAGCTTGGTGACGGCTTTTTACTCCAAAGTTTGACATGTAATTCATCTATGGCTATATCATATATCCAGTAGATATAGTAGATCAATAGGAGATTCCCATGTTTGGGGTTTTCTTGGTTAAGATTAAGGGGCTTCATCAACCATAAGATTGGTTCGAGAGAGTTATATAAAAGACGCACATTTTACCATCCTATCTGGTTGGTGGTTTGGAACATGTTTTATTTTTCCATATATTGGGAATGTCATCATCCCAACTGTTACTCACTCCATCATTTTTCAGAGGGGTTAGCAGCAACCACCAACCAGATATTAGATTAACCATCATTAACCATATCATTAACCATATATTAACCATATCATTAACCATATATTAACCATATCATTAACCATATATTAACCATATCATTAACCATATATTAACCATATCATTAACCATATATTAACCATATCATTAACCATATATATCCATTATTTATAGGGGATTTGCGCCACAGGCGAAAATCCCTTTGAGAGGGACGTTCCTTGGTTTTCACTGTGGCCAGTGCGGGCCCAAGCGGATCGATCTGCGGTTGCAGGTCATAACATGTTCAAACTAAGGATTCGGACATTTCAAACATTTGGAGATGCACATGCCAACAGAATCAAGCTATAGTTTGTTGCTGTTTATTATTGCTTGGTTTGCAAGGGATGTTTGCAACAGTCAGGTCCAGGCATGGTACAGCATCTCACCTATATTCTTACCTATTTTGTCATCAGGTTTTTCCCTTCTCATGCTTTGCTGGTTCCCATCTCTCAAGCACAAAATCACATAGTGATAGCAAAATCTTGTCCAGGACTCTTTCAGCGGTTCAGTTGAACTGCTGTTTGCCCTAGCCTTTGGGCTGAGACCCCTATAGGCCCAGCATGCTGTGGGGCCTTGGCATCGTTGCCATCCATAAGGTGCCGGAGTATTGTTTCACCGACGCGTTCTCTTCGTTCTGTTTCGCGTCGCTCTATATCAGGCGCGACACGTCGCGTCTGGAGCGCGGCCGGGAAGAGAAGCTCTTCATTCAGAATGGTAGAAGAGAGTCGACTGCGGGGAACGACATTGGAAAGCAGCGGAAAACCCACCATATTTGATGAGAAACACATCCGGATGAACTATGATGAACTATGGTTTGTTCATGTTTATTCTGTCAAACAATCACCCTTTGAAAAGCAGTCCTACAAGTGCTGTACAAGTCCCGACCAATGGCACCCAGCTGTGGATGCCCCAAAAATGGCAGGACCAATGGTGGTATATGGTGGTTGAACCATCTATAGTATTGGTCATGAAGCAGCAAAAACTGGGATATCATAATATACCCTCTGGTAATTTAACATAGCCATGGAAAATGGCCCATTTATAGTTGATTTACCTATTAAAAATGGAGATTTTCCATAGTTATATATGTTGGTTTACCAGAAGGTATCATAATGATATAATGGGTATATAGCAAATATTAGTGGTCTGTGGTTTCGCATGATGTAAATTTAAAACATCCCAGAGCATGCTAAATCCATGTGGCTGGGATCCGTCTTTGTGGGTATCAAACGCCTACCCGACCTGGTAAATCAATGTAAATCAACTACAACTGGGCAACTATTTCAATGGGCCATGTTCTATAGCTATGTTAAATTACCAGAGGGTATCATCCGTTGCTTACTTTGCGTGTGTCCTTCAGTTTACCCCCCTAATTCTTTACATAAGCCCCAAATGCCAGCTCGCGAGGCCAGAAGTGGTCAGTAGCCTTGGGGAGGTTTGTCAGGACAGCTGGATGATGGCGGATGATGGTTGCTGTTTCCCTTTTAAGACTTAAGGTTATATTTACCCAATGGAAAAATCGGGAGAAAACGAATTCAGACTTGAGTTCTGCCTGGAATGATGACTCTGAGTGACTCTGACTTGGAGATTTTTGGGCGGGCTGATGCCACCAACCTGTGGCTCCACCATGGTTCAAGCACCACGGTTTCGGGAATTGATTACTGTGAGGGGATGCTAGTGGATAACCACGACTTTCCCGATTCCAAAAACGAAGGGTGATGATAAGGTCGTGCCCCAAACAAGAGTGAAGTTCGTGTACAACTAGCACACCTAGAGTTTATGGTAGATACATGTAGATACGATGGTTGATGGGGTTAATGAACCAAGAAACATAACTGGAGGGGCATCAGCTTGTAGTTAAGTCCCCATTGTCATAGTTTAGTTGGAAGTTTGTAACTGTTTTAGTTCCTTTTTTTCGGAGTTGCTGTGAATACTGTTGAATATCCATTTCAGCTTCCAGGAAAATTTGAACTTGATGGCTTCTTGCATCTATGCCAACCGCTTCACACGGTCCAATGGCTCAGCTCATGCTTGAGATAGAGATGGTCTGGAATTCTTGACTTTGGTCAGTAGGAACTCCAAACCAGGGTTTAACATGTTGTTTGATATGTGATTTATCTATCTACCAATAATATATATATATATATAGATAGATAGATAGATTGATAGATAGATAGATAGATAGATAGATATAGAATTGCAGATATAGATATACAACTAAATGCATATATATATATATATATTAATGTATATACATACATGTATACATATATGTATATATATAGTTATAATATATAGATTATATTTATAATTCATACATATATATATGTATATGTATATGTATATGTATATGTATATGTGTATGTTAATATTCCCTCTTTGTGATGATGATCCTCAATGTGTCCAGGGGCTTTTTCGCCACCAAACCACCAACCAGACAACACAACCATAGGGACACCTGACCTTCAGATCTCGTGGTCCCTTGGTTCGTGTCCCGAGGTTGATGAAGCCAGAACAGTTCCGACAGATTGAACGATCCGTGGGATGGCCCAATGGCCCGAGGTGATGGAGAAGCAGCTGGCTCCCAACCACCATGGCTCCCACATGTAGGAGGGAACGAAACCATAAAAAGACAAGTCCAGATATACTATGCATCTGATTGGTGGTTTGGAACATTTATTTTTCCATATGTTGGGGAATAATAGTCCCAACTGACGAACTCATATTTTTCAGAGGGGTAGGTCAACCACCAACCAGGCATGATGCACTAGAGTCGAACATTGAATTGAACATGTCCAATCCCGTGTTTTCACGGTGACCAGCTGGCAGATTCCACAGGTTGCAAGGGGCTGGCAGATTGGAGATGCTGTTGACCAAGGCAATCACAACAATGGCACACAAGATTCGAGAGCAGTGGGTCGAATACTCAGTCAACCGTGGTTGTGAAAGGTTTGCTATAAATTAAATATAGGCAGATGATGACAGACGGATCGTGATTCTAAGATCATGATCCACAAGCTGGGGCAACCAATCATTTTGGGATAGGGGCCTTAGGGGCTTGCTGACCCGAGCATATTCAGAACTCGAGGCTTCCGATTGTTCCGAGCATCAGGCCCCATGCAGAGGTCTATTGTTTTCCCTCTCTGGATCCTGGTTGCTGATTCCAAAATGGACCCTTCGTTGGGGTTTGGGGGAGGTTCAAGTGCCGTTTGGCCCGGCCGAGGTGGTAAACATTCAAAAGGTGATCCTCAACAACTTCCGGGATGTGGGCAAAGGTAGGGAGTGCTGGGATGCAGTGGGAACTGCCTAACTGCCTATACTTCTACAGAGGCATTGTGATTTTTGATATATATATATATATATATCCATGTCAATGTTGTCCGTTTTAACGTGTTTTTTTTGGTTCAGCTCATGTTTATGGTATGCGATAAACCTAATCCTGATCAATATTCACATGCCAGCTTTTAAGATACTGGCCTGTCGTGGCTTGTCCATTTGGGCGGGAACATGTGACGGCCCCAAGCTCCCGGGTGAGCACTTGAGTAGTACTATTCAGTGAAACATGTTACACTTTATAGAATGATATGTATAGAATCATATGTGGCATACTGCACTCTGTAGTAAACCTGGATGTTTCGTTCAGGCTTGTAAACTCCCAAGATTTGTGATATAAGGTATGGTCTATGATTGGCTTGACCATGCTAGTCCAATTGTATCAAAACCTCCCTCAGTTGCCGGAATGTCCAGTTGCTGCTGATGTGGGGTCGCTAGGCTGGTTCTCCATCCATGAGACCAACCAAGATACGTACCGACAAGGGAAGTTGAAGAAGCTTTTGGTAAGGGACGCTCAGATACCCTCCATCGGGATGGTCATCCAGAAATATTTCTGCCAATCTATGAAGGTTAATATACTTTGGGTGGTTGAAAAGGAGAACAGACAATTGAATAAGGCGAAGCATTGCATCAACAATTGTCGACGACCTTCAAGGAACAGTGATGTTCGCTCTTCGTCCATAGTATGACGTGGGCATTTGATCCGATGAGCTTACGTTGAAGCATCGCCTTTTCCCCGGCAATCACCATGAGACCGCAAGCATCCTCCTCATCATCCAATGGTATGAGTTCTATCCAAAGCTTCTGGCTGCTACGAATCCGCATGTTTGTTTGTTCCCCCAGGTCTCCCTGGTCTCCGCAGCAGCAAGTCACCAAGGCTGTGGTGAAGAACATGATGCAAGACTCACTGGAGTTCTTCACCTTGGATTCTGTGGACGACTACTGCCATGGCTTGGAGGCCATGATGGGAAGCATCATCGAAGTGAAATATCTGAAATGAACGAAGATTCTGGAAAAGACTCATGCTATGTAGTATGAACCTATTCCGTCTTTTTGGGGAGGTTGCCGTAAATGGCTTTTTTTTGTTTTTCTCCTGGGAAGGGTTGGGATGGTCGTCAATGGGCCAGCCATGGAGGAAGCAAAGTGGCATCCCACCAATCAAGACTGAATAGTGGGTCACTAGGTGGTTGATGCTCCTGATGGGAGATCCACCATGGGGGAATCTATGGGGAATATCACATTATATCACATTATTCTATGGCTTTTCGGATGTTTTTGGGTACAGTTCTCTGGGATCCAAGATAGGTGCAGGTATAGATACAGAGTGCGCATGATGACGCAGAAAAGGGGCCAGAGAAGTTTGGGCAGCTCTCAATAGAGTTCTTCCTGAAAGCTAATGTGGCAATGTTGGCAATGAATCCACACATTTTTTGTTAATGGTCCATTCGAAGCCACACATTTGTTTCTGCGGCAATCGAATTCAGGGTCCACTTGTTTGCGGATTCAGTCAGTTCGGTGTACCCTCTGGCAAACTGTGCCATAAATATGGAGAATCACCATGCTATCAATGGGTAAATCCACTATAAATCACCATTTTCAATGGATAAATCCACTCAAAAAATCCATGTTCAATAGCTTTTTGTAAACGTTTACCAGGTCGGGTAAGTTGTACTTCAGGTAGGTCATCTTACAGGTCATCCCCACGAAAATCAGCCGAACGATTCCGGGACCCGCCCTTTGAGGGTGGTTATAATATAAGTTAATATATGTTATATAATATATGTTCAAATATGTTCATATATGTTCATAATTTTAGGTTTATATATATATATGTGTGTGTGTGTCCATCAATGGTTAATATGAGTCAATCTGGGTAAATTTAATCACGACCTCACTGTTCTCCCGAACCCTGGAATCATGGTTTATTTGAGGGAAATCATCCCCAAATGGCCGCAAGATTCAGGTTAGTGAAATATTATAATTTACCCAGAATTATGTGTTATAACATGTGAACTAACTATGTTACAGCCCACGAAAAATGACATTTTTTTATCTTCATTCTAAGCTCGCCAAATTGGATTTAAGGCCCCACAAATTACGCATTATGACCTCCTCATTGTGCAGTTTATCAGTGCTGCTGCCCCACAAGCCATGGCTGAAAAAATCCGCAGGAGCTATGCCCGGAGGCTGTTTTGGTGAAAGACCTGAACCAGGCGGGGCTGTTGGGGGTGTTTTTTTTTTTCCGGTGAATTCATGATATACCCTCTGGTTATTTAATGTTATTTATAGGGATTTATAGGGGATTTATAGGGATTTATAGGGGATATAATGGATAATACCCTCTGGTTATTTAACATAGCCATGGTATAGATGGCCCGTAGATTAAATAGATGATTTACCGTTCTTAATAGCATGGTGATTTTCCATGGCGAACTGTTAAATAACCAGATGGTATTGGATACTATACCCCAAGGATAATCATCGATGTTAGTTTACCTTCTGGATATCATTGGGATATACTTGAGATATATTATTGGACTGGGGTGTACTTGGAAAATCATATGCAGTACCCTGAGGTAAACAAACAAAAAGACGTGGAACGCGCATGATTTCTCGTTCGGTACATGATCTATAAATAGTGGGTTCTCCACATCTATGTTAGTGCACAGGAGGGTACCATTTCCCAATTATAATAGAATCGACAATGTTCAGAGGAAACTAGTCTTCCAACCCCTCTACTTGGCAAGATCCAGAACACAACATCCTATATCACCCTGATTCAGTGGATCCTGGATCCTCCGAATCAATGATAAGAATTGATAAGATAGATTAAGAATGATTAAGATACCATCTGGTTATTTAACATAGCCATGGAAAATCACCATGCTATTAATAGGTAAACCATCTATTTCTATGGGTCATTTTCCATGGCTATGTTAAATAACCAGACGGATAGATTAAAATACCATTTATACAAGCTTCACACTTTTCGGTTTTGAACTTTGAACATCCCCAGTGTTGAAACTACCTGGCAGCCTGGCAGGTGCAAAGCCAATTTGTTGAGCGACCTCGGCCCAAAGCTGCCAAGCGCGGGGGCAGTTTGCAACTCATTCCTCCAGGACCAAACCGATGGCGTTTTTCAACGGGGCGAATTGGATCGTGGATCAGGATGGATTGGAATGGGGCTAACAGATTGCAAGATCCAAGAGAGGGAATACCAGCATGCCAGAAAGGGTCGGTTTTTCCCTGGGTCGGTGAGCCAAAATAGGTGAGGGCCGTGGGGCCGTGGGGCCTCCGATGTGATCTGTAATATCGTAAAAATAGCCGCAGAAATGACGACTTTTAATGATTTTTAGCTTTCTGGGTTGGTTGCTAGTCTGAATCTAAGCTGACAATATATTAAGACCTTGGGTCACCTCGTCCGCAGATACGTCGAAAAAGAGATTTGTTCTCAAAAACATTTGTCCACCATTTGTTCACCATTTGTTCACTAGATACATCTACAGCCATTTGTGTCCTGCCACAGTTCTCATTGTACCAGCGCGATGTCTCCAGGACGTCCTGGGGCGGCTTTCTACGGCGGAGAGTTGGAAACTCAGCTCGTCCCAATGCTCCATTTTGTTGATCTTTTTATCCAAATGTTGAACATACTTTCACAACCTTTCACACAAAAATACCGTAACCCCGTTACTACCAAGATGTTCTAGGTCTTTGGATCTTCAGGGTTATAAATAAATAAATAAATAAATAAACAATAAATATATAGATAAATAAATGAACACACACACATATATATAAATATTAGATACATAATATATATATATGTTATATATATATATTTATATGAAGCATTGAAAACTCTCCCCAGTCGCGACGACGACTCGGTGGATCTCCTTCCGGGCTCCGCCTTGTTTCTCTTGGAGATCAAGATCTCGGAGGCCGAAAAAGGGGGGTCGAACGAAAAAAGCTGAGAAACTCTTGGGGATTTTGTGGGATTCTATGGGGTTTTATAGGTTTTTTTAATGGAAATTCATGAGTTTTTTTTTTTTAATATTAGAAACCATAGGTAGGGCTTTATTGGTTTTCTATGAGGTTTTGAAGTGATGATATAATTAATGATTAATATGGGATTGTGTGGAGAAAATCCATGAAATGATGGGTGTTTAGGCAACCAAAATGGCAATTTCACCATTTATCATGAGTTTGTAACGGGCATATATTAATATAGCCAACGATGTTCTGGTTGATTCTTAGTAACCTCCAACAAAAACAGACACACATATCACTAGTTTAGAATTGGAATTCACTTTTTTTGAGGGTTGCTACATAGTTGGATACCACATGCGTTGATTATACATGGGGGCAAAGTGGGTAAAAGTACATAACATGATGAAACAAAGTGGGTAAAAGTACATAACATTGGTAACATCTTTAAAACACATGCCATTAAGGGTATAATATATATATATATATATACATAGTATTAATTAATTATTATATTCATATATGCATTTATTCATCCAATTTCTCTGGAACAGATTGCCATTGAACAATGTACTGGATTTGATTGGTGAGATGTTCAGCAAGGTCACAGACTTTCCAAAGGTCTGTCGACATGTCATGGACCCCCAAAGCCCTTACCATTGGGACCATTGAGGTCAGGTTAGGAGGATGAAGCTGGTTTTGCTTCACAAAAGGTGATTCCCAAGTAGCAATTGAGGTACCTAAGGATACCTAAGGATACCTAAGGATGCCAAAGATTGGAAGTCTGTTCCGAAACGGAGCCTTTGAAAACGCCGAAACCCCGCAGTCGCAACTGCCCCAGGAGAAGGCTTTTGTGTATTCCACCAGCAGTTTGGAACCTCAGATGATCCTATTGCCACATTGCCCCCAAATTGGGAGCATCCCCTTCATTCGGTTCCTTATTCGTTATTGAAACCTCCTTGACTCCTTGTTTAGTTGATTGCACCTGTTAACGCATATTGAATTGATATGAATTCATGAATTCAATATCCATGTTTACAATCATTTAGATCCCTTAAAATCCTTTATTGCTAGTCATTAAAGTCCCCATTTTAGTTGCTTACATGAATTCGAGAAAACTCAACACTTTCATGGTTTAGGACCTCACGTTTCTCATCAGCTGCTTACATCCAACATGATATTCCCATGTTATCCCGATGTGATCCCTATTTTTATCTATCCAACCATCATGATATTTCCAGTAATTGTTGGTTCTACCTCTATTTCTGATGGTTCCTATACCTCTACCATAAATTCCATGAAATCACTAATATCTATCTATCTAATCTAATCGAATCGAATCGAATCGAATCTAATCTAATCTAATCTAATCTAATCTATCTAATCTATCTATCTATCTATCTACCTATCTATCTATCTATCTATCTGTCTACCTATCTATCTATCTATATATCTATCTATCTATATATCTATCTATCTATCTTTCTATCTTTCTATCTATGACTCCCTATATTCCTATAAAGTCACCATGATATCATCACCCCATAAAATCATGACCACTCCCCACGTGCGGTTCGCTGCAAACCTTCATGCGCTTCTTGAGGTGAGGCAGCCATCGACATGTGCGCAGAGATCCTTGACATGGGTCTGGGTTCCCCTGGGGAACCCCGAGCTTAGGGTCTGGGCTTGGGATCATGTATGGGGGCACGAAATGATGGCTAAAATGGGATCGGTGAATCATGGGTTAATAAATGGTCAACAGTAGTTAGCAAGGGTTCTTAATGGTCATTAATGATTGTACATTTCTTATTTTTGAAGAGAACCCCCATGAGTTGAGATACAAACACTATGACCGTGGTTCGTTCTAACAGATTCTAACCACTTATTACCTACTCCTAGGTTTGCTTAAGGTGATGTTTGACTTTCCCAATGGGAAAACCAACATTTGGGGAATCTTTAGCTGTTTTTGGGGTGGTCCTTGAGCAAATTCAAGAGAATGTGATAAACATTGATAAAAACTAAAAAAAAAACTAAGGCCCACGAATGAACCTTTAATTGGGGGATGGGTTATACAATCATACACGCAAAGTAATTACTGTGTGAACGTTTGTTGTTTTAGTTGGCCAACAAAAAAATCATGACTTGGAATCAGGCTGCAAGTCAAACACTTGTTCTAGGCTCAAGATCACCCTATTCCCATCCTCTTCATGGCACCCAAAGACTGCGCGTTTTTGTTGCGCTTCTGTGCGAGGCATGATGTCCCTCGGCGACATTCCACAGGCTGGAACTCCCGGCTGGGCTATCCATTGGGGTCATGGGCGTAGCTCAGAGCTGGGAGGTTTGCACAACAGTTTCCTATGGCTATTTTTCTTCCTCATCCCCACCCAAAAAACCGGATGTGGCACGTGAAAATCCTGCAAAGTGCTACCTCCAGCTGGAGTTTGGGATGTAGAAACCCATGGAAAAAGCCATCAGAAATCCTGCAGTTACTTGTAGCCTAGTCATAAACCAACAAACCTATTGTTTCTTTTTGGGGGGCCCTCGTCGCATGTTTTTGGATTATAGTTATATACAGCATATTCCCACGTTTGGTGAAAACCCTTTACAGAAAATATAGAAATATATATATATGTATTATTATAGTGTATATATATATAGAAATGATGCTTAAATACCATGTTATTTCCGCACTTGAGGTCACCAGCTTCCCACGTCAGGTGGAGCCGCAGATCGTGCCACAGCTCTTCAAGACGGTGGTGGTGAAGCAGGCACGTTCCCCACCAAGAGTTGGGAGCGGCTATCCCGTGGTTGGGAGGGAGCTATGGTCGGCTATGGTTGTATCAGTTGTATCCATAGTCCAGGAGGCCACCTGCGAGCAGCTGCAGCTTCTGAGAAGAACTCTTTGGGGATGGCCACGGCCATGGGTCCTGAAAAGTTTAAGGGCGGAAAAGCCCCTATATAAATCCACTGGTGGATCATCATTTTCATCAAACCTCATATTTCGGCTTGAGAATTATACATTCTGGTAATTTAACATAGCTATTGAAAATGGCCATTTATAGTGAGTTTTCCCATTAAAAATTGTGTTTTTCCATAGCTATGTTAGAGGGTAATCGTCCTGTTTTATCCCTGGTCCCATGCAGGTGCTGAACACGGTGGATGTGAACACTCCCAGGGATGAAGGAGCGCCAGTGCCCTTCGTGAAGGTGCCGAAGCGGTGCCGGGGGAGGTGTCGGTGACCCTGGGGTGACAAGGTTCTTGGCTGTTTACCCTCTGGTCAACTAACAGAGCTATTGAAAATGGGTCATTTATAGTTGAATTACCATGAATTACCCATAGAGAGGGTGATTTTCCATAGCAAACTGTTAGTTTACCAGAGGCTAATGGCTATGGCCTATGGCTATTGAATGGTTTTTTAGTGGGATAACAATAGGATAGAATAGTGGGATAATATCTATTTTCACAGGGATTCAACCAAGCCCGCCCAGTCTGATGACGGCCCCTTAGCAGCTTAATAACCACCAACAGCCACGATTATGAGGGCTTATGAACCATCTAGTGCTTCACTTTGAGGGGAACTTGGTTTGATGTGAATCCATCGAAGAGTGTGCGTTTATTCTTTGACTTGAACGTTCAAACCCTGTAATCTCCCATAAAATGGATTGACGGTCAACATCCACGTGCATCCCAACCAAGACTGTTTCGTCGATATGTGGGATCTTCACAACGGGCACTGGGTTTGAACTGGTGATGCGGCTGCTAAGTCACAGTTTTACCCACCAGCAACATATAGCCTTCCAGGGAATGGACATCGGCTGCCCAGGCAAGGAAAGCCACCATGATGGCTAACCTCAAGAAGGTTGGGGAACTGACGATTTTGACTACCGATGCTGCGGCTTTTTCCTGGGCGCCATGGCATTTTCCAACCGTAGTTTCGACACACCCAGAGTAGCTGACACTTGAGGGACAGTCTTACTGGTGCTTAGTAGGGAATGAGGGAATGATCCATCATCACTAGTAATAATCATCCCAGCAACCCCCAGCAACCCATCCATTCCCTGCTAAGCACCAGTAAGAAATTGTGGAAGAGTTCCTGCGCAGTTTGAAGGCCCAGCAAAAAAAGTTGCTTCGAGTCTGCAACTGGCACTAGCAAAGATGCATCCGGCATGGGCCACGAATGCAAACGCCTTGATCTTGCAGCCATCAAGCACCAGACATACTCTGGGATTGCAGAAAATAGTCTGCCGCAACATCCCATCTTCCTCTGTTTTGTTTCACAGTTTCTGTGTGTGTTTTCTTAGTTGAAATCAAGTGTTTCATTGGCAACTCCCTCTATATTTCAGATGTCCACTGTCCATTGAGCTCTGCGGCCCTGCCCTGGCGCCATGGTGCCATGCATTTCTGGCCTCTCTTCCCGGCTGCTGCGTTGGCTTCGCAGTGGGATGCGGAGTTTTACAGGAGTCCCTTACGGCATCTTGGAGTTGTCCATGGGCTGACAAGGGGCTGGGATAATTTTTTTTCGGGCCTGGGGTAGATGGGGTGATTCCTGATCAGAAAACTGTTTAGGATTCCCATAGGATCCATGTATGGTATATATGCTAACATTGGGGGTATATTGATGGGATCCATGTTACCATGTATAGCAGCACCATGGATCCTATGGGATTGTTTAGCTACGTCTTGGGAAGATTTCAACGAGCTCTTTCCGGAAGCCATTCCAAGAACGGATTGCAGCTTTGAGATGATCCCATCATGAACCAATGCATCCATCCCACCTTAGCAAAGCCCAAAGAAGAAGCTCCAATTGTGTAGTTAACCCAGACCAACATCTCATATGGGGATGGGTCAAAACCCTGGCACCTAGTGAACATCAAAATAGCTGGCAAATGGATGTTCATCCCCCTAAAAATGGTATTTATAGGTATTGATCCTTACCCATATTCTCATATCGGATTGAGTCTCCCAAAAAATCCCTACACCACACCCCAACTCAACCATGTCGAGAAGGTCCATTCCAATAAATCCAAGTCAAAGTCAAGCGGTCGAGCACATGATCTTTTAAGTCATGACTATGCTTATACAAGTATATAAAGTACCGGGAAAAAAGAACACTTGAGTACATACAGTGATACACATGTACATCCAGTTACAGAGGGGCTGGAACATCTGTAAAGGTACACTATGGGTATTTATATAATCATAAATGTCTTCCTTATCCATAATAAATACCATATAGATCCATAATAAATACATCTTAATACATCTTCTTCATCCATGTAGGGGTGAAACATCCATAAATACATTTTTCATTTCATTTCACTGCATGTAAAGGTCGATCCTTTGCTGCAAATGCACGGCTCTCTAATTAGAAGGAAAAACCACTAGCCTTGAAAGTCGGGAAGCCAAGTGTTTCTATAAACTTTCGAGCTCGCTGTTGCGGCTCCTTGGATCCACTTCAGAAGGCTAGGGTGGAAAGCATCTCGATCGCAGACCTCATGCTGTCTTCGCGCAGAGGCCAATGCCTGTACAATCGTAGATGCAAGACCCTTACAAAAGCGAGCTGGATACTCCTTATGTCGAGATGTGCGAAACTGTCCAGACGAATCTCGCCCAATGGCGATGTCTTTCGGCTTCAGGGCGGTGGAGTCAGCATGGCGGTAAAGGTGTTTGCGAAAACCTGGCATCTGGTAATGAAGGAGCCCTGTCGGCTTAGTGACAGTGGCTCCCCATTGGTACTGGCTGACATGTGTCAGCGTCACTTCCGGATGCTGCAGAAGAACTTCCAAAATTGCACTTGTCCATATACTTGGACGGGTCTCATCACGGGGTCTGGCAGGATGTTCCGACACAAAAAATCCTCCAGATTGGAGATGGTGGCTCAGGACTAAGGCTCCCTGTTGGAAAAAGTTTCCGCCAAGATGAACCTGGCGGAGCTCCTTGGCCGTTAGGCCTTCGATGCCAAGGATTCGGTCGGCTGACCGAAGTGGCCTCGGCCACCGTGCCTCCGCTTGAGAATTGTCCGGCAAAGTATATCTTGCTTCACTGAACGTCTCACAGGGAGATCCTGTGAGCGTCGCAGCGACAAGCCCAGCTGCATACACCTGCTCGAGCATGCTCCACGAATCAGAGCCCAAAGCCAAATTGCCAAAATCTGTTGATACCGCCGTGTCTAATGACAGGACGATCAAGCTCAGATCCAGCTCAGCACCAAGCTCATGAAGATAAGCGTGGACATCCTGGGCTCTCCTCCTTCCACTGAAGAGATGAACCACTAAGAATGCAGCCTCCCCAGTCGGCAAAATGAGTCTGGGACAAGCTCTCCTGTGAGGGAGGTCAAGGAACTTCATCTGTCGTACCTGAGCCTGCCACTCAACTTGTTGGGCAAAGGGTCGTGGCACCGATTGAACGACTACGCTGTTGGTTTTCGGGCATCTGGGTCTCCCTGGAGCTCGAAGGGACCGATGGGCAGTTGGTGCCGTCGGTTCACATAGCTTCAATTTCATCTCCAGGTGTGCACGCCTTGCAAGCATTCGGTATCTCTCGAGTTGGGCCGCAAAATCCGCAAAAATATTGTCAAGGTCAATCTCGGCCACCCCATCTTCCAGTGAATCAGAAATGTCAGGCAGCCAGTGCTCTCCCCAAAGCAGAAAGACCATTTCAAGCCAGGGCTCTAAATCAACCTCAGCAATGAGTGATCGTGCACAAAGGATGTCAATCCAGGCATCGGTCAGCTGGTCCCGTTCTTCAGCCGACGGCCCTTGTGGGTAATGGAGCCGGAACCAACCCAGTGTGGCCTGTGTCAGCTCTTCTCCAATCTTCTCTCCTTCCGCCATGTGGTCGTCAGGACGATGTGGGATAGCAAGCTTGGCATCACATTCAGCAATGGCCTGCAGCGTCTCAACCCGCTGTGTCTCATGCAGTGTGCGTGGGTTGACTGCTGGTCCCTCTGTCTGCAAACATTCACGCCTGTGCAAACCCGCAAAGGCAGGAGAATTGCCTACATTTTCATGGCAGTATGGCACTTGCCTAGCTTGGGATTGCAACGCGTGGAAGCAAGGGTTGTAGCCAAGGCCCTTCGGGATATAGGCGAGGTGCTGCTGCAAACGCTGTGTCGACCACAAGAATTTCCCACAGTGTAGACATGTACTACCTTGTAAGAATTGTCTCTCAATGGAAAAGAGAGCATGGGCTTTACGTTGATGCGCAAGCAGTCCTCTGTTGGTTCCAAAGGAGGCTCCACAAAAGCAATCATGTTTGTTTTCCCAATCCATCACGTCAGAAAAGGGCATGTCAAACGAAGCGCCAGCGGCCTTCAGATTGCGGAAGACACGAGCATGAAGACACTTGGCGTCAGCAATAATCGCATTCTGGGCCAGATGGAGGTGCCAAGTTTTCTTAACTGCTCGGGTCCACTGCGTCTGTGGCGCCTGCCAAAGCTCGAAGAGGGACGTCATGTCAAGTCTCCAATCTACCGCAAGGCAACCAGGATTGACGTTTTCCATCCATTCAAGGTCGGCTCGTAGCCCATGAAACCAAGATTGGCTGGTGCAGGCATACTCCTGATGGAGTAGGTGGTGCAAAAACGCAGGACCTGTGCGAAACAGCCTTTGAGCATACAGTAGTCTATCCACTGCCAGGCGCGCCCTCACTTCGGCTGTCTGAGCTCGCATCAGCACCTTGTCTGTGGGGACATGGTCTTGGCTGAGCCGCAACACCCTCTTGAGCATGCCGACCAAAGCATTCTGCAGGTATTGCAAGTGCTTGGGTGCTGGCGTCACCCAAGCTCCAAGGCCAAAGAAAAGCTTTGTGGCAATAAGGGACTGAAAGAATTGCAGTCGCAAATGGCAAGGCAGATTCCTGTTGGTCAGGATTGGTTTGGCCAGCTGTGCAAATGCAGCTTTGGCAATTCCTACCCTGTTTTTGAGCTCGCAATGCAAATCATGATTGGAAGCAAATAATGTTCCTAAGTGCCGATAGGTTGAAACAAAGTGGAGCCACTCAGAGGCGCCATCATCAAAGGTGCAAAGGGTGCCAGGCTGCGAATTGAGCTGGAACTTTTTGCGCAGTTCACCTGCTTTGGGACCTTTGAATGTCACAACGGCACTCGTTTTCCCCTTGGAGAAATTCAATGTGAAGCCATAGGCTCGCAGAGTCTGTCTCACTTGTCCCACTTGTCCCAAGGCCGTCTGCAGAAGGGGCACAAGGTCGATGGCTTGTCTGGCGGCCAAGGGGACCGCAATATCATCGGCCCACAGGATTGTGGGTACCTCGATGTCCAACGCCTGTTTCAGATGCACAATCTCGCTTTGCTGCATCAGCCATTCATCGACAGATTGTGCAACTCGAGTCATCAATGCGTGGAAAATGATATCAGCAAGCGGACTACCTGGTCGCGTTCCTCTGTGGGTTCGGAGCAGCCATCGTTGGTGTAGGGAACACCAAGTTCCGACATGGATATCTCTTAAGAGGCGGATAATTGGCTCAGCAACCCCGATGTCAGCAAGGAGGCCTGGCAGACGGGCAAAGGCCTGAAACTGGTCAATCGGGTGGCCTGATTGTTGCAAAACTGCAAGAACTGGCTTCAAATTGCTGCCATCATAAGCACCTACCACACTTTCTCGGATGAGGTGATGAAAGGCGCTTGCAAGATCCAGGAACAAAATTGCACTGCTGAGGCCAGCTTGATCACACAGAGTTCCAAAGGACCTAAGCGCATGTGATCCATAAGAGACTTGTTGCCCCGGGAAGCCCCCAAGCTGACCCGGTGCTCTGGCAATTTCGAGTTTCTCCATAACCTGCGACCGGAGGATGGCATGTGCACGCTTACCCACACTAGGTAGCAACAGAATTCCTCGAAATTGCTTGGCACTGCTTGGGTGCAATGTTTTTGGAATGAGGGCGACAGGCCCACCCTTGTCTTGCACAGGCTCACTTTGCCAAACGAACTCCTTGAGCACCAAGTCATGATGTAAAGCTGCTAACTGGGCAGAAGCAAGGTGAAAAAGGTCAGATGGTAGTGGGTCAAAACCAGTTGCTTTGCCAGCTGTAGTGGCTCGAAAAGCTTGTTCAAGCTGTGTGAGGCATGGCAAATCACGTAAGCAAATCTGGCTGGGTGCATCAAGTCGTCGCAAGGCTTGCTCAAACGCACAATCAGCAACAAGTTGCTGTGGCTTGACAGGAAGCCCAGCCTCAAGCTCTGCGTAATGTGGCAGCCATTGCTCTTCCAGGCTTTCAAGCTGTTGTGGAGGGACTGAAAATCGTCGCTGTTGGAATTTTGGCAAAGACCTTCTCACAATTTGCCAAAGCTGTTTGACATCTTTGGGATGCAAAAATTCAGAACACTCCTGAAGCAGTCCTGCATAGAACCCAACATCATCAGCTCGGAGGGCACGTGAAACCTGAGTACCAAGCTTGCGGAATTGGTGGTATGCTGCAGCAATAAGCCGGTCTTGCTCACAGAGAAGACCATT